AAACTTAAATGACGACGTCAGACCCCTTTTTTCCTTGACGAAAATGAGACTAAGACGAACGTCACCAAAGCTCTGTAAAGACTAAAATGTGACGAAAATTATATTGATTTTCGTCAGACGAGAACGAGACGAGACTAAATTGTTATTAGGTGGACGAACAAAGTTTCAAAACATGCTTTTTTTTTGTCCTAACAGTCACGCCCCCATCACACACGCACCAAAAGCCTCGCTCGCGCACAGCTGCGCGCACACACTCATACACATACACAGAGCGGCAGGTGGACGAGGCGCGCACACACACACACACACACACCGTGGCGGCAGGCACAGCAGCGGTGCCCGGTGGCCGAAAAAAGAGGGATGATTTTTGGTCCTACTTCAGATACAGTTCAAGTGACATTAAAACACAATGTCTTGTACGGGGACGGGGAGACGAGACAGACGACAGTTGAGGAGCCACAGCTTCCTCATGCTTCAAACTGTCGGGAAAGAACACCACGAACCTCAAAAGGCACCTTTACGTCGACTAAAACTAGACGAAAACCTTTTGAGTTTTGGTCGGACTAAAACTAGACGAAAACTATCAAGGATAGAAATGACTAAAATGGGACTAAAATGAAGAAGCATTTCGTCAAAATGACGAAGACTAAAACTAAATCTAAAATGCCTGCCAAAAACAACACTGTTTCCAAAAGAGAGTTAGATTTAGATTCATCAGACCTCAGGTGAGTTCACAGACAAGTGATATTCTTGTGTTCGTCCTCCAGGGGGCAGCATCCTGAGCACTCGCTGCTCTCAGACGTACGAGACGAAGGCGGCTCTGCTCAGTCTCTTCGGAGTACCTCTCTGGTACTTCTCTCAGTCTCCTCGGGTTGTGATCCAGGTGAGACACCTGTCCGTCTGTGAGCAGATCCACCGTGAGTTTATTCTTATATATTTATGAACAGCTGATTTTTAACGCGTCTCCGTGTCTTCACTCGTCTGCAGCCAGACGTCCATCCAGGGAACTGCTGGGCCTTCAAAGGCTCCAAAGGCTTCCTGGTGATCCGGCTTTCCATGAGGATCCTCCCCACCGCCGTCTCCCTCGAACACATCCCCAAAACTCTGGCGCCCAGCGGGATGCTGCTCAGCGCGCCACGAGACTTCAGCGTCTACGTAAGAGAGAAAACGTTGAGTCAGCGTGTTTGTGACGTGTTCAGGGTCTGATCTGACCTTCAGTTCCTGTAAATCTGAAGATCCAAACAGACGAGCAGAGAAGAGTTCATAAAATCATCATTTTATAACATTTTTTTAAACTTTTTTTAACTAAAATCTTTAAAACAACTTCAGCCCCGACCTTTAAATAAGTAATGAATCAAGAATTTGATGTTTTTCCCTTTTTATTCCAGTTTTTGTTCATCATGTCATATTTATTGATAAAGTCTGCTGGAGAAAAAAAACTCGACATTTTCACCTCCTTTTCTCGAACCTCGTCCTCGACCAAATCAAATACGATCAAATTCATGTGTTCATATTAAATTAATTTTATATATAAACATATAAAATCATCAGATATCTGTAAGATGTGAATCATTTATGAGTGTTTATCCTCCTCTAACTAAAATCTGATCCTGATTACTCTGATATAAAAATAACTGCATATTTGAGACGTGATATCTTCTCCCCTGATGATCTGAAGGACCTGTTCAAATTTAGAGCCAAAGGAGGGTGGGCGGAGCTAAAATGACGGAGAACTACAGGAGACACTGAGTTTTTTTATAATATGAAGAAAAATAAGAACTCTGAGAAAATTAGATTTTCCAGTCTTTAAAGATGAGACTGTCAGCTCAGAATAAAGAGGAACAAAAAGACAAATGTCCTCAAAACGGACGGAGGAGGAGTCGAGGGTTAACCCCACCTCTGTGATGTGTTCAGGGTCTGGATGATGAAGGTCAGGAGGAGGGGAAGCTGCTGGGGACGTTCACCTATGATGAGGAGGGAGAGTCTCTGCAGACGTATCCTGTCTCTGTGAGTACCACCTGTGTGTGTGTGTGTGTGTGTGTGTGTGTGTGTGTGTGTGATATTTTCTATGTTCCCTAAAAATCGTCTCCTTGTTTCCTTCACTCTCTAATCCTTCTGTGGTTTCAGCTCCTCTCCTTCACTCGTGTTTTATTCTGATTCCTCAGGAGGAGAACGAGGAGGCGTTCCAGATCATCGAGGTTCAGGTCTTGTCAAACTGGGGTCACCAGGACTACACCTGTCTGTACCGCTTCAGAGTTCACGGGACGCCTGCAGACGTCTGAGGAGACAAAAACAGATTCTTTCAAACTCGGACTGAGAAACTCTTTAGTAAGTTTAACTGGAGGAGCTCTGAAGCTCCGCCCACCTGCAGCTCCGCCCACCTGTGCCTGAATCCCCGCAGACTCTCTCAGCTTCAGGTCTGTACGGGGGCCGGTGTCCTCACAGGGACCCGTTGTGAGCGTGGTCCTGCTCTCCTGTGGAGAGAGGACTGGGCTCTGATGAAGTGTGTGATGTTTCTGTTCAGAGTTAATATTTTTATATCCGTGTTGTTTCTGTTTCCCTTCTTTCAGCTCTTCGTCTTTTAGACCTTTTTTAGAGTCGAGACTGTAGATCAGCTGTTCGACTCTGAATAATCTGGTTTTCCTCGTCAACGGTTTGGCTCTTACATGTCTGATTTACACAGTGTCAGAGTGTCCTTGAACGCAGCATCAGGCAGCTCCTGCTCACAGCTGCAGAGACAGAAATCACGCCTTTCTCTGGTTTCTCTGATCCGTCTGCCCTGAAGTCTGTTTAACTTTCTTATTTTGTCTTCTGGAGACAAACTTGTTTTTTATTATTATTAATACTCTGATGTTGTGAAGTTTGTTTTTTTACATCTACTGTCTGTTTTTGTATTTGAATAAAGATGTGAAAGTTTCAGTCCTCAGTCTTTCAGACAGACGGTCGAGGTGTTTATATATTTAGATTATTTTCTGTATTTGTTTAAAAAAAGACGTTTTTGTTTCTCCTGAAGCTGCAGTTCCCCCAGTGTCCACCAGAGGCTGTGTCCTGCAGTGAGTCAGTCCCCATAGAGCTCCATGTTAAAACAACGAATGCGTCCGTGAAGTGACCTGTGAAGCGCCTGTTTGTGTTGTCGAACAATGGTGACGTTTGTCTTATATTGATGACGTAAAGGACGATGAACGTGACCTGAGCGTCCACACTGCAGTCACATCGGATACATATCTGATTTATATCCACATACAGAAGAGGCCTGGGTCGGATCAGAACCAATCAGAACTGACCTGCAGTCTGAACGTGGCCTATGTTGACCCGTCTTTTTAGCTCTTGTCCGGTCTACCTCCGTTTTAAGCGCCCGTTATTCCTCCAGAGTCTCCGGTATTTACTTTGTTTTCTTGCTTGTGTCGGCAGTCGTGGCCAAAGGAGGATTCAGACAATTTTCCGAACTTTCTGGTTGGTTTCTACTGTCTGATATTGTAGCACGCTAAATTTGTTTGGGCTCCTGAACGACACGGGGGAGCAGCGTCTGCCTCACAACCAATAACTAATAACTATTGACTGATATTAGAAGAGTTTTTTGTTTATAAACCACAAAAAAAGATGCTTCTTTAACAGATTCCTACATCTTTAATATGTCTGACTTCTCACAAACAGACAAAACAGTTCAAGGTTCGAAGATGTTTAATTTATTCCTCTTAAAAAGATGAGAGGTCGTCTGCAGTTTGAGGTAAAGAGGATAAAGGTGAATTTATTAAACAGTGACAGAAATACAAAGTTAATTTAGAGCTAAACTTTAATCCATTTTTGAAATAACGTCATGACGAAAAAGAATCCTTAAATCTTTAAAACTGCAGTTTCCAAAATGTCCACTAGAGGCTGTGTCCGTCAGTGAGTCAGTCCCCATAGAGCTCCATTCTAAAACTGTACAGCAGGAATAAATTTGTTTACAAGGAGGAGCAGAAACAGTTCGGCTCATTTCTGTTCAGGAATCAAAATAAAACCGCTGTTTTTATTACCGTAAAATCTGGAATAGATGTGCACCAGGATGTAAGATGCTTTTATTAGCATGGTGCCTCAGAGTGTGATTGACTTCTGCACATGCTCAGACAAACACACGGCGCTGTTGTACCTCTGAGGGGATCAGAAATCCGTCACCAACCTCCCCTCCAGGTTCCTCTCTGCAGACAGATGTAACCGTAAATATCCCGCTTTAAAGTGGCGAGTAACTTCCTTCAGTCTAATTATCTCAGCGTTTGTTAACCCCGTCCCTGCTGAACGCGTGTCCGGATATTGGCGGTCAAAAAAACGATGTTTGGCGTTGTCGTGGTTTCTTCTTCTGTTGTCTTCGAGTCGACGGTCTGAGCCAACTCGACTCCGTTCCGTTAACGTCCTGACTTTGAACCTCTTGTCTGTGAGTTACAGTCCGACCAGGCGCCACATCTCTTCAGACGAACACGCAGAAATAAACTTCTAAACTTTAAAACCCCAAAAAGACAAAATCTCAGTGTGAGCTGAGAGGAACTGAAAGACTGGACAGGTTAGAGAGCCGAGTTAGTCTGGAGTTAGTTGAATTTCGAAGCGCCGCTTTAAGAGCCGGCTCCGTCAGGACAGGAAGTGGATAAACTCAGCAGCTGGCTCGCCACCGTCTGTCCTCCGTGTCGGTTATTAGCAGGTTAGCCACTCATCCTGTCAAAGACGCAGCTAGCGTCCTGCGCTGATGTTGCAGATCTTGCAGCTGGGGTCCTTCTTGGCGTTGAGGGTGGACTGACTCTTGAGCTGGTGTCCGCTGATCTGTGTCACCGTCCCCAAATCCAGATCCACTGACTCCGTGTAGATCACCTCCAGGATGACGTCCTGGGCGTGACGGAAAGACAGCGAGCCGTCCTCCTCCTCGGTGCAGCTCAGGAAACGGTTGTTGGATCTGTCCAGCGTCGGCAGAATCTCCTTACAGAAGACGTCCCCTTTGGAGCCTTCAGGAGCCAGGACCAGGATGACGTAGTGGTAGGACGTGTACATGCAGTAGAAATCTCCAAAGTAGATGTTGGTGCTCTGGTTGAAGAGGACGTCAGCTTGGATCTGAAAGACAGGGTCAGACTGTGAGCCGAGCTGCTGCTCTGAGGTTCATACAAACTTTAGACTTCTTTGAGAGTCTGCAGATCCCAGAGCTGCTGGTTTATGATTTAAGGATCAGAAATCTGCTGGGAGGATCATCTGTCCTTAGACTGCTTTACTGTGGGATTATGAACTCATCTTTGTCCCGCTTTATTTTGGGGCTTTAGAGGACAGAGACATGGAGGAGGACCGCAGGGGGGAATCAGACCCACGCTGCTCGCTTTGAGGACGAAAACCTCTGTACATGACTTGAACTCTGGGCCAAACCGGTGTCTGGACTTCTCTGTTTACACTCTGACCTGTAACTCAAACAGCCGAACCTCAAAAACACTGAAATATCCCTTTAAACTGGAATTTCCTCCGAGGCTGAATGAGGTGTCCAAGCAGCGACCTCAGGCCTGAGTGGGTTTATAAACGCTAGAGCATGTTCAGGGTCAGCCTCGGTGTCCCGTCACAACTGGACATGTTTGGGACACCTCCAAAACAAGGTCCCGGAGGATCTGGATCGGACCTTAAACTACTCCAGCTGCTCTGTCCTGATGGATAGAAGCAGAGGTTACTGCCAAACGTCTGAGCTCCAGACTTAATCTGTGCGGCTGAGTCCAGACGCCCTGCGGAGGGAGATTTGGCTCCTGGTGTCTGCAATCTCATAGTTTTGGCCACGACTCAAAGCTCATGAGAGGGTTGGGGTTGGTTCATGGAGACCCTCTGCCTCTGACGTCCCTCCATCTCGCTCTGTCCTGATTTTAGAAATACTCTGAGCGGACTGTCAGATTTAAACCTGCAGATCCTGGAAGTCTGGACACTAAATCTGTTATTTGAATGAGGACAGTCCTCCACCAGGAGCCTCTCACATCCTCTCATCTGTCAGAAGCTCTACCTGGAAGCGGAAGGGTCCATATGGGGAGTCCTGGGGGGGTTTTCCTGTGTTGAACTCGGTGTTGCAGCTGAAAAAGAGCCCCTCCAGTTTACCGCTGATGGGCGAGCCGTGGCTGCCGCTGTCGTCTTTCACCGCCGGTAACATCCGAGTACACGGCTCATCTCTGGAGCGATACGAGGAGCTGTGGAGAGCACACAGGGAGGGTCAGACAGAGGCAGAGGAGACCAGACTCTGGAGATGCAGCAGGACTCGGAGACACACCTGGGCTCCTGGAAGTACTCCTGCTCTTGGTTCCTGTAGAAGACGGTGAACGGCAGCATCCTGCCGGCGATCGCCTCGGCCTTCTGCAGCAGCTGCATCAGATGAACGGTGGAGTAATCTGTGGAAACACACGATACTGAGACGACTGTCCTCAGAGAGGAGACATGGGTTCATGGACTGAGAGGAGGCTGACCTGCTGTGCAGAACTCGATGATCTCGCTCCACTGAGAGACGGCGTATTCTCCGTCCGGCTGTTTGGTGGCGGTCTGGACCGCAATGCTGTACTCTGTGCGAGGACTCAGGAACCAATGACCTCTCACCGTCATGGGGAGGGGAACCGCCTTCGCCACCAGTTTTGTTGGTACATCCTGAAAAATGAAGGTCGCTGTTTAAATGTTTGAGAAGACAAGGTCTCCGGAGGACAACGCCCCAAACACCAGACCGCCTCCTGCTGATTAAACAACGCCGAGTGAGGCACAAAGAGGTCACAGCGAACCAGTACATCCACTCTTACCACCTCTGAGAGTCAGGTGTGTTACTAATGACACGTGTATCTTCTTTCTACGGCGCCCTGAAAAACTCGACAGTGAATCCATGTTTGAGAGTTCACCACAGTGTCTGAGACCGGGTCTGAGGTTTTGTTGGGCCCACCTTGTGTTTGAACTGGTTCTCCTTCTTGCTGTCCTTCTTGTTGAGATCGATGAAGTAGTGTGTGATCCTCTCTCTCCCTCTGCTCTCCATCTCCCAGCTGATCTTGAAGGAGTCACAGGTGATGTTGCTGATCTGGATCTGCTGAGGAACCGGCAGGTCGTCCACGTCGCCGATGCCGCTGTCTGCAGACTCGGTACCTGATTGGACACAAAGACACAAAGACAGGTGAGCACTGAGGCCGAATGACACCTGCTCAGAGTTTTCCTCATGAGCAGAAGCTTCAGTCCTCTTCATGGTGGTGTAGTCAGGATCTGAGTTAGTTCCACTTTTTAGGAGAAATCTTGAATGTAAACTCTACCCCTCCCAACCAGTTTTCCCCTCAGCTCCTCCTCTCAAGCCCCGCCCACAAACAGACGCTCCTGCTCGCTCGTATCGTTCCGATTAAATTCAGATATAATGCAGATAAATACTTCAGATCATTACAAATGGGGCCCAGTCAAGGTGAAAGTCAAAAGCATTGGTGCTACTGTAGATGCCAACAGACGACCAGCAAACACAATGTTTGCAGGACTTCTACAACGAGGATAAAGTGACATAGTCCAGGACCCGAGGGAGGACAGTTTAGCGATGGAGCTACAACACGCTACAGCAGGTCCGTTTGACAAGAAACACTTCTGTTACAGACACTTGTCTTACTTTGTTAAAGCGGTTTACCTGTCCAGCAGAAACGTTACAGGGTCACCAAGATCCCCAAGCGTCCCCCATCGTTTATGTTGACCCGGCTTTTTAGCTCTTGTCCGGTCTACCTCCGTTTTAAGCGCCCGTTATTCCTCCAGAGTCTCCGGTATTTACTTTGTTTTCTTGCTTGTGTCGGCAGTCGTGGCCAAAGGAGGATTCAGACAATTTTCCGAACTTTCTGGTTGGTTTCTACTGTCCGATATTGTAGCACGCTAACTTTGTTTGGGCTCCTGAACGACACGGGGGAGCAGCGTCTGCCTCACAACCAATCAGGTTAGAGGAGGTGGAGAACGGCTTTGTTTACAGTCAGAAAGAGCGGACCGCTCAAAAATGTTCAAATGTTGACGACACAGACAGAAGAGAACACAGAGATATCGATATATTACCAAATGTCATCAATAACTAATAACTATTAACTGATACTAAAAGATTTTTGTAAATACACCACAAAAAAAAAGATGCTTCTTTAACAGAATACTGCCACTCCACCTTTTAAAGGATTTTATTTATTTTAAAAAGTTCATTAAATCTGTAAAAACCTGCAGCACAGCAGATTAAGAGGAGCAACATGTGCCTGAAAATTCTCCACTTTCATTTTCTCGACCGAGCGACAGATGACGTAAGAAGATTATGTCAGAGTCACTCTTTACTTTAACAGCTGTGTGTGTGCGTGTGTGTGTGTGTGTGTGTGTGTGTGTGTGTGTGTCCATGCTGCCATCATAACAACACTGAGAGATTAACCCATTAAAGTTCAGAGTGCAGTGACCCCTGACTCACATTCCTCATCAGATTCATGTCTGAAAGCATCAAACCACCACAGGACAGTTTCAGAGGAACTCTTTCTGCATTAACAACACGGCTGATCTGTCCTTTTTGGAAACACGAGCAGAGCGGCAGCATCCATGTTGTGTAACGTATTAACCCACCCTCCAGAAACAGATGCCCCTCCAGACTGGTCCTGTAGAGACGACAAATGCTTTTTCTAAAGTTTTAGTACCCTGTGTACGGTGGCCGAGAACCAGCACTGCCGCAAATAGAAAAGAATACAAAAAAAGAAGCCATAACTGAAGTAACCGATGCAATAATAAAGAAACCGAAGCCTGATGCATTAAAAAAAAAAGAAACAGTGCAGATAAAAAAAAGCCTCAACGTTAGTTCATGGCGCAAGAAAGTGGCCATGAAAAAAAAAGTTACTTAGGGCGAAAATCAAAGGATGCAAATAAAAAAAGCCACAATGGAAGTGAGCTGCCGGGGACCAATAATGATGATGCACCGGTGTTTTACGATCTAGGCACAGAAGACGACGGTGAGAAGACGAGCAAAGAAGTTTTTATTTTTATTTTTTTAACCTGCACCGTTTCTGTTTTTATTTGCAGTGGGCTCCAGTTTCTTTTTTGCATTGGTAACTTCCGTAGTGGCTTCTTTTTTTTTGTGTGTCCTTTTTTTATTTGCAGCAGTGGCAGTTCTCGGCCACCGTACCCGTGTGTTACTGGACTGTTTCCTCTTATGTTTCTTCAAACGTTCTGACCTGGATGTTCAGTAGAACTTGTTGCTCCATGATTCACTTCTTCAGTATTTGTAGCAGTTTTTGACCTCCTGAATTTAGCACCAGTGCACTGAGTCTTCCCTCTCCTCTGAGTTTGGTTTAACTTGTTTACTCTCTCTGTATTCATCCTCCCTCTCTCTCTCTCTCTCTCTCTCTCTCTCTCTCTCTCTCTCTCTCTTTTTCTCTCTCTCCCTCTCTCTGCAGAGGACAAAAGACCTCAGAGAGCTCAACAAGCAGTCTTTGAGGAGGACGAGGACAGTTCAATCTGCCAGTGTGACGTCTTGTTACGGCCCCCCATCTGATGTTTTTGTCAGACTAATTACAGCTCAACATCAGGAGGGAGGGGGGGTCAAACTTTTTAATCCAGGATCCACGTGGAGGAAAAAGTCCTGAACCTGTAGAGACTCTTAATGGACAGACTAGTTTTCACACGTGAGGAGAGAAGCAGAGGCTCTGTTTGCTGTTTCTAAGACATTTTCTTACTTAAAGAAACTTTTTTTAAATTCTAATAAAGTTCTAAAACAAACAATTCAGCTCTTGTTTTCGCATGCTTTCATTAAATAGGATATTTTCTGAGCTTGTTGGGTGAATCTAGTTTAAATTAGGCCTAATAGACAGTTTTTATTAAAAAATGAGTCAGACTCACTTTCTGTGAGGTGGGATTTTTGGAGTGGATTAGTTTATCAAGAATGGATTAGTTTGTAACACCCCTTGGCTCTACTTTCAACAACTGTCATGTTAAACAGCAGGTTAGAATATAAGGACTTTATTCTGACTTTAACCTTGTAAGTGATTACTACGACTTTATTCTTGTTAGTAATTACTTTATTTTGACTTTATTCTTGTTCGTTATGACTTTATTCTCATAAATAAATGACTTTAATCTTGAAGTCTAATTTTCTTACTGTGGCCCTAATACTCTGTCGTAGACCCGATCAGCTATACTCTGAATTTAGCTGTTTATTATTCTGCTGAATTTGAATGTCCGTCCATCTGTAGTAATGAGTAAATCATGACAGTTGATCTGATCTCTTTTGAGAGAAAAAAATTATATAAAGCATCTTTTATGTTTATATTTGTGTTTTATTTCGTAGATTCACATTTATTTTGAAGACCGTTTTGTGATGATGTCACTTCCTGTAAATTCGCGCTCCTCCGCTCATGAAGATGCCGTCTAATGGCGGTAAGTCCTGAACTTTAGCCGTTTAAACTTGGTTAAAAATGAACATAGTGGTTCAAAGTCGACTTTATTAAGCTCACGGACTCTGTCTGGATAAAAAACGGGTTTGGTTTTTGGGCGTTTAAAGTGTTTTTGTAGAACTTTAGCACTTTGTTCTGTTTTGCTAATTTCCAGCTCCTAGCTAGCTGGCAGGCGCGTTTTTTTTTTTGGGGGGGGGGAGTTTTTCCCCATGCTCTTCTGTAAATGTTTAAGTTTTAATGCTGTAAATGTTTAAGCTCAATGTATAATTAATGTCTGAGATTAAATGCTTTAAATGTCTTAGTGTTAATTGAGTTAATATCTTAGTTTAATACTATTAATGTCATAATTTTAATGCTGTAAATGTCTGAGTTTTAACACTGTAAATAAGTTTAATACTGTTAATGTCTAAGTGTTAATGCAGTGAATGTCTTTGATTAATGCAGTTCATATCGTAGTTTTAATACTGTAAATGTCTGAGTTGTAATGTTATCAATATCTTAGTTTTCGAACAGTAAATATATTAGTTTAATGCAGTTAATGTCTGAGTTTTGATGCTGTAAGTGGCCGAGTTTAATGCAGTAAATATACTAGTTTAGTGCACTTAATGTTTTAGTTTTAATGCAGTTGATGTCTGAGTCGTAATATCACATGTGTTTTATATATTTATTATAGAACCCGTCATTGAACCGAGTGCGATGTCGAACAGTAAGCTCTTGTGCCTTTAACGTTCTCCTGTTTTACTGGTACTCAGAGCTGCTACAGAGACACATGGACAGGATGGTGGTGTCCATTCTTCACAAACTCGAAACACTCCTGCTGAGGCACACAGAGCTCTTGTTGACTCTCCTCTTCCTCCTCCCCCTCTGTCCTCCATCCTGTCAGTGAATGGAGGAGGTGAAGCGTCCATTCATTCACCCTGAGAAGGTGATTATCCACAGCTATGAGCCGAGACTGGAAACTCATCAGACTGAAGCTGCTGCTGGAGTTCAGCCCACAGAGAACGTGAGAGGTCATCACAAACAACAAGAAGAATCAGCTCACCTGTGAGGATCTGTTACTAACCTTCTCACATCTGACCATATATTATCATAAAAACCAGCATAGACACCGCTGTATCTCACCACTGAATCTCACCAATGAGGTCCTGTTAACGATCTCATTATTAAAATCTTAATTTACTGTCATTAACTGATTAATTCAGTGTTACACAGTACAGATTTAAAGGCGGTTTCTCCCACTGAGACTGACTAAGGTTTCCGTGTCACCAGGTTGTATCTCTAAACTCAGATTATCTTTTCCAGGTCTCCACCCAAAGATCCTGTTTGAACAGAGCCGACTTCAGACTGGATCCATGACCACTGTGTAAGTTCCTGGTTTTAGCTTGTATTCCCCTTGACCCAAATCAAGACATTAAACACCCCCTTTTCAAATGTCTCAGATGGATGACAGCTATAGTATGTGATCCCCATTGATTAGGATTTTTGTTACCTGCAGGTAATGTGATTTCTGATAACTTTACTTCCAGTCACCCCCAATTATCACCGTGTCTGGAACTGCTCCAATTTTCGCTGAGCTCTCTGCGAGCCTTCCTTTCTCTAGATTTCAGACACATGAGACGGATGAACACGGCTCACACTGACGTTGTTACAAAAAGGACTGACAACACATTGTTTTCATGCCGGGCCAGTAGGAGGCAGTGTAACTTTGTAAGAAAAGACCACTGTGCTGAAAACCTCCTTGTAGGTTTCATTATTTATGATCTTATTTTACTTTATTCTCCCAGTAAAATCTCAGTTTATTTTCGAGGTATTTGATCTAAATTTCGTATATTTGTAGTTCAGTGTTTAATTTTTGCTAAACATCACTTTTTTTAAATCATAAAATATATATTTTAATGTCATTTTTGCTTGATTTTGTTTTTAATGATCTGTTTGAACACAGTGAAGCACTTTTTATTTCATGCTGTAGAAACAAACTCGTCTCGTCCTGTTCAGTTTTTGCTTCAGTGGAAAAGCTCAGATCTACTAAAGGCTGCACCATCAGATCTCCAGATTTAAAGCATACTGCTGCTAAGTTCTTCTTTCCCTACTTTTTCAGATGGAAACCAAACAAAGTTCAAGTCCCTGCAGCTCCTCTGGACGACAAGCTGGTAGGTAAGCACTCTCCGCTCTGTTGGTCTGATTTACATTCACATTCAAATCAGCAGCCAAACATGAACCAGCTGCTTTTCCACCAAGAAACCTCTCCACATTACCTCTTCATGTATGATCTCATGACCAGGTAAGTCTCCCGTTAAAAGCCTGTGAAACTACAGCACAATCAACCTGAATATAGCAAATTTTGTGGCGGATTACAGACAGTGGTAATCCCAAGAACCTGCGGATTCACATACAATCGCACGATAACAAGTTGTCTCTATAAAGACAGACACATAGAAATATAGGCAGTAGATTGTGTCCTTCCAGAGGAGCTTTGCTTTAAAGAGAAGAGGCTCCTTACAAACCTTTAGAGGAGTCTGTTTTCGTTCTTCTAAGGTTAGCATGTAAATGAATATCTCGCTGATGTGAGTCACAGGTGCACAGATGTGAACCAAACTAACACGTCAGTTGGTAACTCCAGCTACCGCTAATCCCCCGGCTCTACCATTTTGTCAAACATGGTCTGTTTTTGCTCCAAGAACCGTTTCTAAAAATCTCTGTGTTTTATAAAACCAGATTGAGTCAGGGGGTCGGGTTTGACATTTTCTGTGAGACCTCCAGATTCCAGAACTCTTCATGAGAACCATAATCCTTCACTTCCTCTGAGCGAGCTGATCCCGATGCTAATCTCTGCTAATCTGCTGCAGAGTCTGTTAGCTGCTGCTCCTCTCAGAGCGAACACCAAGATCATCCTCCTCAGACGCACTTTAAAGTAAAAGTACATTTACTGAAGGACTCTGTGGACTCATCTTAAGGGATTCAGCTCCAGTTATGATAATGAATATTTGATTTCATAATTCTGTATTTAAATGCTGTGATGACCGAGTTTGGACCGGACTGTCATCTATCACCAGCTTTTTTGGTCCTCCTGAAGGGAGGAGGAGCAGCTTTCTGTTGTCTCTTTATCTTGACTAATGGAGGATTTCAGCTGCGCATTTATTTGCTTTCAAGAAGCTATGCAGTTACGTTCATGTTAAAGGTGGGGTAGGCAGGAATCCGTTAAAGAAGCATCTAGATGTAGATATCTACACCCCGCACGTAACCGCTGCTGAATAACTGCAGGGGAAACACTGTGATGTCAGAACGTGGTTTTTCATGGTCTCCAGATCCTCTGAATCTTTGAATGATCTGATGTTCTGTAGACGATGAAATCCACTCAGGAACTTTATTTTGAAATTGTTAAACTGTTCGCTCACGCGGTCTCTCACAGAGTCCTGAACCTCTTCCATCGTTCCTTCTGAGAGACTCCGCCTCTCTGAAGTGCGTCTTTGACCCTGTCATGTGACTAACCTGTTGGACATTCACCTCAGTAGTTGGAAATGTTCCTCCAGATGTTTTTTTAGATTTACAACTTTTGACCTGTTTAGTTGTTCCTCTATAACAGGGGTCGGCAACCTTAAACACTCAAAGAGCCACTTGGACCAGTTTCCCACAGAAAAGAAAACACAGGGAGCCACAAAACCTCTTTGACATCTAAAATGAAGATAACATTGCATATATCTTTTTTTTACCTTTATACAAAGTATATAAAAAACTGTAGCGAGTTGCATTTATGAAATAAATGAACTATTTCGGCGAGTGTCTGTCTTCTTCTGTAGTTAAACCGCAAGATATCAAAATCTACCCGGATACAGCAATGCTGCTTTTTGATTGGCTGTTCAGTAGATATACTTTATTTGATTGGCTTGTGCGTGGCACGCAGCTTCTGAACTCTCGGAGGAACTCAGTTGATTTCCCCCAGTTCCATAGTTGAAGAAGTGCAACTTGGTGGACATCACCGTGTTCATTTAAATGTGTGAGAAATACAATGTGTGGTGTGTGAGCGTGTGAATGAGTGGGAATGCGTGTGTCATACGCTGAATGCGTGAGACTTGAGAGCCCTGTGCTCACGCATCATCGATGTACTCCCGAGCCATGCAAAACGGTCTTTGCAAATGTTGCACTGAACGCCTTCCTTTTCAGTCTTGGTGAAGTTTTCCCACACCACTGATGTTTTAGGTCGGGATTTGGGTTGGGTTGTGTCCATGTTTTTCTCAGCCGCTGCCTCGGCCATGGCTGTTCTCTCTTCTGTGCGTCCTGCTGATGTTTACACGCCGGTGTCCATGGACATATATAAAGACCCGACGAATCGATTACAGAATTTGTTGGCAACGGATTTTTTCGTCACGACGAATCTACTTAATCGATTCGTTGTTGCAGCCTTAATAGTTTATTTAATGTTACAAGAGCATTATAATCTTTGAATTTAGAATTACAAAAAAAAAAAAAATAGTAAAATAAAATAAAATGCAATTAAGTATTTATTATTTATTTTCCAAATCCATTGGGAGCCGCAGCTTAGGGAAGAAAGAGCCGCATGCGGCTCCAGAGCCGCGGGTTGCCGACCCCTGCTCTATAAGAACTTTAGACCTGAGAGCGCTCTCGTTTCCTGCTTCTTCTGGTTCAACTGAACGCCTCTTCTTTCAGTTTTAACAGCAAAGTAGACTCTTTACAGGCCGTGCTTTATCAGCTGATGAGTCGTGTACTGTTTATCCTGATATGTGATTAGATTTTATTAATGCTCGGGATAATATACAGATCATACTGATCCTTTTAGGGGTCAATACAAGGTCATTTTCATCCTCATGGACAGCTGATGTGCAGAGGGGAGGGACCGCAATTGGCTCGTCTGAAAGACATATAAGCCCTTTGTCTCTCACAAGTGGCCCCACTGCTGTGTTAGAGGAAGTACCAGAGGACTCACAGAGGGACACTGATGTTATTCTGTCAGGGGACCAATAGGACAGTTTCTAAAGTTACAGACTCACAACACAGAAAAAGACTTCTCAGACGAAGACTAGTACAAGGACTTGGAGGACCCTCATTAGTCTGCATGAGGAGAGCCGGTTCAACCTAGAAGCGACTTCCAGTCTTGAGAAATGAAGCTGAAATGGTAAAACGGCAGACCCTTGAGTGTCCACTAGAGGCTGTCTGCAGAAGCACCAGAAACCACATACAGATGAACAGAAGTCATGTTTACGAGCTGGTACAAAGATGGATTTGGACTGGATGGCTCATTTCTCTCTGTTCAAACACTCAGAGTGGATTTTACTATGACGTGTTTTGTAAATGATGTTGATTATTCAACATTATTCATTTTTAAAGCTGTCACATGATGTCACATCCCCATCAACATTAAATAATCATTATGAACTTGGTAGAGGTGGGCTTCATTACCTGTACTGCTGCCAGCCACTAGGGGAGCTCTACATGCTTTGGCTTTGGGAAGGACTTAAGCGTCTGATTTATTTACATCCAATTTGTTTCACGCTAAAGAAACAAATAAAAAAGACAGACTCCTGATGGACATTTACAGCAACTAGTCGGACAAATTCAGAGAGTTTTAAAACAGAGAGCAGGATGATAAAACAGACTGTTACTGACAGGTCTGTCCTACAGTAACAGCCACACAAACACACAGACACTGACCTTCCCTGTCACACAGCTGCAGGCTCTTCAGCTCCAGGCTGGGACTGTTCAGATTACTGTGAGACTCCGTCATCTTCACGTCCTCACAAAAACAGAAAAACAGAGAAAGAGACAGAAATCATCAGTCCAACAGCTGTCAGGCTCAACTACATCTGACTGTTGCTCGCTCCAACACTACCTCCCTCCCTCCCTCCTTCCCTCCCTCCCTCCCTCTCTTTCTCTCTCTCTTTCTCTCTGACATCACAGGTCAATCAAAGAGAGAGGGAGGGAGAGAGATTTGTTTTAAACAGCTAAGTTTGCATAAAAACACTTGAAATAAGAGTCTTCATACAGAAACTTTGAGTTTTGAGTGTTGAAGACTTAGGTGAGGAAATAAATTAAAAAGAAAAAGAATCAGAGAACTCAGTTCATCACTGCATCCACAAACCAAACCAAAGAGGAAACCCAATACAGACAGGATCCAGAAACACCTGACCTCCAATCTCCACCTTCATCCTGATCGTCTCCTAAAAGGTTGTATCCTCCGATCGTAGCTGATCGTAACCATTCAAGTTAACGTGTCAATTTACACCGACTTCTTTCCGTTCCTCTGCGGATCGCCGGACTCCTCAGCTGATCACAAGAGTTCTATTTTTTCTGGACGCCGGAGCATGGCGGATAAATTCAGCACAGATTAACCTGTTGGAAAGGAAGTCGGGCACAGACACAAAATAAAACATCCGGCTTCTTTTCAAAATAAAACACTCCGTGTTTCAGGAGGATCGTATTTCACACCATGCAAACGGGCGGAGACGAACAAGTGAAAGGTTTTTAGACGTCATTTCACCCCGATGACACCATGGATGAGGAGATGCTGATTCTAGAAGTCTAGAAGTAGATTTCCTCCTCTGGAAGGACACAATCTACTGCTTATATGTCTATGTGTCTGTCTTTAGAGAGACAACTCGTCAGCACGTGATTGAGCATGAATCTGTGGGTTCTTGTGAGTTCTTGCGATTCCTGCTGTCTGTAATCCGCCATGAAATCCGCCTCACGAACGGATCTGGTTCTGGAATTGGTGTATGGCAAAAATTGCTGCCGTTCCGGATCGGAGCCGTTCCAGACGCGGTGGAAATCCCGGGTGAGACTACCCTGGACCTGAGTCCATTTAAGGTGGACTTACATTTGAAATCTGCCTCTTTTTTTGGAAATCCTAGACTCTGCATCCTCCTCTCTAAAGTATAGAGGGTCCACCCAGCTTGCTCTCATCTCCCAGTCCAAATCCAGCATCCCTGATGGTACGGGGACCATCAGAGTCCATGTCATGGGTATCTTCTACATATGTGAAGGCTCCATTAATGCTGAACAATATCTCCAGGTTTAGGAGCAACATCTGCAGCCTTTCGGACAAAGACTTTTTCAGAGAAGACCTTCATATGATCCCAAACCTCATTCTGACAGCAGGGATTTCAACAGCATGGCTCTGTAGGAGAAGAGTCCTGCTGAGAAACTGGACTGATGCAGTCCTGATTTGTCCCCCATTGAAAACATTTGGAGCATCATGACCCCCAAAACAGGACCAAGGAGACCCTGATCTGTTGAGCAGCTGAAATCCTCTATGAAACCCCAGAACCTGGTCTGCTGGGTTCACTAAGGTCTACAGAGGGTTGGGAAAAGAAGAGCTGAGGACACATGACCGTCGAAGTTTCTGTAGACAAAAAATCAGTTGAGTTTGATGTTCTGGATCAGGGAGCACCGGTTCATGAAGTTCTCTAATGTTGAAGCTCTTCATTAACAATCATCCTCTTATGCCACTCATGTGTACCTCTCATGATAATGCTGCTTTTGAGCTTTTTGCTGCGTCCTCTCTCCCTTCAGAAAACAAAACGAGCTTCATGAGAATAACGGACAGAGGTCTGTCATCATTTGTGGATTAAATCATAAAGTCAGCAGGAAGGATTACAGGATACACTGGAGTGAATTAAACCAGCGCTTATATAAGGAGATTAACTGCAGAGTGCAGCCGGGCCAGAGCGCACACACACACGCGTTCATCTGTGAGGGCCCTCAGTGAGTCAACACAGTCAAAGGGGGATTCCTGTTTTATTCAAACCTTTATTTCATATCTTTTGTAAAACGTTTTGAATGTCTCCAGCAGCAAAGTTGATCCCTCAGCAGGTAAACCATCTGTAAAATCTCGAACATGATCCTCCATGGGTCAGAGTGTGTCACTTATAGTTGTTCCCTCACAGACCACAGGAGTTGTTGGTCCACTGCTGCCTTGATTTACTGGGGTTAAGGTGATGGTCACTGTCAGTGTGGAACCACTGTTTTTTTTTCATTCTGAGCTGAAATCAACACTTTTATTGTTTCTGGGTGAAGTCTGAGCAGTTATGTTATAAAAAGACCCATTAGTTTAAGTCACTCCGGTCTTTCTTGCCCTCTTTGGTTTGAATCAAGTTTTACTCAAGAATACTGAAACATTTTAGTCTGCTTTGAGTCATTTCAAAGTTATGACATTATTACTATTACCTTTGGTCTAAATGTTTAACTGTCTTTCACTCAGTTGGCTGATCAAAACAGGTATCTAGTAGTGCTGGGCTGTTAATTAGATTTTGCTTTCGGTCCCAATTTTCAGCTCACAAAAGAAGGATTATTGAGAGAGGCTTTGACACACAGCTAAATAAGTGAACCTGCAAATATGCAACTGATGTTGCAAGTTGTGTTTTTAAAGTATTTCACTTCAATTTAATAGTAAGCTGCACAACCAACAGATTACCACAGTGAAACAAGGGCTGCTGCAGTTCACCAGTGTTGGTGAAAACAGTCTTTAAACATACTGTATTAATACTGTGCTGAAAATAAGTATATTTGAATAGATAATGAGTTATATCAAATATTCCCAAATAATGAGGCACAGAAACAAACTGTTCATTGTTTCAGGCAGAACACCTTTAATTTTACTGAAAGAGTACAGTATAGGCTGTAGCAGGGTGAGCTCCTGTATTTTTACATCTGAAGGTTTGGTGCTGTGGAACAGCTGCCTGACATCAGTTAGTCCTGAAGAACTACTGCACAGGACGGATCTTCATGCTGATGCTCTTCAGAGAGTAGTTTTGGCCTTTCCATGTTGACCACTCTACTCCAAGAGCATAGATAGTACCATCAGCCCCCCAGCGATACACCCCGTTTGGATTTGCACTATGACAATTGTTGTACCAGAATGCCCCCAAAAAGAGTTTGGCACAGCTGTATTCCACGGCGTCCTGGTCTTTGTCGAAGGTGGAGAACTTTTGTCCATCGTGAAATTCCAGGGAGTCACCTACAAAACACAACAACAGCAAAGTCACGATGATTTAAATGTTACACCAGCACAACAACCTAAAGAACCAGCAGTGTCACCAAAAGTTTACATTTGAGTTTGGTCATTAGTGACTGTCATTAAAATCTATGGCAGGTAATCTGTTAGAACATTATCACCTTGATATCAGACAAACAAAAAGTTGAAGCTGACCCACCTGCCCCTCCAACTACGTATCCAGAAACATGCAGGCAGTATCCACCAGTCTCTGAGTCAATGGCAAATGCATTGTAACGAGCAAACGTTTTGTTTCCACTGAAGTCCTCCATGTCGACCCGCAGCTCGTACCTCCTCCTCAGAGTCAGGTGGAAGAGATTCTCCAGCCCTTAGAGTGACAACACACATAAACATGTGGGAAAGATAAGTTCAAAAATCTTCCACACCACCACCACCACCTCCTGCTGTGAGTTAAATTATCTTTAAGGCCAGGCTGGAGGGTTGTGTATGTATTGTAGATAGGGGCACTAATAGACTGTATATACCATGGACAACTTGGTTCCACCTACCACCTGTATACGGATTTGAAGCCAAAAAGTTTTCGGTTTTTCCGGGACTTTTCTTCATTTCCTGAAACCAGCATTGCGCAGTAGCGTTGTACGCATTCGGCAGGAGAGTCGCCGAGAGTTGCTGTGATGACGATCGGCTCAAACGGTGAGCTACGCAATCCCTGAACGCCAATAGGCTGTATCAGGTGTCAATCATAGAAAACATGAACCCCTAATAACTTTTAAAAACGGAGCTTCACAGAAAAAAAAGGACTTGAGCACAAACCAGTCTGACAGTAACTACATGTCAACATCACAACCAGGGGGGAGAAACATTTATGTTCTGTGTCATTCATTTATAAAGTTTGTCCACAGCTCCATAAGCTTTGCTGGCGGAGGCGGGATTTATGACCTATACTTCAGCCCGTCAATGGAGGGTGCTGTTCTTGGGGTAACTTCACCCAGCGAGGAGGCAGACACTGTCCATTCTATATACAGTCTATGGGGGCACTCCTTTATGGCTAGTCAGTGAGTTTGGTTGTCACTGGAGTCAGGACTGTGAGTTATGATTGCTCCTGATGGGGAGCTGGTGCGAGGAGCTTATATAGTGTCTGGGGCTCCAATTCCCTATGCTGACTCACTCGCTCCTGTACTCTAGTGAAGACAGATCCTCTCTGTGGCTCCATCAGCACCACAGGCCTGATAGGAGATTTGTTGTCCCCTTTCAGTGGCCGTATTGAGGATGGTGTCTTCTAAGCAGGGCTGGTTGGCTCCCCATTCCTTTTGAGTTTTAGAGTGATCTTCTGGGTCTTCCTGGTTGTTTCAGTTATTTGTCAGCTTCTTGGGAGCAGCTGTTTTTATTTCTAGATAAGCCTGGTTTCATAACAGGCTTGTCTTTGTGATGGTCTTGTTTTTTTCTGTCTCTATGATTGCCTCTGCGGTTTGAGTGGTTTTCCCTTTGGAATAATGTTTAAGTTAATCTGAGCAGTTCTTCTTTGCTGCTGAAATAACCTTTGGACAGTTTAAAACTGCCCCTCCTGATCAGAAAGTTGCTTTAACAACATCAGAGTTTCATGTTTTAGCTTTCTGAATTGTCAACACAACTACTTGGTGTCCTTTCTCACCGAGCCAGTACTCTCCAGCAGCAGTCCCAAAGCCAAACTTGTAGTGATCCCAGGGTCTGTAGAAGTTCACAGAGCCATCCATCCTCCTCTGGAACACCTGAGGAACAAAGTGGAGGTCAGTCAGCTGACACACAAGACATCTGACATCGCTATTTTGGTTAAATACTCACCGTCCAGCGTCCTCCCTCTGAGTCCATGTCACAGTACACCTAAACACACACACCCATAAAAGTAAATCCATGATACCAAACAAAGTGACCTGTGTCTAGGCCTGGACGATATAGAAAAAAAGCATATCGATAAAAAATAAACCATATTGATCGATATCGATAATTATCGATATAATTATTATAATTATTTAACATATATTTTAATTGCAGCCCTGGATGTTTTATGCTATTGCTTAATGACCTACTTTTAATAAAGAACACACAAGCACTGAATTCAAATTCAAACCTTTATTCAACCACCTTTTTTATTTTACCACAACTGAAAGTTTTTTAAAAAAGAACTAAAAAAAAAAAAAGAAATCAACTTAAGTGGCCTGAGTGACGTCAGTAAATACTGACAAACATAAAGACTAAAGTGACCAGAAAATCTGATAAATAAATATTTAAATAGTGTTTTGATGAAAATAAACAAAACAAACAAATATATAAATAAACAGAATAGCTTTAGGTGGGAATAGCATACTACCAGTTTTAACTGTGTGGGAAACTGCCCACAGCCTGGTGTCTGAACACTGAAATATTTCTCCCGGGGTCGGGAGATTTATTTTTTTTGATTATCATGTGATTGACTTAATACACAAACTAAGCACGAGAAGCAGGACTTATCCACGCCGGTGTTGTGTCGTAGAATGCACCCCTGCCGAATGCACCCCCTGCTAGTAGCCATGATCCAAATACTCGCGTCTTTGTAAAACATGAGCTCATTTGAACGCATTTCCTCCGCACCCTTCTCACCTTTTCAACCCCTGACCCATTTTCATGCCTGAAGCGCTGTGTTTGAGAAATACTTGCGGCCGGGCACTTCATATCGCGGGTCGAGAGTGGCTAGAAGCTGGTCGAAGCCAGGCTTTTCAGCGGTAGTTATTGGTAGTATGTCCCTCGCTATGGAGCATGTTACTGCATGGGTGATGTCCTTATGCCGGTTGGACGCTTTGTCGTAGTTTTGGCAAGAAACGAAGTCCAGTTTGGTCTGCTTCACTTGCTTTGTGCTGGTGCTGGCAGCGGTTCCAGAGGATTCCTCCGACGATAACGTGGAGCCGCGGCGCGGCCGACACAGCTCGTACTCCTGCGGGTGCGATCGGTTTAGATGGTAAAACAAGTTGGTTGTGTTACCAGACTTGGTTTTTACTAATTCTCTGCAAATTTTGCAAACGACCGCTGTTCGCTTTTTGTCAGACTTCTAAAAACCAAAACATTGCCATGCTGGTGAACTACTGAAACCTTTTATCGGGACAATGTCCTCCGCTTCTCCTTGCTGTATCATTTTTTCTAATACACGTGCTGTCTGTTGTGGTTTGATAGGGGCTGGGCTTGGTGCCGTAGCGTACCTGGGTCTGCGTTTGTGATTGGTTGGGAGGAAGTAATGACTGTCGTAAAAGCTACATGATAGGCTATGATGAAAAAGAAAGGGAAACTGTGTTTTTCTATCGAACTTTTTATCGACCCGTTTTTTTTCTATCGCACCACACGTCTATCGATCGATATATATTGTTATCGAATTATCGTCCAGCACTACCTGTGTCAGCACCTCTGCAGATCAACAAGCCTACCTGGACAGCAGACGTGGATCCTATAGGATAGATGGTGTACACTCCACTGGACAGGCCATTGGTGTTATTGTGGATCTCACTACAGTCGCGTGGCAGGACAAGCTGACTGCTGATCAGCTGAGGAGCCAGGAGGAAGAGGACGGTGACCGACACCAGCTGGAACAGATAAACCAACTTTCATTCTGACTCAGTCAGCAGTCGGACCGACAGAGTCCCTGAGCCCATTATTGCAGCGTGTTGTAAAGGCTGGTCTCAAAGCACACTGAATCAACCCCCCACTCTACTCTACACCTTTTTTTAAAACTTAATGAAGTCCACTGAATCAGAAAGCATAAAGTGATGTGCTGCGCCAGTCAAAAAGGCTGTCAATGAAAATGTTTTTTGAGTTACACAAAAAGGAAAGGACCCAAATGCAGGACGACAAAAAGATTTATTCAAAATAAACTAAATTAAAAGCAACAAAAACTTACTTGGAAAATGTCAAACTCTAAAATCCAAAAGGGCAAAAACCAACAGTAGGCATTTGAATGTGAAATTTAGTGAACCTGTATCATCAAACCAAATGTCTTTTAGAAATTGCATACTTCTATAACCCCTAGGAAATAGTGGACCCACAGTTGACGTTTATCTCAAACGTACCTTCATGGTCAGGTTTCTGCTGAAGGTGGCTGATGAAGCTCTTGATCTCAGAATGTCTATCTTCTGATTTCTCTGGGCTTTATCAAGCAGGGTTTGTTTATCTTCATTGTCCTTGATAAATGTGAATAAATAACAGAACTGCTGGACGTACGTGACATGGTTTGAAAAGAGTCTGTGTGTGCCTTTGGATTACAAAACTGTTAAACAGAGATGTTGATCAGGTCATGAGTCGTTAACATCATCTACCCACCTGTTGGCAGAATTAACAGATGGGGTGAGGGGTGGGTCTAGTTACGGGAACTGCTTTAGTCTTTAGTCCAACGTCCAGTAAGAGCAAATGAACCTGTACATGTTCATGTTTCCCTTCATGTGTCGTCAGCTCTTTTTTTTTCCCAACCCTCTGTTGACATTAGTGAACCCAGCAGACCAGGTCCTGGAGTCTGACAGTCAAGTGTTGTCCCATTCTGGCCTGATAGAAGATTTCAGCTGCTCAACAGTTCAGGGTCTCCTTGGTCCTGTTTTGGGGGGTCTTGATGCTCCAAATGTTTTCAATGGGGGACAAGTCAGGACTGCATCAGTCCAGTTTCTCAGCAGGACTCTTCTCCTACAGAGCCATGCTGTTGAAATCCCTGCTGTCAGAATGTGGTTTGGGATCATATGAAGGTCTTCTCTGAAAAAGTCTTTGTCTGGATGGCAGCAGAAGTTGCTCCTAAACCTGGAGATATTTTTCAGCATTAATGGAGCTTTCACATATGTAGAAGATACCCATGACATGGACTCTGATGGTCCCCGTACCATCAGGGATGCTGGATTTGGACTGGGAGATGAGAACAAGCCGGGTGGACCCTCAGCAAGACAACACCAAGACTCATTCTGCATGAGTTACACCAGTGTGGCTTCAGAGTCAAGGAGTCCAGGTACTAGATGGGCCTGCCTGCAGTCCAGACCTGTGCCCCTTTGAACATATGTGGATCCTTTTGAAGCAACAAAATACCACAGTGGAGACCCTGGACTATTTATCAGCTGAGGTGGTCCATCAATCAAGACTATAAAAGATTCATCATCAAAGCTTCAACAATCAGTGTCCTCTGTTCCCAAAGGCTGACTGGGAGTGGTACATGACCCTAAACCAGGTTTTTAGGGACAAGTTACAGCATCAAACTCAAAATGAGTGAATATTTACAAAAAAATTAGTCCTAACATCATTGGGATTGGGGTTCAGTCTTAGTTTAGTTGGGTCTTAACTCATTCTCATTCATTAGTTCAGAGGCATTATTGCTTTTCACACTTACCAAACTGTCAACAACCCTGGACCCCCCTCTTTATGGCTGGGGGTCTTTACTGGAAACTTCTGTCAATCCTCAGCTTTTCTTTCAAGCCATTGTCCCCTTGACAATGTACCGATGTTGTGGCTCTTGCTCTTGTCTGTTGCTCTCTGTCTGAGAGTCTGGACAGAAGGAGACAGTGGACACAGTACAGACTTTGTTCAGCTGCTCATTTATTATCACATCAGGGTTTCAAACTTCAACAGAACTTGTTTTAGAAACCCATTGACCATGGTTTTGGTCTCCTCTTGCAACTGCTTTCACACAGTCTGAGAGCTTTTTTATTTTTCCCTCTGGAGGTCAGAAGTGATTCAAGGCTGATCAACCACAGGTTTGGTTCAGCCTGGATAACTACTGCACAGGACGGATCTTCATGCTGATGCTCTTCAGAGAGTAGTTGTTGCCTTTCCATCTTGACCACTCCACTCCGACACCAAGGATAGTACCATCAGCCCCCCAACGATAAACCCCGTTTGGATTTGCACTATGACAATTGTAGTACCAGAATGCCCCCAAAAATTTTTTGGCACAGTTGCTAGTTGAGGAGTCCTGGTCTTTGTCGAAGGTGGAGAACTTTTGTCCATTATGATTACTCAGGGAGTCACCTACAAAACACAACAACAGCAAAGTCACGACGATTTAAATGTTACACCAGCACAACAACCTAAAGAACCAACAGTGTCACCAAAACTTCACACTTGAGTTTGGTCATTAGTGACTGTCATTAAAATCTATGGCAGGTAATCTGTTAGGACATTATCACCTTGATATCAGACAAACAAAAAGTTAAGGCTGACCCACCTGCCTCTCCATCTATGAATCCAGATACATGCAGGCTGTAACCGAAGGATTCTGGATCAATGGTGAAGGAGGTGTAGCGAGCAAACGCTTTGTTTCCACTGAAGTCCTCCATGTCGACCAGCAGCTCGTTTTTCTTCCTTAGAGTCAGGTGGAAGAGATTCTCCAGACCTGAGAGTGACCACACACACGAGGCACAGATAAGTCCTTCCACACCTCCACGAAACCTTCTGTGAGCTGACTCTAACGTTTCAACAAGATTGAAGGTTGTTCTGAATGTGACGTCAATCAAAGTGACAACGTTTTTGGATTTATGAAAACCTCTCCTGGACCCTCAAAATCTGAATTTTGAGTTCAGTTTCACAGATTTTCCTTATTGATGCTTTACAGAATACCCAGTTTGTGCATGTAGTTCTTATCTGCTCAAATGAACTTTAAACATGTGTGACTTTTCCCTTCTGTCCACTAAGTCACTTTAAAAAATTAAGTCACAGTTTGGTGTTATATCTTTGTAAACCATTGTGTGATTGCTCAGTGTCCTTTCTCACCGAGCCAGTACTCTCCAGCAGCAGTCCCAAAGCCCATCTTGTAGTGATCCCAGGGTCTGTAGAAGTTCACAGAGCCATCTATCCTCCTCTGGAACACCTGAGGAACAAGGTGGAGGGTCAGTCAGGTAAACATTTTGATCAACAACCTTAGAGACACATTGTTAGTCCAGATTTGGAGAAATGAAAGTTGAAAATTAGACACCCTCCAAACTTCTAACCAGGAGCTAAAATAGATCTCATCTCACTCAGAGAGCACGTCACCAGCTAAAGATGTTTCTGCTACATTAGGGAAAAAATCTTCATTAATTTTTTCCCTTTTAAAAAAAATAAAAAAGCATTTACTCAAGGGGACACCTATTTTATTTTCCAAAGTGTATGAATATTAAAAGATCCATGTGTAAAATAACTTTGTCATCAGAAACGAGCAATAATAAAGAATATTTATATTATTTAACACTCACCGTCCAGCGTCCTCCCTCAGAGTCCATGTCACAGTACACCTAAACACAGAGCTGCATTAATACTCCTTATCCATCAACCGTGTGTTTATATTAACCCTAACAGAAAATCATCACCTTTGTAATATGGTCTTTTTTTATGTTTCCAAGTATTTGGTGTAGGAAATACAACACTGATAGTTGTGCAGCGCCCTCTGCTGGGCTCCTTCAGACTTTGGGTGGCCCACGTGTGTGTTGATTATTTTAACTCTTTTGTTTCTTTATCCTTTAATTTTCCTCTTTTTGTATCTGTATTCATGCTTATGTAGTTTGGAAGTTACCCCCGCAGGACTATTAAAGGAACATCTTATCTTATTGATACCAGACTGCTGTATCCTGATCACATAGTAGAGTGACCTGTAATGAACTCTGTTAAAACATGTTAAAATAAGTTTGCTATGGTTAAGAGCTTTTAATTCATCTAACATGTTAGAGATAATCTTCTCCTCTCAGTTTTATCGTGTACAGATGGACCAGAGAAGGTGTGGCCTACCTGAACAGCAGATGTGGATCCTATAGGATAGATGGTGTACACTCCACTGGACAGGCTGCTGTCATTATTATAGATGTCACTACAGTCGAGTGGCAGGAGGAGCTGACTGCTGATCAGCTGAGGAGCCAGGAGGAAGAGGACGGTGACGGACACCAGCTGGAATAGAGAAACCAACTTTCATTTTGACTCAGTCAGCAGTCAGACTGACAGAGTCCCTGAAGATCTGTAAGGACATCATGTTTATCCTCTGTGTCCAGATTCAGGTGAGAGAGTAAAACCAAAGAGGTGCCACATGTCTGCGCCGCCCAGAAGACCTTTATAATCACAAAGTATGAGTCCAATCTTATTATTGTATTATGTTATGAACAATGTAAGGGGGAGTATCAGGCTAACATTTGTCTTAAGTTAAATACTTAAATTTTCAGGGAAGCAGCTAATGTGTTTGATATTACAATTGTTCTTGTAAGTAACCCAACAACGAGTTTAAATGCTCTGATCTGTTTGTTAGACGTTAGGTTCGCAGCACAGAGAGAAAGAGGAAGAACCAGGTGAGAACATGGACAGGTGCTAAGGCTACAGTATGAAAATGATAAAGCAGCTTCTCTCAATTCCTATATATGGCAGTGAAATGACGCTGACTTTAGATAATAAACACGGAACCATTGAAACTTTGTCAGATCTGGATTTTGCCCGCCCCTGTTAACCTTTTCGATGAAAGTGTAAATCACAGGTCGGTATAGAACATCACAAATGTTCATTGCTGCCAAACAACAAAACTTGATATGATATATTTTTACTTTAGCAGCAGACCTCCTGTGTCAATAACCCAAATATATTAAAGTTAAAGTTGGTTTTAAACATACCTTCATGGTCAGGTTTCTACAAAAGAAGGCTGACGAAGCTCAGGACCAGAATCTGAACCATCTGATGTGTCTGAACTTTAGTGAGCTGTATTTATTCATTTGATTATCTGTGTTGAATATCAATGAATAACTAAACAGCTGCTGTTTCACACCAACTGACCAATCTGGAACCATAGGTCGCTGGGTGTGTCTCCGGGTTATGAAATACTGTGAACCAGGAATACTGACCAGGTGTTTGTGCTGTACATCCCTCAAACTCACTGCACTTCTTCAGTTTGATGCCAAATCAAATTGACGTCTCCAAACATAGAGAGGGCATGTAGTCCTAGTCTTGCCTGATAGATGATTTCAGCTGCCCAACAGCTGAGGGTCTCCTTGGTCCTAGTTTTAGTCTCATGATGGTCCTCTGTGTTTGTGTCTGTGCATGGAGGGTTTTTGAGGAAAAGCACTTGGTTTTTTTAATGTAAAAGAAATGATCAGACGCTGCCGTCTAGAGTCACTTGGCCTTTGGAAAGCATGACCCCCTGAGGGAGGGCTTCTAAAGGGGCAGATCTTTTACCCCAGAACTAAATTTGGACCCTTGACTCTGTGGGTCCTGGCAGCACCATGACCCACAGAGTCGATCAGAAAGCACTGTTGTTCCAGAACCTGTATATATTGTTCAGCATCAGTGAAACCCTTTATTAGCTCAGTGAAATAATTAGAAGAAGTTGTCTTCTCCAAAAAACTAGATGCCCCCACCCATCCAGCATGGCCGCCTTATTGGAAACGTCTGGCAACCCTCAACTTTGGCACCATCATTCCTAATTCCGAAACAGCAGTTAAGAACCAGATCCCTGCTGAGCCTCATTCCCCTTGATAATCAAGTGATGTTCTCGCTCTTGCTCTTATCAGTTCCCATCCATCTGGTGTGAGTGGGAATGTGAGGTGGAGCCATGTGGTGGGCTACAAAACCGATCCCTAAAGAATATTGGTACGAGGGTAAAATGGGAAAAGTTTCTCTTTTCATTCTTACAAAAGCACAAAAAACTTTATTTCAACAAAGTTTCTCATAAATTTTACAGAAATCTTTATGCAGCATTTCTCTGCCAGACAGGCCAAATGTGTCATTTCCAGCTCCACCTGTTTCTAAATTTTACAGAAACAGGATATGAAACAGCCAAGAGTTGTAATAGATTTGGTTCATCAGAAAAAGATAGTGGACACAGTACAGACTTTGTTCAGCTGCTCATTTATTATCACATCAGGGTTTCAAACTCCAACAGAACTTGTTTTAGAAACCCATTGACCATAGTTTTGGTCTCCTTGTGCAACTGCTTTCACAAAATCTTTGAGCTTTTTTATTTTTCCCTCTGGAGGTCAGAAGTGATTCAAGGCTGATCAACCACAGGTTTGGTTCAGCCTGGATAACTACTCCACAGGACGGATCTTCATGCTGATGCTCTTCAGAGAGTAGTCATGGCCTTTCCATCTTGACCACTCCACTCCAACAGCATTCATAGTACCATCAGCCCCCCAGCGATAAACCCCGTTTGGATTTGTTTGATGGCATGTGTTGTACCAGAATGCCCCCAAATATTTTTTGGCACAGTTGTGATTCACGGCGTCCTGGTCTTTGTCGAAGGTGGAGAACTTTAGTCCATCGTGATTACTCAGTGAGTCACCTACAAACCACAACAACAGCAAAGTCACGACGATTTAAATGTTACCCCAGCACAACAACCTAACGAACCAGCAGTGTCACCAAAAGTTTACACTTGAGTTTGGTCATTAGTGACTGTCATTAAAATCTATGGCAGGTAATCTGTTAGGACATTATCACCTTGATATCAGACAAACAAAAAGTTGAGGCTGACCCACCTGCCCCTCCATCTACGAATCCAGAAACATGCAGTCTGTAACCGAAGGATTCTGGATCAATGGTGAAGGAGGTGTAACGAGCAAACGCTTTGTTTCCACTGAAGTCCTCCATGTTGACCAGCAGCTCGTTTTTCTTCCTTAGAGTCAGGTGGAAGAGATTCTCCAGACCTGAGAGTGACCACACACACGAGGCACAGATAAATTTAAAGTCCTTTCACACCACAACCACCTCCTACAGTGAGCTGACTCTAACATTTAAATCAAAGTGACAAAGTTTTGGATTTAAGGAGACCTCTTCTGGACCCTCAAAATCTGAATCCTCAGAGAAAAGTAATTGAGTTCAGTTTCACAGATTTCCCTTATTCATGCTTTACAGAATACCCAGTTTGTGCATGTAGTTCTTCTCTGCTCAAATGAACTTTAAACATGTGTGACTTTTCCCTTCTGTCCACTAAGTCACTTTTAAAAAGTCACAGTTTCATGGTTTATCTTTATAAACCGATGGACGATTGCTCAGTGTCCTTTCTCACCGAGCCAGTACTCTCCAGCAGCAGTCCCAAAGCCCATCTTGTAGTGATCCCAGGGTCTGTAGAAGTTCACAGAGCCATCCATCCTCCTCTGGAACACCTGAGGAACAAGGTGGAGGGTCAGTCAGGTAAACATTTTGATCAACAACCTTAGAGAAACATTGTTAGTCCAGATTTGGAGAAATGAAAGTTGAAAATTAGACACCCTCCAAACTTCTAACCAGGAGCTAAAATAGATCTTGTCTCCCTCAGAGAGCACGTCACCAGCTAAAGATGTTTCTGCTAAATGAGGGAAAAAAAATCTTCATAATTTTTTTTTCCCTTTTTTTAAAAAAAAAAATAGCATTTACTCATGGGGACACTTATTTTATTTTACAGAATGTATGAATATTGTAAAATAACTTTGTCATCAGAAACGAGCAATAATAAAGAATATTGATATTATTTAACACTCACCGTCCAGCGTCCTCCCTCAGAGTCCATGTCACAGTACACCTAAACACAGAGCTGCATTAATACTCCTTATCCATCAACCGTGTGTTTATACTAACCCTAACAGAAAATCATCACCTTTGTAATATGGTCTTTTTTTATGTTTCCAAGTATTTGGTGTAGGAAATACAACACTGATGGTAGTGCAGCGCCCTCTGCTGGGCCCCTTCAGACTTTGGGTGGCCCGTGTGTGTTGATTATTTTTACTCTTTTGTTTCTTTATCCTTTAATTTTTCTCTTTTTGTATCTGTATTCATGCTTATGTAGTTTGGAAGTTACCCCCGCAGGACTATTAAAGGAACATCTTATCTTATTGATACCAGACTGCTGTATCCTGACCACATAGTAGAGTGACCTGTAATGAACTCTGTTAAAACATGTTAAAATAAGTTTGTTATGGTTAAGAGCTTTTAATTCATCTAACATGTTAGAGATAATCTTCTCCTCTCAGTTTTATCGTGTACAGATGGACCAGAGAAGGTGTGGCCTACCTGAACAGCAGACGTGGATCCTATAGGATAGATGGTGTACACTCCACTGGACAGGCTATTATTATAGATCTCACTACAGTCGAGTGGCAGGAGGAGCTGACTGCTGATCAGCTGAGGAGCCAAGAGGAAGAGGACGGTGACGGACACCAGCTGGAATATAGAAACCAACTTTCATTTTGACTCAGTCAGCAGTCAGACCAACAAAGTCCCTGAAGATCTGTAAGGACATCATGTTTATCCTCTGTGTCCAGATTCAGGTGAGAGAGTAAAATCAAAGAGGTGCCACATGTCTGCGCCGCCCAGAAGACCTTTATAATCACAAAGTATGAGTCCAATCTTATTATTGTATTATGTTATGAACAATGTAAGGGGGAGTATCAGGCTAACATTTGTCTTAAGTTAAATACTTAAATTTTCAGGGAAGGAGCTAATGTGTTTGATATTACAATTGTTCATGTAAGTAACCCAACAACAAGTTTAAATGCTCTGATCTGTTTGTTAGATGTTAGGTTCGCAGCACAGCGAGAAAGAGGAAGAACCAGGTGAGAACATGGACAGGTGCTAAGGCTACAGTATGAAAATGATAAAGCAGCTTTTCTCAATTCCTATATATGGCAGTGAAATGACGCTGACTTTAGATAATAAACACGGAACCACTGAAACTTTGTCAGATCTGGATTTTGCCCGCCCCTGTTAACCTTTTGATGAAAGTGTAAATCACAGGTCGGTATAGAACATCACAAATGTTCATTGCTGCCAAACAACAAAACTTGATATGATATATTTTTACTTTAGCAGCAGACCTCCTGTGTCAATAACCCAAATATATCAAAGTTAAAGTTGGTTTTAAACATACCTTCATGGTCAGGTTTCTACGAAAGATGGCTGACGAAGTTTAGGACCAGAATCTGAACCCTCTGATGTGTCTGAACTTTAGTGAGCTGTATTTATTCATTTGATTATCTGTGTTGAATATTAATCAATAACTGACTGGCTGCTGTTTCACATTAACTGACCAATCTGAAACTGTGTGTCCTCGAGTCTCTGGGTGTGTCACTGGATTGCAAGATACTGTAAACCTTGGACCCTTGTTCTTTCTGTCGAAACCCAGAGTTTCTCCGAAGGTCCCTTCTTCCTGGGGAAAAGTTCCTGCAGTCAAAAAGCACCTTATATTGTTCCAGAACCCGTACACCTGTTTCTAAATTTTACAGAGACGGGATATGAAACAGCCAAGAGTTTTAATAGATTTGGTTCATCAGAAAAAGACAGCGGACACAGTACAGACTTTGTTCAGCTGCTCATTTATTATCACATCAGGGTTTCAAACTCTAACAGAACTTGTTTGAGGAACCCATTGACCATAGTTTTGGTCTCCTAGTGCAGCTGGTTTCATACAGTCTGAGAGCTTTTTTATTTTTCCCTCTGGAGGTCAAAAGTGATTCAAGGCTGATCAACCACAGGTTTGGTTCAGCCTGGATAACTACTGCACAGGACGGATCTTCATGCTGATGCTCTTCAGAGAGTAGTTGTTGCCTTTCCACGTTTCCCACTCCACTCCAACAGCATTGAGAGTGGCATCAGCCCCCCAGCGATAAACCCCGTTTGGATTTGCATCAAGACAATTTATGTACCAGAATGCCCCCAAAAATTGTTTGGCGCAGTTGTTGGGCCAGGTGTCCTGGTCTTTGTCGAAGGTGGAGAACTTCTGTCCGTTGTGAACCCTCAGGGAGTCTCCTATAGAAACATAACTCTAGTAACATTATGCTCAAATTTTGCACATTTTCTCAGTCATTAGCCTGGCTGTCCACCTGATCCTCAAATACCATCTGTGAAGGTGATTGTATCAACAAAACAGACCTTGACTGACCTGCCCCTCCATCTATGAACCCAGATACTTGCAGTCTGTATCCATAGGTCTCTGGGTCGATGGAAAAGGAAGAGTAACGAGCAAACACTTTGTTTCCACTGAAGTCCTCCATATCCACCAGCAGCTCGTACTTTTTCCTCAGAGTCAGGTGGAAGACATTCTCCAGACCTCAGAGGGACCAAATACATCAAGAAACCTTCAGCACCATATCTATGAGACTTCATAAACGTTCACATGGTATCTTAGTGTCCTTTCTCACCGAGCCAGTACTCTCCAGCAGCAGTCCCAAAGCCAATCTTGTAGTGATCCCAGGGTCTGTAGAAGTTCACAGAGCCATCCATCCTCCTCTGGAACACCTGAGGAACAAGGTGGAGGTCAGTCAGCTGACACACGAGACAACTGACATCACTATTTTGGTTAAATACTCACCGTCCAGCGTCCTCCCTCTGAGTCCATGTCACAGTACACCTAAACACACACAGACAAGTAAACCCATGATACCAAACAAAGTGACCCGTGTCAGCATCTCGACTGCAGAAAAAAAGCTTACCTGAACAGCAGACATGGATCCTAAAGGATAGATGGTGTACACTCCACTGGACAGGCTGTTGTCATTATTATAGATGTCACTACAGTCGAGTGGCAGGAGGAGCTGACTGCTGATCAGCTGAGGAGCCAAGAGGAAGAGGATGGTGACGGACACCAGCTGGAATATAGAAACCAACTTTCATTTTGACTCAGTCAGCAGTCAGACCAACAAAGTCCCTGAAGATCTGTAAGGACATCATGTTTATCCTCTGTGTCCAGATTCAGGTGAGAGAGTAAAACCAAAGAGGTGCCACATGTCTGCGCCGCCCAGAAGACCTTCAAAATCACAAAGTATGAATGTAATTGTATTTATTATGTTATGAACAGTGTTAGAGAGAGTCTGAGTTTTTATATTTATCAGGCTAACATTAGTCTTAAGTTAAACAACTTATATTTGAGGGAAGGAGCTAATGTGTTCGATATTACAATTGTTCATGCAAGTAACCCAACAACGAGTTTAAATGCTCTGATCTGTTTGATGATGGCTGACGAAGCTCAGGACCAGAATCTGAACCCTCTGATGTGTCTGAACTTTAGTGAGCTGTATTTATTCATTTGATTATCTGTGTTGAATATTAATCAATAACTGACTGGCTGCTGTTTCACATTTAACTGACCAATCTGAAAACCATGTGTCCTCGAGTCTCTGGGTGTGTCACTGGATTGCAAGATACTGTAAACTTTGGACTCTTGTTCTTTCTGTGGAAACCCAGAGTTTCTCCGAAGGTCCCTACTTCCTGGGGAAAAGTTCCTGCAGTCAAAAAGCACCTTATATTGTTCCAGAACCCGTACACCTGTTTCTAAATTTTACAGAAACAGGATATGAAACGGCCAAGAGTTGTAATAGATTTGGTTCATCAGATAAAGACAGTGGACACAGTACAGACTTTGTTCAGCTGCTCATTAATTATCACATCAGGGTTTCAAACTCCAACAGAACTTGTTTGAGGAACCCATTGACCATGGTTTTGGTCTCCTAGTGCAGCTGGTTTCACACAGTCTGAGAGCTTTTTATTTTTCCCTCTGGAGGTCAAAAGTGATTCAAGGCTGATCAACCACAGGTTTGGTTCAGCCTGGATAACTACTGCACAGGACGGATCTTCATGCTGATGCTCTTCAGAGAGTAGTTGTAGCCTTTCCATGTTTCCCACTCCACTCCAACAGCATTGAGAGTGGCATCAGCCCCCCAGCGATAAACCCCGTTTGGATTTGCATCAAGACAATTGATGTACCAGAATGCCCCCAAAAATTGTTTGGCGCAGTTGTTGGGCCAGGTGTCCTGGTCTTTGTCGAAGGTGGAGAACTTCTGTCCGTTGTGAACCCTCAGGGAGTCTCCTATAGAAACATAACTCTAGTAACATTATGCTCAAATTTTGCACATTTTCTCAGTCATTAGCATGGCTGTTCACCTGATCCTCAACTACCATCTGTGAAGGTGATTGTATCAACAAAACAGACCTTGACTGACCTGCCCCTCCATCTATGAACCCAGATACTTGCAGTCTGTATCCATAGGTCTCTGGGTCGATAGAAAAGGAAGAGTAACGAGCAGTGGCGGTTCTAGACCAAATTACTCCCCGGGCGAGCACCCCTCCAAGTGCCCCCCCCCCCCCCCCCCCCCACACACACACACACACACATTATTATTAACAACAAAAATAAAATATTTCTCAATTGCAGAAATCCTTCAATAGAAAAAAACACAATCCTGAGGGCCATTTTGAGAAGGGCCCCCAGATCCTGAGGTTTTCTGAAGTGTTGAGGTTTACAAAAAAGCTGCTATCTCTGACTCTGTAGTTGATAGAAACAAAATTCAAAAAGTATTTGAGAGCTTAAACATGTGGCTTTCAAGAAAGCTCTCTTTTAGTTTTGCGAACCTTTAATCACATTTTTGAAAACCTTGAACAAACAAACTTAAACGAAATAAAGCGCCTGTATAAATAAAAGTAAAGGCTCTGCACTGGAGAATGACAAATAATTTGTTTTCTGTAAAACAAGTGGCAGTCATGATAAAGTGTCCATTCAATACAAATGTAAATATAGAAAATAAGGTGTTGAAAGGGTATACAGCCGCCCCAGTATAGTGCCAGTACAAAAGCAGAACTAAAAACTAAAAAATGAATAAATAAATACGTGGCTGACAGTGTGTTCATCTCTGTTCTCACCCAAAGTCATGCAACACTCAGAGAAAACGCTGATAGTGTGAGCCAAAGCACTCCCTATGAAGAGGTTGTTCACACTGCTGGATGTTTCTCCTCTGAAGCTGCTCCCTGCCTCCATCATTGTTTACTTCACTCATGAAGCTCATCAAGCACGTAGCAAGATCCGAGCATGAACCCGAGCGCTTTATTCGTCTATCAGAGGCAGACGGGTACGGTGATTTCATTCACCACGACTCCAGAAATGATTAAAAAACTACAAAATGACGTATCCGCGCTCCCGCTGATATGCTGACATGCGTAGAGCAGAGCAGAGCTGTCCCCCCGCGACTCTTTCCCCGCCTCGTCTCATACAATCTGTCAGCCTCTGTGCAGCACCTCCGGAGCAAGCAGGGGCGCCTACAGCAGCGGGGGAGCGCCAATTTGACAACAAGAGTTAATACAAAACCGCTTTGCGGTTAAGATTTATTATTATTATCTTTTATTTTATTTTTTTGGAAGTGCTCGTGCCGCCCCCCATGAGTCATGACACAAATGCCGCCCCGGGCGGCTGCCCTGTTCGCCCGTGCCTAGAACCCCTACTGGTAACGAGCAAACACTTTGTTTCCACTGAAGTCCTCCATATCCACCAGCAGCTCGTACTTTTTCCTCAGAGTCAGGTGGAAGACATTCTCCAGACCTCAGAGGGACCAAATACATCAAGAAACCTTCAGCACCATATCTACGAGACTTCATAAACGTTCACATGGTATCTTAGTGTCCTTTCTCACCGAGCCAGTACTCTCCAGCAGCAGTCCCAAAGCCAATCTTGTAGTGATCCCAGGGTCTGTAGAAGTTCACAGAGCCATCCATCCTCTTCTGGAACACCTGAGGAACAAGGTGGAGGTCAGTCAGCTGACACACGAGACAACTGACATCGCTATTTTGGTTAAATACTCACCGTCCAGCGTCCTCCCTCTGAGTCCATGTCACAGTACACCTAAACACACACAGACAAGTAAACCCATGATACCAAACAAAGTGACCTGTGTCAGCACCTCGACTGCAGAAAAAAAGCTTACCTGGACAGCAGACATGGATCCTAAAGGATAGATGGTGTACACTCCACTGGGCAGGCTGTTGTCATTATTATAGATGTCACTACAGTCGAGTGGCAGGAGGAGCTGACTGCTGATCAGCTGAGGAGCCAAGAGGAAGAGGACGGTGACGGACACCAGCTGGAATAGAGAAACCAACTTTCATTTTGACTCAGTCAGCAGTCAGACCAACAAAGTCCCTGAAGATCTGTAAGGACATCATGTTTATCCTCTGTGTCCAGATTCAGGTGAGAGAGTAAAACCAAAGAGGTGCCACATGTCTGCGCCGCCCAGAAGACCTTCAAAATCACAAAGTATGAATGTAATTGTATTTATTATGTTATGAACAGTGTTAGAGAGAGTCTGAGTTTTTATATTTATCAGGCTAACATTAGTCTTAAGTTAAACAACTTATATTTGAGGGAAGGAGCTAATGTGTTTGATATTACAATTGTTCATGCAAGTAACCCAACAACGAGTTTAAATGCTCTGATCTGTTTGATGATGGCTGACGAAGCTCAGGACCAGAATCTGAACCCTCTGATGTGTCTGAACTTTAGTGAGCTGTATTTATTCATTTGATTATCTGTGTTGAATATTAATCAATAACTGACTGGCTGCTGTTTCACATTTAACTGACCAATCTGAAAACCATGTGTCCTCGAGTCTCTGGGTGTGTCACTGGATTGCAAGATACTGTAAACTTTGGACTCTTGTTCTTTCTGTGGAAACCCAGAGTTTCTCCGAAGGTCCCTACTTCCTGGGGAAAAGTTCCTGCAGTCAAAAAGCACCTTATATTGTTCCAGAACCCGTACACCTGTTTCTAAATTTTACAGAAACAGGATATGAAACGGCCAAGAGTTGTAATAGATTTGGTTCATCAGATAAAGACAGTGGACACAGTACAGACTTTGTTCAGCTGCTCATTTATTATCACATCAGGGTTTCAAAATCCAACAGAACCTCTTTTTAGAAACCCATTGACCATGGTTTTGGTCTCCTCTTGCAACTGCTTTCACACAATCTTAGAGCTTTTTTATTTTTCCCTCTGGAGGTCAGAAGTGATTCAAGGCTGATCAACCACAGGTTTGGTTCAGCCTGGATAACTACTGCACAGGACGGATCTTCATGCTGATGCTCTTCAGAGAGTAGTTGTTGCCTTTCCACGTTTCCCACTCCACTCCAACAGCATTGAGAGTGGCATCAGCCCCCCAGCGATAAACCCCGTTTGGATTTGCATCAAGACAATTGATGTACCAGAATGCCCCCAAAAATTGTTTGGCGCAGTTGTTGGGCCAGGTGTCCTGGTCTTTGTCGAAGGTGGAGAACTTCTGTCCGTTGTGAACCCTCAGGGAGTCTCCTATAGAAACATAACTCTAGTAACATTATGCTCAAATTTTGCACATTTTCTCAGTCATTAGCATGGCTGTTCACCTGATCCTCAACTACCATCTGTGAAGGTGATTGTATCAACAAAACAGACCTGGACTGACCTGCCCCTCCATCTATGAACCCAGATACTTGCAGTCTGTATCCATAGGTCTCTGGGTCGATGGAAAAGGAAGAGTAACGAGCAAACACTTTGTTTCCACTGAAGTCCTCCATATCCACCAGCAGCTCGTACTTTTTCCTCAGAGTCAGGTGGAAGACATTCTCCAGACCTCAGAGGGACCAAATACATCAAGAAACCTTCAGCACCATATCTACGAGACTTCATAAACGTTCACATGGTGTCCTAGTGTCCTTTCTCACCGAGCCAGTACTCTCCAGCAGCAGTCCCAAAGCCAATCTTGTAGTGATCCCAGGGTCTGTAGAAGTTCACAGAGCCATCCATCCTCCTCTGGAACACCTGAGGAACAAGGTGGAGGTCAGTCAGCTGACACATGAGACAACTGACATCACTATTTTGGTTAAATTCTCACCGTCCAGCGTCCTCCCTCTGAGTCCATGTCACAGTACACCTAAACACACACAGACAAGTAAACCCATGATACCAAACAAAGTGACCTGTGTCAGCACCTCGACTGCAGAAAAAAAGCTTACCTGGACAGCAGACGTGGATCCTATAGGATAGATGGTGTACACTCCACTGGACAGGCTGCTGTCATTATTATAGATGTCACTACAGTCGAGTGGCAGGAGGAGCTGACTGCTGATCAGCTGAGGAGCCAAGAGGAAGAGGACGGTGACGGACACCAGCTGGAACAGAGAAACCAACTTTCATTCTGACTCAGTCAGCAGTCAGACCGACAGAGTCCCTGAAGACCTGTAAGGACATCATGTTCACTCCATGCAAACCAGCTCTGCAGTATAATTCAATCAATGCGGGAAAGGTGTGTCACTGCACCAGTCTCATTGTTACCATGCTGGATTTGGACAGTTAAAGTTAGTCGTAATCATACCTCCATGGTCAGGTTTCTAAGCTGAAGTGAGCTCAGGTAAATCTGGACCCTCCAGAGTCTCAGAGATGTGCTTCGATGTCAAAGATAAACAGATGACTTGACCACGACTGCTCCGCAACAACAAATAGTCTGTGTGCGTTTGGATTGAAAACACTGCAGTCCCAAGTTGTTGGCAGAGAGGCAGCTGTTCCTGGTCCAGGGACTCATGTGGCTTCATCAGAGTTAAAAATAACCGCTGGGCTGCCGCCTCAAAAAGCATTTCTAGGGTCACACTGTGGTCACCTACGGCATTAGACAGTAATTCCTTGGGCTTGTGATACTTGTACCCCAGTGCACAAGTAAAGCTAATCCCAGTACCTCTTCTCCACTGACCAGTTACAGAGTCTTCAGCATGGCTGCAACCTCAACCGTATTTCCATCGTCAACAGTCCCAAGCCCTTTTTTTTGTAGATGTGTGAGACTAGATGGGTACAATACAAAAAGTTTCATTGAAAACAGACACAGAAGAGAAGCTTTTTGTTGATTTTCACTTAGTTTCTTTATTTCAGGAAGATTAAAGATCATAAAACATCAAAATTTATTAAAACAGTTTCCTTCAAAATATGAAACCCCTCCAGATTACCCACAATCCTCTCTGCTCGCCACAGATTTAGGTTGATTTAGTTTCCAGGTCAATTATTGAGGCAAAAGATTGTAAAATAGCTCTATACAAACAGTTTCTGGATATTCACACTTTCTCTTTTTCCTGGTATAAAAATAAGTTCTAAGTGCTTCACACACTTTAATACTGTCTCTGATACGGCGTGTTCACAGCTCGGATGTCAGCGTGTGGTGTCAACCGGAAAACTCTCAAAGAAACAAAAAGAAGAAACAAACATCGTGTCTGAATGTAGGCGCCGATTTCTGCGTTTAAACTCTGCATTCTTACTTTTAACATGGGAAAATGGTGTTTAAGCTGCACACAGCACCACTCATCCCTCCTGTCACCACTAGGAGGCGCAGCTAATACATGCTGTGATGTTTTTCTTAATAAAAAGGGAAAAAAAACTGCTCCCTAACAACTTTTAATTGTCAGCCGTCATAAATAGGAACCGATATAAAACTTTTTCTGTATTCGTTTCTCATACTATACAAAGTTGTGATTTTTTCCAACCTTAAGCGTAAAGCAGTCTGCACACAGAGACATCACAGAAAGAGAGGTGTTAAAGGTAAATGTAGCTGGGACAGTTATTTTGGTTAATGTTTCTGGTGAAAAACAAAACCAAAATATCAAAAACATGAAAATACTGAAACATAAAAAACAGCCAATAGGAAAACAATAAATGACACAGTAAAACTGTAAGGATTTGGCAGTTATCGTCAATAAGGTATCACATTCCTGAGGAGACATTTGTGAACTTTTAAAGTTGAAACTTAACACACTGTTATCAAAAACAGACCTGAACACTGTTAGCTCTCTAAGAAGTGGAAAAAAAGCTGTGGTTCAAAATAAATTCATTTAAAACATTTTCCTGTTGTAGAGATGACGGTTTTTGACAAATCAGGAAAAGTTATTAGCCATTCTCCATGGTCTCAGAGTTGTCAGGAACATGCAGTGAAAACATTCAGTCTCAGTTTCCTGTTTTACCGTTTTACAAATGTAGGAGAGAGAAGTTAACATATTCAAAGTTTAAATAAGTCAAAGGTCCCAAATGTCGCTGCAGCTAGAACAAAGCTTTTGAAATTCAATTATTTTTATAGGTTACATTTTTCTTCTTATATTTTGTAAGTTGCAAGAAAAATGTTGAAGACAGAGTGCAAAGCTCAAATCTGCAGCTGTAAGACATTGAAAGAAACTATAAAACCCCAGATAAAACAAATAACAAAAAGGGATAAAATAGTGAAATATACTCAGCTGATCCTGTTTCTGAGTATGTAAACAAAAAACTAAATACAAGCAAAACAACATGAAATATAATAACAAATGATCAAAACACAAACAGCCAATCACAGGCTGCCACTTCATCAATCATAGAATAACCCCAGATATTCAGAGAAATCAGAGAGAGCAGAGACAGACGAGAAAGACGTGACAGGAATTTGTTTCAGGGCGACTGACGAGTCTCAGACGTTTCCCAGCAGCTTTTCTTCAACTTCGTGACGAGATGAAAAGTAACTTTCGCCAACCTGCTCCTGCTTCTACGCAAGAACCTTCAAACTGGATCCCATCAGTCTTACATTTTCACCAACCAGCCAATCAGAGAAGAGACATTTTAAAACTGGATTCAAACTGAAAAGCAGCTGTTTGGTGCGAGTGCGCCGTCTGTTTAAGTTAGAACACGCCGTAGCCGTCAGAGTGGCGAGCGGCCACAGCGAAGGCCGGGTAGCCATCGTAGGTGGCGTAGGCAGCCAGGTCCTGACCCAGAGACACGGCCTGCTTCAGCTGCGAGGCGACTGCTGACGACGCCGGGCTCGCCAGAGTGTAACCTGCAGAGCGAAGAGAAGAAAACCGCTCAAATGGATCAAACAGGTGCTGCTCAGGTACGCTCTTCATCACTGAGAGATTTCAGGTTCAGTAAAGAGGCAAATGTTTTTGTTTAAAGGGTTAATAATGAACCAGGAATCCTTCAGGAAATATTCTTTAAAAAAAGTTTTAAGGTGAGCCACCAGGAGGAAAACTGCAGTTCATCCAGCGGCCAGTAGAGGCTGCGTCCTGCAGCGAGTCAGTCCCCATAGAGCCCCATGTTAAAACTTTACAGCAGAGAGAAAAGTTCCCTTTTTTTGGTCTTTGTAGTTCAGCAACTGTACCAGCAAAATTTATAGAGATCTCATCTCTTGTATGCTTTCACAGATTTGCATAATTATGGGCGGGACTAAGTTGACTGATAGGTAGATTTAGAGGAATTGAAGGCCCACCTTTGCTCCATCTGTGCATGTGCAGCCCTCGACAAAAGATAGGAATGAAGTGATCTTTGCTAAAACGCACACTTTAATCCCTGTGAATCTACATTTAAAACTAAGATTCTGTTTTTTTATTCTGCGTGTTTTTTTCATGAAGTCTGGGTGTGGGAGGAGGTCTGTTAGCAGGTTTACAGAGTGAAGAGTTAGTTGGCTGTGGGTACGGACCTTCACATACCTGGGAAGGCTACTGAGGCCACAGCGGCAGCAGTAGCACAGCCGGCGTCTGCAGCGCCCTCTGTCTGTAGGCCAAGTGTCTGCAGGGTGTGCTCAGCGGCGTGGACTTTGGCTTCTTCGACGGCTGCGCACAGCTTTGTGGGCGTGAAGGGATGACTGTGCAGAGAGGGTGAGAAAGTGTAAGAGGATATTATGGTCACTATTTTATCAGTAAGTGACATAGAATTAGAGTTTTAGTTAAATGTTGCGATAAAAGCCAGTACTGCAGTTCCTGGAGTGTCCTCTAGAGGCTGTCTCCTCTAGTGAGATGAGCAGTATTCTTACACGTTTGGGTACTGAGTGGCCAGAGCAGGTATGGTGACCTTGTAGAGGAAGAGCTGTCTCTGGTCTGGACTGATGGCAGAGTGGAGCTGATAGACAGGCAGACCCCAGTTATTCTTCTGACACAACTCCTCCAGAACCTGAAGAAGAACGAAGACACAGAAGTTTCAGTTTGAACATGTCACAGAGACACAGTCTCCTGGATTTTAAACAAAAACAGCCGTTGGGGCAGATTTGAAAAAATCAGTCTAAGTGTTAAACTATCAGACTCCATTTCTAATCTGCTGGTTTCAAGCTTGTCCTGGTTCTCAGGTGTGTTCTCTTACCTGTGGTGCAGGTTTGATGGCGGCCGCCTTCAGGCTCATGGCGGCAGGGTTCATGGGGGTCAGCTCCATGCCGGGCAGCAGGTCGTACAGTTTGTCCTCGGCCTGCTTGTCCGTCTTTAGGCCACCGTATGAAGCGCCAGCGCCCCCACCTCGACCCACAGCTCCAACCCCGGAAGCGTAGGCCAGGTAGCCCCGCCCACCCAGCCCCCGCACCCCGGCAGCCCCTACAGGTACAGTCATGTAAATTTCTACAGGAGACCGAAAAGGCAGTGAAATCAATCAAATCACCAGAAATCAACAGGAAGCAGAATCACAGTCAGTGACAACAAAGTTTGACGTTTGATTCAGTTGATCTGGTTTGATTTTTAGTCTACGACCATTTTCAGCCGCACTGAGAATTAAAGTCCTCTTCAGGGTGATTCATGTGGAGGATATCAATATTGTTTGATTGACATATTTATCAATCAAAAAGCCCCGCCCCTTTTACTGACAGTTAAACATCACAGCAGTCTGAGGGGACATGATGGTGCTGCGTTAGAGAGACCGGCTAATCACAGGAACCTTCATAGAAGAGCTGAAGACCTGATCGGTCACAGCCTGGATCTCTTCATCAGTGTTTCAGATCTTTTCGCTCCTTCTGAATATTTTTGAAGCAGTCATTTTTCTGAGTCTTTGAGGTTGAGCTTCATTTTTTATCATCCGTTCAGTTGAAGAGATTATCGCTCAGTTTTTTCTGTTTATGATTTACAGGTAAGAAAGCATTCTGGGCCTCACCTCGAACAGACGGCGTCCTGATCAGACCTCGGCCTCCTACGTGAGCTTTGGCCGCTGGGAAACGAAACTGACCGGGTAAAGCAGCGTAGGCCTGGGGGGCGTAAAACACAGGCGGGCCGAGGTACGCCGCTGAAGGGTCGTACACCTGGAGGAAGAGGTAAGGGAAGAGAAACGTTGATCTTTAGAGATTCAGATTCGTTTAAAAAAGAATCGACATCTACACGACCAAACAGGTTCTGATAGAGGAACAACCAAACAGGTCCAAAATTTTAATCCATAAAAAAAAAACATCTGGAGGAAGAAACTAATGAGGTGAATGTCCAACAGGTTAGTCACATGACTGGGTCTAAGACTAAGAGGGTCCACCAGACTTGTTTGTTTGTGTTTGTTGTTGCAGTCAACTGACATCTATCGTTCTGCCACATTTAAATGCAGTAGTATAAACAGTCCACTAGATGTCACTGTTTACCACATTAGTATCAGAGCATCATCACCCTGTCAGTGTGGACTTCAACCTTCTCCGTCAAAGTGGATGAGACCTTCAAATCTGTCTTCAAAGTGGATTTTCCTGTTTTGTTAAAACCCCTGCCTCCTCCAGGACTCACCTGAAGAGTTGGTGTTCGGGTCTGTGGTGTGTTCAGGGTCCTACCTGTCCCAGGGTGTAAGCAGCGTAGTCGGTCTGCAGCAGAGAGGCTCCCCGTCCCCCCGTCCCTCTGGTGTATCTGACATAACTGTCTTTGTCCACCGGCTTGGCTAGAGTCACCTCGATAGGTGAGCCGTCTACCACCTGGAGGAGGAGAGATGCAGAAATAAACCCCCAAACCCTTTTTCACCTCAACCTTCGTACGGTTTTTATAGAATAGGAGCTGAGAGAAACACACAAACTGTTGACTGGTTACAGAATAAAATCTTTGATTTGCTGTGAGGAGAAGTTTAGTTTGGTGTTTACTCTGCTGTCTTTCTTCGGTTGGTTCATGAAGTTTCTTGACAGAAAGCTGAATGTTTACCTTTCCGTTGAGAGCGTTCATGGCGTTGATGGCGTCTTCTCTCTGAGTAAAATGAACGAAGGCGTAGTCTCTGATCTTCTTCACTCGCTCCACAGCACCTGAACACAGGAACGTCTTTCTGTGAGTAAGTCTGGATCTCTACTTTGACCTCTGAAGAGTTTGTGACTTTATAAAGATCAGCGTGGTTGAAATATTTACTGTCATTTATGGGATGAGCTCTTTGTTTGCATTTACATACAGATTATAAATCTCAGAATAATGACCCTGTGAACATTTTCCACTGTGAATAAGATGTTAAATACAAACTTCTGAGTGTGTCAGTTTGAACATGTTTGTGTCATTGACCAACACAATGTTGGAGGATTGACAAACTGCTAAAAACCTGTAAGTTTGTTAGAAACACGAAGGGCCTGTAAATGGATCCCTGTGGGACGCCACATATTATATAAAGTGAGTTCAGACTAAATCAGTTTTAACCATCAAATCAAAAAGATGTGAAACTTTGAGAGACAGAATAAAAAAGCAAAGTCGTCCGTCCTGTTGCTGCATTCAAGGACCCTGACCGAGGACCATGCTGCGTTCAGGTACCTGGTCTAAGACTGTTAAACTCCTGCTCGATGGTCTCCTCAGTGGTCTGCAGCATCAGGTTCCTTACATACAGGATCTTCACAGTTGCCATGGTGTCCTCATCCACCTCCACCTCAGGCTCCGCCCAGTCCACGGCGATGGCGTGACCCCAGAGCTGAATACGACCTGAAAGAGATCACAGGCGGGTTTTATTTGTATTTATTTATTTATTTACCTGCAGAGCAAAAGTAGGACCCGAGCTTTGATCCAGGACAAGATTCTCCAGAACTAATCGTCCTAAAATAAGCAGCTCATGATGTGAAGTCGTAGATGAGAGTGAAACGGTCGCACTGTCGAGACCTGCTTTAGTAATCTGGATTTGGTCGTGCTGAAAGGTCTTGGTCTGAATCAGATTTATCAGACCCTGTTTTAGTCTGAATAACCAGGGCAGAGGTAGATCACCTGACCCTGGAGAGACAAAGGTGGGTTTCCAAATCCACATCTCTCTGATCCAGATTGAACCTTCTGAGCTCCTGGTCCCTGGACTCAGCAGCCCACCTGACCTAACCTGACTCAGCAGTTACAGCCGGAGAAGTCTCACTTTGGGTTGCACAAAAGACAGAGACCAGACTTGGCGTACAGAGGAGCAGGTCTAAAACAGGAGGGTAAATCCACTCAGTCCAAACCTGATATAGACGTTCAGACTGAAACAAACAGGAAATATTTGCTTTTTAACCTGTTTATGGTTTTTTCTGATAGCTGTGGTCCCTCCCATCATGTTGAGTTTATCTTATCATCCCACCCATCAGAGCTTCTCTTCTATTGGACGCTGACCCAGTGACATAATCTGTGATTGGCTGCTGATAACGCAGCCTCAAAGTCAGTCAGGAGACTTTGACTTTTTTTATGATGTTGTCTTTGCTTTTATGAGGTGATGATGATTGAAGGTTATGTTGGTACTTCAGCAGCTTTAAAATAACTTGTTAACAGGATCGTTACGGGAGCTTGTGTGGAGTTCATCCTCACAACACTGAGAACACGTCTGTGAAATCAGAGACAGTAAAGTAAAAAGTTAACTTCACGGGGTGTTACAGTATGAAATCAAATAGTTTAGCATTTTTGGTTCCCAATGGGAGTTTTTGAGAACATCTCCACTCCTTTGTACAAGACCAACACCATCCATCCAACCATCAAGAGGCCTGTTTCAGTGGCAGCAGACGATGCAGTTTGCCCCAGTCATCCCTCTCCTCAGCAAATCTCTCCACTTCCACCTGGTGGATCCCACAGTGTTCCCATACCAAGCAGGGTCTGAGCTTCTTGTCCAGGCTCTAGACTCTGTTTCTAACCCTGAATTTCCACCGCATCCGGAAGAGTGGCGATTTTCGCCGTCTGCCAATTCCTATCGGATCCGTTTGTGAGTTTGCGAATTTCGTGGCAGATTACAGACAGCGGTAATCGTGAAAACTCACAAGAGCCTGCAGATTCACATTCAATCATGCGATAACGAGTTGTCTCTGTAAGGACAGACACATAGACATATAAGCAGTAGATTGTGTCCTTCCAGAGGAGGAAATCTACTTCTAGACTTCTAGAATCAGCATCTCCTCATCCATGGTGTCATCGGGGTGAAATGACGTCTAAAAACCTTTCACTTGTTCGTCTCCGCCCGTTTGCATGGTGTGAAATACGATCCTCCTGAAACACGGAGTGTTTTATTTTGAAAAGAAGCCGGATGTTTTATTTTGTGTCTGTGCCCGACTTCCTTTCCAGCACGGGTTAATCTGTGCTGAATTTATCCGCCATGCTCCGGCGTCCAGAAAAAATAGAACTCTTGTGATCAGCTGAGGAGTCCGGCGATCCGCAGAGGAACGGAAAGAAGTCGGTGTAAATTGACACGTTAACTTGAATGTTTACGATCAGCTACGATCGGAGGATACGACCTTTTAGGAGACGATCAGGATGAAGGTGGATACTGGGGGTAAGGTTGAGCTCAGACACCCTTTGCAGAGAGAGCAGCCGCCTGTATCTGCAAACTTAGTCTCTGGGTCATTCCTCAAAGCTCATGACCTTTGGTGAAGGTCCGACTGTAGATCAGTTGAAAGCTCCATCCCAACCACATTTGTGAGACCTTAACCACGGATCAGTATTTCTCACTTATAACGCTGTTGCAGAGTTTCCCAACCTTTATAAGTAGAGAAGATGATTTCCCAAACTTCTAACAATCTTCTGCGGTTGTTTGTTATCTTTGCTATAAACATGTAACTCCGGGTCTGTACCTGGCAGCAGTTTGCGGCGAGCCATGGCAGCGGCTCTGTGGCTCTCATACTCCACGAAGGCGAAGCCTCGGTTCTTTGATTTGTCAGCAGCACTCGGGTACACGATGACATCCACAACCCCATCAGTGACCTTCCTCATCTCCGCCAGAATCTCCTCACGCTTTTTCGTTTTAGGAATCCCGCCCACAAACAGACGGCAGTTGTCGACACTCGCACAGACTCCGAGCAGACGTCCGTTTCTGCAGGATGGAAGAGGATGAGATTGAACAAACTTTGGACTGAAAACCTTCAAAACTTCAGTTATTCAGGCGCTGCCAGATGGGTCACTCATCCCTTATTGATATCATGTTTACAGTCAAAACACAAAAAGGGGTTTGCTAACGCTAGTTTCTGTCTTCTGACCTGATCTCATAGTTGTTCAGCTGCTTCATGGCCACTTTTGCCTCCTGTTTGGTGCTGAAGGTGACAAAGGCGTACCCTCTGTTGTTTCCGTTAAAGTCCATCATCATCCTCACCTCGTAGATCTTACCAAACTGCAGAGACAAACATTGAAATGTGAAGAAACCGTACGAACGTTTGGGAACGAGATATTAATCCTTTGAGACATAAACTCCTCCCATCTCTCACCTTCTCACACAGTGGAACCAGCTCATCCTCAAACAAATCCCTCGGTAGTTTCCCCACAAAGATCTCGCTGCCTCTCTCCGGCGGAGGGCCATCCCAGCTGGGCGGTGGACCACCGTACCGCCGCTGACCATTCTCCTGAAAAAAGATTCACTTCAAAATTAACCGTCCGACATCTGGGAACCTACGATCCAGCAATGACTTTAAATGGACCTGTGTGTATGGAAACCAGTACATGTTGGCGATCAGGACGGCCCCCTACCTGCACCAGTTGGTATCCTGTGCGTTGTGTGAGTGCCCGCAGCGCCACCTCCTTCTGCGTCCCCGCCAGTCCGTCCCCACTTGCTTTCTGATTGGATTCCATTGGGTGTGATTGACAGCGATACAAGAATCAGGTAAATTAGGGGTGCTCGCTGGAAAAAGAAAGAGTACACGGGTTAATTTGGGGTTTCTCGGGTTTATTGCTCTCTTTATACGCAGATGAGATCGTGTTATCTTTAAATTACACTGTAGAGCAAAACGAGACAAACTTGAACTGTCGTGGAAGAACCAGATCATGTTCTTGTTCCCCAGTGGGTAGATCATTTGAACTTCATCTGTATATGAAGTGTTTATTGTGCGAACAGGTAAAACAGTGTCTCCTGTGATTTAAACCTACATCAGTTCTTTCACAGCTTTAGAAAGTATTAAATCTTCACTTTAACTCTAAATATAGTTTCTTCTCTGCCAACATGAAAAAGAGGAAAGTTCTGATGGTAATGAGCTTAGCCTGCAGACTGGTATACAGCCCGTCTTACCGGTGTTACTGACCCTTTAGGTTTTAATGGTTGTTGCTGCGGAGCAGGATGTTCCTGATAAAGAGAGGATTGCGCTCAGTTTGCCTAAAAAAGTCTCATAAAGGTGAAATTAAACGATTAAACGGAGGTGAAGTCCACACCGTGGCGGCGTGTCCTCACAGAGTTGCTGATCCTGCGACCTACTGTCCTGCTCAGAAAAACAGATACGAGTCGTGTTTTGGCAGCAGCGAGGTCAAGGTCTGTCCTGTAATCATTGACAGAGACTCTGGACGGGCGGCAGCCGAATGGTCTACCTCACTCAGGAACTATAGAGATCATGGGAACCAGGTTTATCAAACACTCTTAGAAAACTGAGACCAAAAATATCTTTAATTTTTTTTCCCCATAAATAAGTTTAACCTTCACGGACAGAGAGATTTGACATTGAGGTTTTTTTCTTATTTTGGAATCTGCTTCTCTTCGCATGAAGCTAAAATCTACTATAAATAAAGCTCAGTCCACGCAGCATAACACATCATCTATCATCGACATTAATACTGTACCATACTGAAGTGTAGTGTGTTGTGTTATAATGCAGAGATATCGTATTGTACAGCATCCACACCATATTGTGTTGTTCTGTATTGTTGTCTATTCCATCATTTTGTTACCTTGAGTCTATTACTTTCTATTACCATCACGTTTTATTGGTCTGAATCATACCTTGGTGTCTCATATTATATCATATCATATCATATTATCTTATATTATCCCATATATCATCTCATCTCATATCATATCGTATCGCATGCCAATCACATACCCCTCACCTGAATGTCCTCTAATGTCCATCAGTCTTTGTTTGTAGGTAAATCTAAAACCTTAAGTACCAAAGTCAATCCCACACAGGTGAATACATTCATGTGCTCACCTTTAATTCTAACACCTGTGTATTAAAAGTTAATGTTAACTGTATGGACGGTTGGGTTTGGTTGGTGCTGTGAAGTTTAAAATGGTTGTGTATATTTGTCACTGATCAAACTCATAGATGTCATTAATTTTTGTGTAGTTTATGTTTGAAACTCTCTCCACTTTTGATTCAACAGGAAACCAACAGGAGACAGTGACAGGTTACCGAACATGTGGATCTGCATGTGAGGTTTGTTGTTGAAAATCAGACGCAGCTTCTCTTGTCCTGACAAACACACTCTCATAAATAAACACACAGAGGAGAGTCTACTTAAAGCTGACCCTTTGAACCTTAAAGAAAAGGCTGATCGAATCAGAGCGCTGAAAAACAGCCTCCTCCTCCTCCTCCTGCTTCTTCTTCACTGCATCCATTAGCATCTCTCTGTCTGTGCTGAGTTTCAAAGAGAGACAAGAGACCAGCTCCTCACATCAGAGAGGGGAGGGGGACAAAAGAAGCACACAGAGGGACAGGTCAAAGGTCAGCAGAAGACAGATACAGCCTCTTCTGCATCTCTGAAGAATCATTTTAATGGATGTCAGCGTCATTAAACATGATTAAATTCAACAGGATTATTATAAGACAGGGCTCGACAGTGCGACCGTTTTACTCGAATTTGTGACTAAGAAATTGTGTGCAAATTGTAAAATGTATTTAGGGTCACAAAAAAAAGCCGAGGTAACAAATGTTTTTTTTCCTGTAAATACTGCGGTGAAGTTAGTTTTAGGTTGGATATATTTTCCTGTAAATACGGCGGTGAAGTTAGTTTTAGGTTGGATATATTTTCCTGTAAATACAGCGGTGAAGTTAGTTTTAGGTTGGATATATTTTCCTGTAAATACGGCGGTGAAGTTAGTTTCAGGTTGGATATATTTTCCTGTAAATACGGCTGTGAAGTTAGTTTTAGGTTGGATATATTTTCCTGTAAATACAGCGGTGAAGTTAGTTTCAGGTTGGATATATTTTCCTGTAAATACGGCGGTGAAGTTAGTTTTAGGTTGGATATATTTTCCTGTAAATACGGCGGTGAAGTTAGTTTTAGGTTGGATATATTTCCCTGTAAATACAGCGGTGAAGTTAGTTTCAGGTTGGATATATTTTCCTGTAAATACGGCGGTGAAGTTAGTTTCAGGTTGGATATATTTCCCTGTAAATACGGCGGTGAAGTTAGTTTTAGGTTGGATATATTTTCCTGTAAATACGGCGGTGAAGTTAGTTTCAGGTTGGATATATTTCCCTGTAAATACGGCGGTGAAGTTAGTTTTAGGTTGGATATATTTTCCTGTAAATACGGCGGTGAAGTTAGTTTCAGGTTGGATATATTCTCCTGTAAATACGGCGGTGAAGTTAGTTTCAGGTTGGATATCTGACGGACATTCTCTGAGGATCTACCGGTGTCTTCTCACTCTCCATAACCAGGAATAACAACAGCAGCGCGGTTAAATCTACTCGACACCCTCACTGTCAACGTCGGTGTTGAATAAGGGACCGTCAATAAATTACCAGTTGATGTTCTCAGAAAAGGCTGTTTTCCTTCAATAGCTTCACTGTCATGTGATCAAAAGACCTAAAATGATTTCTAATAATAGCACTAAGGTCGATCAATAAGAAAAACATTATTTGATCAATTTTCAGTTTGCCCCTAAAGTTCTTTGTGCTCCTTACTTTTTCAACTTAGGAGCACATGTGAACAAAGTTAGAGTCAAGCCCTGTAAGAGTGGGAATGTTTCAGGGTGTAGCCCCCCCTGGATGATCTCGATGTAAATACAACATAATGAGACGTCCACTCTGGTGTCCTGTCCTCAGAAAAACAGTGAAAAATTAGCCTCTAAGTTCGGATAAAGATAACGAGTGGGAGATGGAAACTGTTGAGCTGAACAGAGAGACAGATTAGAGGTGAGCTGGTTCAGGTGACCTGAGCCAGTTCAGCTGAAATCCACCAATCAATACTGCTGATAGAGGGGCGTCTACACACACACACACACACACACACACAGATGGAGCTAAATCAGACCAATGGTGAAGTCTCTGAGTATTCGACATGGTTCTTCAGAGCTGATCAGTTTGGAGAGTTTTCCCCACAAACAAAGACAGCTTCGTTTCCAGCTCACAGGTCGTCTCTCAGCTTTGGTTTCAGAGAGGTAGTTCTACTGACACAGAGACCAACAACTGAGTCTGACGAAAGGACAACCGACCACCTCCAAGAACAACATGAAGACGCTGCAGACAGTAAAAACAGTCTCAAGTACATCAAAAATCTGGAGCTGGAATCAACATGAACACTGAGGAGATCAGAGCACAGAGGAAACATCCCGTCCTGCAATCAGTGCCTCAGCCTCCGCTCTCTCTCTCTCTCCCACATTAATCTGTCGGTTAATAATTCATCCTCTGACTCGGAGCTCAGTCTGAATTACTCCAACACACTCGAACACAGACATTCGTACCTTCAATCCTCAATATCTGCCCCACATTTGCTCTTTTATCGGGCCTGTTCATGGCATCACCTCTTGACTTTCCTCTGACGGATGGATCAGAACTTATTGAAGCACAAACCCGATCGTTGGACCCTTGTGAAGCTTGTCAGACAGACACAGACCTTCCTGACTGAGACTACTGCTGTGGTAGAACCTCACAGTCTACAGTTAAATACGGAGTACTTGTACACATCCCTGTATATACTGCCACTGTAAAGCAATACTCAGAGTTCTCCTGTCCTGGTTCTCCTGGTTCAGCCACAGATCTTCCTTCAGAAGACTCAGCTAAATCAGGACCACGAGGACCAGTTACCCTACAGGCATAAGAAGTGTTGGAAGTCCAGACTTGACACAGATGTGGCGTAACCTCCAAACAAGTTATTAGAGCCAGTTTGTATGGTAGTCCCATATTCCGTATTTGAGTATTTCAATTTCTCATGCAGTGGATGGATTTTGGGTTCATGCAGTTTTGATGTTTCCCAGTAGGTGGCTCCACCTGCATGTGAGGCAGAAGTGTTTCCTTGTGGTGTTTCCAGGACTAATCTGTATCTTTTCATGCAATTGTGCATTTTGGAACTTAGTCTACATTCACACTGCAGGTTCTGATGCACAATCCGGATTTTTTGTTAAATCCGATCTTTCTGTGCGGTCGTTCACATTGCAACAACAAATGCGACAGATAATGTGAACAGAATGCATCTGTGAAGTGACTCTCATGCACATAAAGCCAGGAACTCCTGATGCCTCGCTCGGCCTATTCCTTGAACACCGCCCGGTCACGGTATGAGCGCTCTATTTTGGCTTGAACTCCCCGTATATTTATCAACACTGATGTTTTCACCTCTGGCTGTTCTCCGTTCCCTCGTCTGACATTGCTTCCTGTTTGTGTTGTCGAACGATGGTGAGGATTTATATCCACATACAGAAGAGGCCTGGGTCGGATTTGAAAAAATCAGATATGTGTCACACGGTTAAAAAATCAGAATTGACCTGCAGTGTGAACGTAGCCTTATTGGAGTGTTGTATTATTTTTACCACAGACTCGTGGACGACCGTGAACGCGTCACTCCGATGTTAAGCCGGTTTCAGACACGTCTTGGCTTGTAGGTTTTTTTTGTCTTGTCGTAAGTCAAGACAATAACCAAGTTTTCAGCGTCTTTGAACGGCCTGTTTGGAGCAACGACCAAAACATACTTCTCTACCTGCTGAGAACCGGGTCTGAAACAGGACCCACTTAGAGGATGGACACTGTCCTGTGTCTCAGTAACTTCACACCTGAGTGGACAAAGAGGACATTTGGAGTTCCCCAAGGCTCCACCCTGGGGACGCTTCTGTTTAACATGTCCACGCTCCCACTGCCTCAGCTTATAGAACCACACTTATGCAGATGACACACAGTTATACCAAACAGCGCCATCAGGAGACCACGCTTGGGGAACTGCAGCTTTAAGCACCTCCACACAGGACCAACCACGGAGTGACTTTTCAAACTTTGAGGAGAGCGCCCATAAAACGTCAGGTCTGCTGGGACAGGAAGCTCAGGTGGGACAGGACATCGTCACATCGTTAAAACTGAGGCCCATGATCCCAAACAGTAAAACAAACCGACTCCAAAGTGGACAGGACACCAGCAGCTGGACCTCCTTCTTGTTTGTAAAAACTCTCTTCATGGTTAAACGTCCTGTTTTCGCTCTTTTTTCTCTCTTTGACTGAATGTTGAAATGTTCCTCTGGTTATCTTTGTTGGATCTGTTTGAGGAGCTGAAATGTCTCTCCTGACCTTCACAGACTTATTTCCATCTTTATTTTAATATCTGATGTCGAGCCCTTCGATTCTCTTCACGCCTAACTCTCTCCTCTGACTGTCTGTGAGTTAAAGTGACATTTCAGGTTTTTATACTTTATTATTTTATAAAGTTTAACGGTTTCTGTTCGTGGTGGAGCGACATTAACTCAACACTCTCTCTCCCTTCATGAAGACACGTTAGCCCCGCTTGGCCTGTTTGTTCAGTTAGCCGTGTTCAGCCTTTCTGATGACGACTGTTCATCAGACACCAGCGTAGAAGAAGAAGAAGAAGAGAGGGCGATCAACACTCATTTACCTGCTCTCTCTCTCTCTCTGACTTTAAATTAAATTTAAACAAAAACTTTGAATAAAAACAGAAAAACTCACCTGAGCAATTTCAGAGATCACCTCCCTCCGATCAGAGCTGTGTCATTCTGAACTCTGAGTGTGTGTGTGTCCCTGTGTGTGTCATCAGGGGCCTCTCAGTGTGTGTGTGTGTGTGTGTGTGTGTGTGTGTGTGTGTGTGTGTGTGTGTGTGTGTGAGTGATCACATCATATCAAACTCCAAAGGTTCACTGTCTTGGTGTTAGCTTTACGAGCCGGCCGACGTTAATGTTTAACAAGCTGCTATCTGTGGACACACACACGAGCACACACGCACACACATGCAAATACACAAGTGTGTGTGTGTGTGTGTGGCAGAAGGCCTTTGACCAACAGTAACTATCTGAGGTCTGCGAGGCTCTGTTCACCGACACACACACACCTACATTTACATACACACTCACACACACGGGAAACATGGCAGATGTTACTCAGTTAGATGTCATTGTCATCTTTTTAAATAAAGTTTTCACAAATAAAAAGTCTGTTATTGATGATATTTCCTGCTAACATTTACTCCGATCACTCTGACAGACGATCTGTCGACCTCACACCTGCCCACGGCGCCAAAACAGCTGATCTGGTCAGTGTGGAGAAGATCCAGAGGACTTCATGTCTCCATCTGCTGACGAACTTTATGAAATACAGACTGAGCACCTGCTCACAGCGCCATCACCCCTGATACCTGATGGCTGAGCTCGCTGCTCTGAACCCCGAACCCCCCGATTTCCACCTCATCCAGAACGTCGGGCACAGACACAAAATAAAACATCGGCTTCTTTTCAAAATAAAACATCTGGCTTCTTTTCAAAATAAAACATCCGGCTTCTTTTCAAAATAAAAGACTCCGTGTTTCAGGAGGATCGTATTTCACACCATGCAAACGGGCGGAGACGAACAAGTGAAAGGTTTTTAGACGTCATTTCACCCCGATGACACCATGGATGAGGAGATGCTGATTCTAGAAGTCTAGAAGTAGATTTCCTCCTCTGGAAGGACACAATCTACTGCTTATATGTCTATGTGTCTGTCTTTAGAGAGACGACTCATTATTGAACGTGAATCTGCGGGTTCTTGCGAGTTCTTGCAATTTCAGCTGTCCGTAATCCACCATGAAATTCGGATCTGGTAGGAATTGGCTGAGCCGCTCCGGATCTGAGTTGTCCTGGATGTGGTGAAAATTGGGTGTTAGAGAGTCTGTGGGACGTTTGATCAGAGGAGGAGAAGAACCGGCCGACCCAGAAATAAAGACCAGCTCTCAAAGCTTCTCAAGACTTTCTGAGAGCCGGCTCCGGGATCTCTCAGGTCTGGGTTAGATTTTGGAGGCCCACTGCAGCGGTTCAGGACTTGATGTTAGAACCTGAAGTTTGACAGCTGAGGTTGAAACCCCGACTTAGCCCTCAAATCAATCTTCTCCTTATTCATATTATTATTGTTATTATTAGTGTAGAAACATTTAAGCTTGTCTAAACTGATCTGTAGGTCTTTAAACTTTGAGAAGGGGACACCCTGATGGGGCCACTGCCACCCCAGTCCAGCTCTTTGGCTCCGCCCCTGGACTGTCACCTTCAAATGTAAAGGATCCACCCGGTTAAAGTCTGTCTCTGCTTGTCTGAGGATCTACACAAACTTCGAGGATCTCCGGTCTCACGTCTATAAAGAGTTTTTTATCCAGAGGGACTTGAACTCTTTCTTGGGCGTCTTTCTCCGGACTCACCGGGACCCGGAGGACCGTCGGGCCGGAGGATGAGCGGGCTGGAGGCGGACTTTGCCCGGCTGCTGCGGCTGAAGGAGGAGCGGATCGGGCAGATGGAGCGGAGACTGCGGGAGAAGGAGGAGGAGGTGCAGGAGCTGCGGAGGAAGCTGCACAAGTGTCAGTCGGTGATGCGGGGCAGCGGCCTCTGCAGCCCGGACTACTGCTGGCCGGACAGCCGGCGCACCCGGCGGGCGGCCGGGGTGTCCGCGGAGCCGGTGGAGGAGACGGAGCTGAGGAGGTTCTCCAAGAGCAGCAGGTGAGGGGGAGACACACCTGAGAGACTGTCCTAAACATCAGTAACAGCTTTATTTAGGTAACTCTTTACAGTAATCATGACTTATAAATAAAAAGACCTTTTATACACGGTGAGCAGATAATTTATGAATGTTTAATCATCATTTATAAACAGCATAGAGACCATTAATCAATTATAAATTTTACAATTTTAAAACTCTAACTTTACAACAACATCTAAATAATGTTTATAGATGGTTTAAAAACCAAATATTAACCATTTACAAAGTGATACTAACACACATTTTAATCTTAATATTTTACAACCAATAATAATCAACCTTTAATAAATAGTCCATTAATAATTAATGAAAATAATTCATCATAATTTCATTGCTTGTTAATCGTAAAGTAACTAATAACTTACATTAATAAACGATCTATTAACCGTTTATAATTGATCTATATGCTGTTTTAAAATGATTAAACATGAATAAATGATCTATTTACCGTTTATAAATGATGGTTATTGTAAAGTGTTACCGCAGCAGCTTCTAAACTCTGAGGATCTTTAAACAGTCAGAACATGAGAACAAATGAAGTTTAATGAAGAAAAAACCATAAATAAAAGAAAGAGAGACGGTTATCTCAGTGATCACTGCTTCACCTTTTCTACTTCTTAAAGGTTCATTTGACACTTTTATTCATCCACATTCAGGGGGCTTTATTGTAGTTTCAGTAAAGAGACAGCAGAGGGCGCCACAGCACAGTAAACCACTATAACAGAGGTCTTACATTTCCCTTAATGGGTGTTTACTGCAGTTCATGTCTGATTGTTGTTTTGATGGTGGATCTGTCTGTCCTCACAGTCTCAGTGTCTCCACCTCATCCCTAAAACAGGTTCATACTTCCTGCTGAAACACAGAGACAGAAAACCAGGATCAGAGAGCAGGAACTGTCTGTCAGGGTTCAGATCTCCTCCAGTTTAAGATAGTCAGGGGTTTAATGAAAAACCCCACAGACCCTGAGCTCTCTGTGACTCTCCTTACTTAGTGTTCCCTGGATACCCTTTGAGAGTATAAAATAGAAATAAAAGCCTTTTTTTTATCATTTTAAACAATAAAAAATCTATGAAGTCCCCTCTAGATGCCTCTCCAGTATCAATAATGTTAAAAAAAGTTCCTGCTGAGTGTCTTTTAGTGCAGAAAATGTGAAAAGGTTCCCTTTTTATACCCGACCATTAGTCTTTATTCTTCATGTTCAGTCAGTCACTGAGATGTTGGAGAGCTTCAGCAGGACTGATCAACCAGAACAGAGGGTCTCTGGGCTGCTTTCAGACCTGCTCAGAGGGGCATCAACAGGGTCCCATCAAGCCCTGTGACCATGGCATGAGGGCGCTCAGTCACTCGCTGTGCTGCAGGAACGTGGGGACAGAAGAGACAAAGTCATGGAGTTGAACTTAAGTGCAGATGAGTTTTAATAAGGACTCGGTGTCAGACGTCAGAAGTGTCTACAACTGCTGCTGGGCATTTTGGAGAAACAAGAAGATGGAGCATCGTACAGCGTTGTTTTTGTCCGACATGATGGACGCGCTACTTTTTCTAAAGAGGAGACCAACGCTACTCCTCTACTCTGGGGGTTTGTTACGGGGTTACGGGGGCGTGGCGCAAGTGAACATGCTCTGACTACGCTATCTTATCGGAGTTCTCCGACTCCAATTATAGTCGTACTAAGGTGTTTACATGACCTTCAGTTGTCTGATCTAAATCGGAATAAGCCGATAATTCTGTTTTCTTGAGTGTCATGGAAACAGACTGAGTGAGGGGGGGTAAAAGGGGCCCCAGGTCCTTCCTGCTCATGTTCCTCCGAAGGTTTGAAGACGGCCCTGTATCACTGACATGTTTTTGAGCGTGTGCAGGATCATGTTCCTCTCATGTGCATGATAAAAAAAATGATGTTAATTAGATGAAGTTAAACTTGATTGATTGACTCGTTGATTGATTGATTGATTGATTGACTGATTGATTGATTGATTGATTGATTGATTGATTGATTGATTGATTGATTGATTGATTGATTGATTGATTGTGAAGCTCGGACGTTTGTTTTTGTTTTTCTGATGAACTTTTGGGATAAAAAGAGAGAGGGAGGACTGATTAGATGTCGATGAGCACGGAGATGTGAGGAGGAGGAAGAGGAGGAGGAGGAGGAGTTGAAGAAGACCAACTTTTGGACGCTCCGGCAGAGTAGCGGAGCTCTCCCGGCTCCTCTCCCGGCTCCTCTCCCCCGTCAGTCCGCCTGCTGCTCCTCGGTAACCGGATTAAACTAATGAGCGTGATTAAAGCGGACCAGATCTGCAGCCCCACATCCTCTCTGGACCGTTTAATTCTCCTCCACCTCCGGGCTCTGCAGCTTCTCCTCCTCTCTCTCCTCACGTGAGCCGCCTCTCCTCTTCGTCTTCACTCGTTTCTCACCGGAGAAAACCGAGAAAAGTGAGCTGCTCGTGTCTCCGTGGATTTGCTCTCCTTTGTTTGGTCGCTCGGAGGTTTTTTAATTCCTCTCACTTTTCCTTGTCACGCTGTTGCTCTGCGGATTTCAGACTCGTTTTTCACTTTTTATCCTCCTCCTCCTCCTCGGAGCAGCAGCGGCAGTAAAGGATGTTTTTTCCTGCTGTTTTCTGACCCTCTCGTCTTTCTGCACATTTTAAAGGAATAAATCACATCTCTAAAGCTTTGACTTGAACCTGGTCGGACTTTGAACCTGAGAATCGACCCTGTTCCCGGTGTTTTCCTCATTTCTGTCCTTTTGTTGTCTCACTCATGTAAATTAAATCTCCCGGCACTCGCTGTCAACTTTGTTTTACTCACTTTGCTTCCCAATTGCTTCTTGCTGAATCACATTTCCCTCAGAGACCGGATCCAAACCTGCTGCTTCTGGCCATTTTCCTCTTGTTGCATTTGCTGTAATCTCATTTCCTGGAAAGAGTAAACCCCAGAAGTAAAAGGCTCTTCAGTTTTCCCCTCCATCGCCTTCGTTCTGAATCACTTTTATTCGCAGAGAAAAGGAGAATCGTTTCCTCTTCTGGTCTCCTGCTGTGAGTTGTTTTATTCATCATCTAAATTCACATTTCCTCCCCTGAGATGGAGCGCAGACTCTGAGGGGAACATGGATATCTGGAGAAACCAAAGGGTTGAAGGACCGTAGTGTGCGGCACCCTGGGGAACCTTGAAGTGCCTCAGAAGTACCCCGGGGAACCTGTTGAATCAGAAATGAACCCTGGGAATTTCCATTTAATGGCAAATCCTGGAGGAACGTTGAAATCCCTGCAGAGACGGACCAAAGGGAACCAGGAGGAGGCTCTGAGGAGCCGATACAAGCGCCGTTAGGTTTCTAACTACCCTTTGAGATCCATGAGAAGGTTTGTGGCGGTACAGTTAATCCAGGAGGAATTGTAGATTAGCCTCACCCCAAAATCCAGACATACTTGAGGACAATCTGAAGTATCTCAACGAGTTCTGAAGAACCTTTATACCTTTGGAGACTCTTTGGGAAGTTCCCGAGGATCCCAAAAGAACCTCAAAGAGCCTTCAGAGAAAGAAACAAACCGATGAAAATGAGGAAACTCTGAAGTATCACAGAGAGCCCTGGAAGAACTTTAAGACCTTTCAGAACTCTAAAGAAGTTCTGACACTTTCTGCAGATTTGAACAAGAAGAGCTACGAAGAAGCTCTGGACTGTCAAAGGAGACAATCAACACCTGAAGAGGAGGCTCCAAAGAACGTCTTTGGAGCTCAAAAAAAGTTCTCAGAACTTTGGAGCGATTCTTGTGATACAGAGGAGAATATAATAAAACTTTATACCAAGAGTACAGAGGAGGAGAATCAAGACCAAAGTCTTCAGAACAAAGCTGGAGGAGGTCTGAAGAATCCCTTCCAGAGGAGTGTTTGGATTTGGGAGCTTCTGGAAACATCTCGCACCGGATTGCTATGAATTCATTGAGCCCATGCTAACTGGAGAACCTCTACATGGATTCTGTAGAACCTCGGAGAACCCACCTTTAAATGCAGATGATCACATCAGAACTAGTAGGTTCTCAAAGACTCTTTAGATAACTTGGTGGACCTTTTACAAACTCTGGAGAGCCATCAGAGTTCTTCAGGTACCCTTTCTTTCACCACCGCACAGAAGCCAGAAGAACAAGAGACGTCTTTGAAACCACAAACATCTCTTGGAGGATCACGGTTACATGGACCAGCAAGTCCCGCAGGGACTTTGGGGAGGTTGTTGTACGTGGGACCAGCAAGACCTTGTTTTCAGTCATCAGGGAACGAGGCTGTAGATCCAGGAGAGTTCCCAAAAATCTGAAGAGTTCCTGCAGAGCCCAAAACAACTTCACAAGAGCTCTCAAAAGTCGAGCTCCGAGGAGGGGTTTCATTGCCAGACTCATGGACCCCCAAAGTCTAAGTAAGGGACTCATGAGTCCAGGAAAAATGTAGCTCCAAAGAAGTGAGTCGAGTCCTTTTGCAAATCAGAAGATCTGAGACTTTAGACCGATAAAGGAAACCAACTGAAGTACTTTGAGGAACCCTACAGGGACCCTCAAGATCCAGAATAAATCTGGGGTCCAAAGAGGGACCCCAAATCTCCACAGGAATCCTGAGAACTCCTCAGGTACCCCTTTAGAGAACCAATGGGAACCCTGCGGGACCTGCAGTACGCCCTGCAGGAGAAGATCGAGGAGCTGCGGCAGCGGGACACCCTGATAGACGAGCTGGAGCTGGAGCTGGATCAGAAGGATGAGCTGATCCAGAGACTGCAGAACGAGCTGGACAAGTACCGGTCCGTCCTCAGGCCTGCCACCGCCCAGCAGGTCCAGGCCCAGCAGCAGAACCTTGTCCTGCAGCCGGATCAGCACCGCAGCAAACGGCAGGCCATCTCCGCTGAGCCCACCGCCTGTGACATCAGCGACCTCAGCCACGTCACGCTGCCCTTCTACCCCAAGAGCCCACAGTAAGTCCACCTCCTCAGAACCACCAGAACTTAGACCCACATCAGTGTCTCTGGTTTGAGGTCTCAGGTCTCATTTATTTGATCGATATTTGTAGGAAACAGGAAAATCATTTTAAACTAATGAATCAAGTTCAGGTCTGAAGGTCAGCTCTGGTTCCTCATGAGGGGAAGTTCCTGGTCCAGGTTCAGACCACAGGAAGTTGGCGTGTTTTCGACGGCCTCATGTGTGTTGTGGTTCTGCAGTAGTGCGGTAACGTTGTCCTCTATTATACCCTCTTGTTAGCACACACTGTACCCTGAGAAGTTGTGATATTGGAGTCTGACACACAAACACAGATCTGTTCTCCTCTGTTCCGTCTTTTTAGCTTCACTGACGGTGGTTCAGCAGCATCATAACTTCGCCCTGAAGCTGAAAACATACAGGATCCGTACTGAGCCCTTTGTTCCGTATTTACTCCGTAGAGCAGCGCTCTTCATCGTACAGGATCAGCGTATTTGGAGTGTAGGAGTAACAACAACAGGTGGTTTTTCCTCTCTGTGGTCGATTTCCTGATAACTCTGATATAATTCAGTGACTGTTGATCCTCGACTGTCTGAGAAAAAGCTTGAAGTGATTTTCCAGTTTGTGTTTTTTCAGGTTTCCTGGTGTTTAATAAAGTAAACTCTGTTCCTTTATACTGTTCCCTTCAGACAGAGTTAGCAGGTCAAAGTCCTGTTGGGTCCACATGGATCAGGGATCGACCATCAGATTGTTCTGTTACTGATAAATCCAGAACCAGGAAGGATTTCTTATCTACACAGTCAGGAGTTCACAGATGGTGTTTTATTTTGAAATACCGGATGACATGCGTGGTTTTTATGCTTGACTTCCTGTCTGGAATGATCTTCTCTGTGTGGATTGGCGTGCGTTGGAAGCGTAGATCAGCAAAAATCGACTCGCTGCGTATCTTTAACAGCTGCTCTGATGTGATGCTGATACTCGTCCTGTACGCTTTACTGCTGTGATTAGAATGGAAACCTGTTTGCTGTGAGATACGAGACGCCGCCGCCATTACGCTCCAGAGACACTGATCCTGGAGGTTTTCACCTGAACTCTGCCTACAGTGAGAGTGATCAGGTTCAGTGGTTTGGAAGATCAGGAGGTCATTAGTGCTGAAGATGATGGTGAGCTGCATGTTCACGCTCGTGGTCTCTCTGAGAGCGTTGTTGTTGGTGGATCAAATCAGACACTGTCAGATTCTTCAGATCTACTTCGAACAAATATCCAACATGACGTGGAAATGTTCGGATATGTTTGAACTTTAGACACCGTCTTTGGTGATGACCTTCCTCCGAGCTCCTGCTGTAAACAAAGGCCGTCATACGGAGCTGCTGCCGCCTGACGTGGAAAAAAATGGTGAGATGAAGAGTCAGACCGCTGCTTCAGGACATCTACCCTCAGCTCTGTCTCTGTCCTCAATCCTTCTGTCTTCGATGTGGATCTGAGACACTCTTACTCTGCTCAGATGTTTGACTTTGATTGATAGAATATCATCCCTGTATCCGTGTGTAGAGGTAAAGAGTCTTACTGACAGCTACCTGCACAGGTACGGCCTCGGCAAAGGGACGTGTCAACAATGCAGCCATGGCAACAGCAAAACAAAGGTCTGCAGTGAACCTAATGTTGTTTTCACTTAAAGCTCATGTGGTCGTTGTTGTTGTTCCATGAATCACTGAGTTAAAAATGATCTTTTAAAAGATTTTATTATAACAACTAAACTGTAAAGTTTGAGGATCTTCATCCTGACTCCGTCAGACTCTCAGAGGCTGTTCTGAAAGTAAAATCTGCTGATTGTGGTTCTAGTATCTGAAGGGGGTCACCTCGATTCTCCTCGCTCGGTGTCTGAAGAGACGTCCACCGTCACGCTGAGCTCTTCAGGAAACTCGTGTGTCCTCTCGGCTGAAGTCAGAGTCTGATTAAAAAGGCTGCCTGCTGAAGTCCAGATTAAAACTTCCAGTTCTTAACGTCCTCCCGCTGAACAAAACGTTCCCATCATCCTTTGCTGCACAGGGGCAGAGAGGGGAACTATTCATATCAGCGAGAGAGAATATTTTCAGGTTGAATAGGAAGGCTTCGGCTGCTCTCTGCAGTCATATCTCTGCTGTCAGACACTTTTATTTGTTCAGGTTTACAGCAGGAGGAGGACAGAGCTGACTTTAAGAGAAACTCTCAGAAAACACCTGGAAGACCCTCGACGACGGTTCTGTCCTCCACAGAGACACACAGACCGCTCAGGTTTGAGGGGCAGGAGGCTCAGGGTTTATTCTTCAATTTGGGTTTCATGTTTCGTTGAGATTTCAAGTTTGACCCTGAAATTCAAAAACTGTTTGAGTCCATAAAATACAGTGACCAGTGGTCTGATCATAAATGTGACTGGACTGTATGACTGAAGGTAAACTATCGTACGACGTATTCCCCCCAATTGTTACTGCATCCAGAACGGCTCCAATCCAGATGAGATTTTTACTATCTGCCTAGTCCTACCTGATCCGTTTGTGAGGTGAGGAGGCAGGAATCAGGAGAACTCACAGATGTTTTATGGAGATTCAGACTTATTATTGAATCTCACAACAGGAGGGGTGAGCGAGGGAGCGTTCAGAGTCTGACCCCGAGATTTCACCAAAACTGTAAATCTTATCTCTGAGACCAAAGGAAGAAGCTGCAGTTCCTCTTTTGTCCACACGAGGCTCTCTGCAATGATACCTAATTACTTCCGTCCCTGTACACAGTGGGCTCTATTTTCGTTCGCGCCGGTGAGGCGGCGGAGGGCGGCGAGCCCCGCGCAGTTGTATTTTCGTCTGGCGGAGCCCGGCGTAAGGCGAGTTTGGTATTTTCGTGGACTGAGTCGCACGGAGGCGAGCCGAGATCCGCCAAGCTGGGCGTGGTGGCGTGGCAGGGGGAGGTGTCGACAGAATCAGCTGGCGCAGTGACATTTTCGTGCTCGCCACTGGCGTGTAACGTGCGCTGAAAGCTCGCCGATTCAAACCTGGTCAGCTTTCAGCGCAAGGCGGAACGCAGCTGGTCTAGTAGTATTTTGGTAGACCGGCGGCGTATCGACATACGTCACCGATGCCTCACCGGCAGGTTTCCACAGTGTCAGGAACATTTCAGTGCAATAAATAATCAATAACTATTAATCTGAGTCAGCACATACATTTAGATCTATATCGATATATTCTGATCTATATCTGATCTGATGAGCGCGTTTGGACACTTAACCTGACCGAATCAATACAGCTGAAACCGCATCAAATCAAATTAAATATCTAGTTAATAAACACACATGATGAAGTTAACAAGATATGTAATTCGTCTCCCTCCTTTTCTTTCTTCCTCTTATTTCTCGCACAGCTCGACCTGGACACGTCTCCGTGTCCTCTGTCCGTCTTGCTTGCTGCAGCTGCTGAACAGATGATTTGTTTCAGTGCTCAGATGCGTTATCTACTTTAAGCCGACATACGGATATTATAATATTCAGTTTTGTGAGCCAAATTTATTTTATATGCCAACATCTATGAAAGAAAGAGCCAGGCCACGGAGCGCGATGCGTCATTTACGCACAGATGGTTCCGATTTTAACGCCATTTTTTGAGTTTATGTTGTGATCTGTGCGCTCAACCCACCTTTGTCACGTGAGGTTTGAATATGTGCAACTTTATGTGAGTGTCTTTATTTGTGGAAAAGGGTGTTTGTCTTACCAGTGGGTCCAACATTACGCACACTAAATCCATCTGTGCTCAGATGAGAGAGTGTGGAGGACACTTGTTGAGGAGCTGCCCTCTGTCGCCATCGTGTGGCATAACTGTCTTCAGACATCTCTTGATCTCTTTGACTACTTCATGAAAATAGTAATACGCCTCGCCTGTGGCGGATTTAAAGGCGAGGAGAGGAGCTAATGTGATTGGTGAAAACAGGTCTCGGCTGTGTTAAACCCCCTCTCCTCCCCGTCTATGATTTATGCTGCCGGGAGGAGCTGAGTTAGGGAGGGGGGATACTTACGCCGGGCTGCGCGGCTCACCAAAATACCAAAATGTGCTTGGGAACGCCTTGTCAGCGCGGCGGATCTGATTGACTCTGCGCTTGCGGCACGTCTCCGGCGAGGCACCAAAATAGAGCCCAGTGTGTGGGGTTGTAGTGGAGTGGACTGACCAGGGCGCTGAAGGGTCAGCTCCACCTCTGGACCTTTTCTGGGTCGATCCGAACGTCGGAGAAGTCGTTGTTTCCAGAGCGGGTCTGACATCTTTGGGCTTCAGAACTCCACTCCACAAACCAACAAGTGTCATCAGTGAGACCGCTCCAGTTCTAAAAAGAGTAAGCTGAAGAAAATACCAGATTTCATGAAGCACGGCTGACTCAGCAGAATCTTTCTGGCTCCAAATAAGACGATCTGCTCGTCACGCCGCCCGCTTTCTTCTCCGCAGACGCCAAAAACAACATGATCCCAAAATATCAGCATATCTGACGACGACAGATCCAATATCATCTTTCCCTGATGGTGACCGTTACAGCTGGATCTAACTGAGCGTGACACCGGGACAGAAAAACCTGTTTGTTCAGAAAAACGACAGAAACAGAGATATTTATTCAATCTGAAACTTTAATGATCGTTTTTCCTTTTAGTCGAGAAAAACGAACAAAATCATGATCATCTCAAATGATTCAGATCGCTGGTTTTACCTTTACAACCAAATCATTTATTGTCTTCGTGAGAAACTATCAAATCTATTTTTACCTGCATGATAATAATTATCAGAGGAAACCCCCCGGAGCGATCGATTAGAGGAACTTCAAAACTTAGAGAGAGAGAGAGTGTTACTGTGCCGTCATCACTATAACTGAACATCATGTGTGTGTGTGTGTGTGTGTGTGTGTGCGTGGTAAACATGTGCAGTGTTTGGTCTCTGTGGAGCCCGGTTCAGGTCTCTGCATGTGTTCAGGTCTCCTCTGCTGAGAAGAAACAGAGAGAAGAGAGAGCTGACAGCTGCTGCAGCCACAGATCTTTATTTATACACAACATGAATATGAAAACGAGTGTGTGTGTGTGTGTGTGTGTGTGAGTGTGTGTGTGTGTGTGTGGGAGGACACCGAGCCTGAAACATGCAGAGATGGACGAGTGCAGGAGTGAGAGTCCTGCTCTCACAGAAACCAAATCACATCAGGAGAGAGACTCTCGTCAGAAATCCTCGTTTCAATTGTTCTTGAAGTTTTAATTAAACACAAACGTTAATAATTAAAAATGCACAAACAAGGCGGAGAAACCCTGAGGGCTGATAAAGGAGTCCAGTTAATAATGAAACCATATCTGCAGGTTTTCAGCCAAGATCAGAGTCACGGGACAGAAACAAGGATCTGATTTCATCCTTTAACTCTTTTTAACCAACAAAGACTCAAGATTTTACAACAACATAAATATATTAAAAAGCTGTTTGTTAAATTTGTATCAGTTATCAGCAAGCTTTAGTATGGAGAGTGAAAGCAGGAGGAACTCACCTCCAATCTTCACCGCATCCAGAACGGGTTTTCACCGTCCGCCAATTCCTACCAGATCTGTTTGTGAGGCGAATTTCATGGTGGATTACAGACAGCAGGAATCTCGAGAACTCACAAGAACCTGCAGATTCACGTTCAATCACACGATAACGAGTCGTCTCTATAAAGACAGACACATAGACATATAAGCAGTAGATAGAGGAACGGAAAGAAGTCGGTGTAAATCGACACGTTAACTTGAATGGTTACGATCAGCTACGATCGGAGGATACGACCTTTTAGGAGACGATCAGGAAGAAGGTGGAGGTCAGGGGGTTAGTCCTCCATCAGGACTTCCAGCTCTCTCCAGATTTCTGTCTACGCTTGAAGGTCAGCTAACAACCATCTGAGACGCCGATCTGAGGGAGGACCAGGAAACCGGAGAGAAGATCTGAGAGACTCTCCACAGACTGATGGATCGGCCCACCTCCTGGTTCTGAACTCAGAGGTTCAGCCGGTTTATCTCCAGGCCTGAATCTCTCTTCTCCTTGATTCTGACTCGTGGTCACGTCTGGATCACCTGATTGGACGTCTGGACTGAAGGTTCACTGCCAACCATGAACTTGAACATCCCTTCAGACGCTCGGAGCTCAGCGTTTATCAGGTTCCTCCTTCCCAGCACAACCAGACCAGCTACAGCTAGACCAGTTCCAACCTCAGAACCTGGTCCAGGTTCAGTCCAGATCCTTTGAGGAAGTCCTGCTCAGAGACGGTCTGTGTCCGTTAATCTGTCTGAAACAAACACGTGTTACTGAGCAGAAAACTCAGATTTCAGACACTTACTCATCATCCTCCTCATCATCATCTTCATCATCTTCATCATCCTCATCACACACAGGTCACTTTCACACCCTCATTGGAACATCAGCAGAGACGGAGCGTCCCTGACAACAGCTCCACTTCTTCTCAAAACATGAATTTGAAGTTTGGACCTACGAACCATCGACACCCGAGTCCACCTGAAGAGGAGGAGGGAGAATCAGACACCTGCGCCCCTCTGACGTCCAGCAGGGGGCAGTCTGACTCATGGTCTCAGGTTTACAGTCAGGAAACTCTGGTCCATGTAGAGTCACAGAGTCCAGAAACCTCCATTACTCAGTCTGGGTGGGCAGAAAACAAAACCTGGACTGGACTTTTTGGGGCTCTGGAGTGAACGGTGACGACAAAGTTAACGACACAAAAAAAAGTAACATATCGTGAAAATAAAAGGATGCAAAAAAAGCCACAACAGAAGTGACCTGCTGCTGGGGACCAATAATGATGACGCACCACTGTTTTACGGTGTAGGCACAGAAGACGACGAACAAAGAAGTTTGTGTAAAGGTTATTGTGTATTTTAACTTCGTAAACTTTTTAATGTGTCATTTTTTTAGACCATGTAGCGCCTGAGTCCATATGAAGTTAAACTGAGTCAGCAGGATTCTGAGTTTAGTGTGGAAGAAAACGTCTTTTAACGACAGTTTGACCTCAATGTTTTATTGTGGGTCAGTCTGTGTTTCCATCCTGGTTCTGACCCGTGTGGTTCGGTTTGGTACTGTGTACTTCTGAGCTGCTGTGATAGTTGTGTGTGTTTGTGTGTGTGTGTTTGTGTTTGTCACACACGTTTCTGTTTATCAGTCAGTACTGAGTCTTCAGTTTTTGATGGTGTTGAGTCTGAATCAGTCGAGGATGAACTGACGCTCACTGAGCTTCAGCTCCCACAGCTCCGAGTATGAGACGTGTTTCTGTGTGTCGCAGCCAGAAAGAACAACCACTGTGTCGGTTTTAAATCTGTGTAGTCCGCCCACACACACACACACACACACACACACAGCTCTACACAGACAGCTGAGAGGGTTTCAGTTTCCATCCCACCACTTCTGGCTGTCGGCGTTCTGGAGTGTGTTTGATTGTGTGTTTGCATGTGTGTGTGTAAAACATTAGTGTGTGTGTGTGTGTGTGTGTGTGTGTGTGTGTGTAAAACATTAGTGTGTGTGTGTGTGTGTGTGTGTGTGTGTGTGTGTGTGTGTGTGTGTGTGTGTGTGTGTGTGTCTCAGAAACAGCAGATGATTTAATGATCAGCTGAAATTCTTCTGTCACAGATCTGCTAAGAGAGGACTTTTATTTTGAAATTAGTGACATCCTGTCCGTCACACCGAGACGGTTTCAGGACTTTGAGCAAAGATGGCGGAGTCAAACACACGGTCTCTTAATCAGGATGTTTCCATCACGCCATCAGAGTGTTTCCTGGACTGATCTGTCTTTACCCCCAAACCTCCACCTTCATCCTGATCGTCTCCTAAAAGGTCGTATCCTCCGATCGTAGCTGATCGTAAACATTCAAATTAACGTGTCAATTTACACCGACTTCTTTCCATCGGACGCCGGAGCATGGCGGATAAATTCAGCACAGATTAACCCGTGCTGGAAAGGAAGTCGGGCACAGACACAAAATAAAACATCCGGCTTCTTTTCAAAATAAAACACTCCGTGTTTCAGGAGGATCGTATTTCACACCATGCAAACGGGCGGAGACGAACAAGTGAAAGGTTTTTAGACGTCATTTCACCCCGATGACACCATGGATGAGGAGATGCTGATTCTAGAAGTCTAGAAGTAGATTTCCTCCTCTGGAAGGACACAATCTACTGCTTATATGTCTATGTGTCTGTCTTTAGAGAGACAACTCGTTATCGTGAGATTGAACATGAATCTGCAGGTTCTTGTGAGTTTTCATGATTCCTGCTGTCTGTAATTCACCTCACAAACAGATCTGGTAGGAATCAGCGGATGGTGAAAATCGCTGCAGTTCTGGATGTGGTGGAAATTCAGGGCAGTAAATACAGTCTGTAGGTGGCGCTCACACCTTGAGTTAGGCTGTTTTCTGATGTTTCTGTGGAGTGATGTCTGTTTTTTTTCTCTTGGCGGTGATAATGAGCTTCACGCCGTCAGACTCCTCCCCCTAAAACAGATCAGGATGAGATCTCTGTCCTCTCTTCTGTTTGTCGTCTTTTCTTCTTCTTCTTCTTCTTCTTTCCTCTTCACGTCTTCCTCTCCCTCATCTCTCTCTTAAATGTTTCGTCTCTTGTGTCTTTTGTTTTGTCTTCCTTTTATTTATCATGACCGTCTCTTTTTGTTTTTTCACTTTTTATTCTCCTAACAAACTGTTTTCCTTCTGTTACGTCCTCTCTCTCTCTCTCTCTCTCCCCCTCTCTCTCTCTCTTTCTCTCTCTCTCTCTCTCCCCCCCTCCCTCTCTCTCTCCCTCTCTCTCTCTCTCTCTCTCTCTCTCTCTCTCTCTCTCTCTCTCCCTCTCTCTCTCTCTCTCTCTCTCTCTCTCTCTCTCTCTCTCTCTCTCTCTCTCTCTCTCTCTCTCTCCCTCTCTCTCCCTCTCCTCCCTCTCAGTGCGTCTTCATCGAGGTTACTTTCCTCCTGAGTCCTCTTTACATGCAGATATTGAGGCCGAGCTGCAGAGTCACTCAGATAAAGTCGCTCTCTCACAGATTTTCCTGTCACAGGTTTCATCAGGAGGATAAAATAAAACTCTGCGCTCCTCCTCCTGCGGGGGTCTTTTATCATCTCTGAGACAGAGGAGTCTCTTATTAGGATGTTTTCCTGCAGCTTTACTGCTCCAGAGGGAGACGACGCTCGAGGAAAACAAATATTTCATCAGGATTCAATCTGTGCAGGAGTTTCACCGAAGACTCTCAGAGGTTACTGTTTCAGTGAGCTGCACTTCCTCTGACGTCCACTAGATGTTGCTGTGATGATATTCTGACCTCAGTGCGGTTACTGAAAATGTTGACTGTAGTTCCTCTTCAGTCCACTAGAGGCTGTGCCCAGCAGTGAGTCAGTCCCCATAGAGCTCCATGTTAAATTGAACAGGGAGGGAAAGGTCAGGACGGGGTCATCCTGCTCCTACTCCAGGTCACAGTTTGGCAGGGGAAGGTCCCGCCTCCTTTGCCTCTGATTGGCTGGAAAAGCTAGGCTCCGATTGGTTATTCCTAAAGGCTGTGAGACGTCATCACACGCGGGCTGTCGGCTCTCAGAACATTATCGCACTTCTGAATCTCTTCACCCGACAGACGATGACGTCAATCAGAGCCAATCAGAGGAGAAGGAGGCGGGGCCTTGTCTCTCTGGGCTCATATTCATGATGAACTTTAGTGTTTCTTAGTGTCACGTTCTGGACTGTTCGGACCTCTCTCTCCGGCTCCTCTGAGCTCCCGTCTGTGACGCTCTTAGACCCAAAGTGGTTCTATAAACTCTGGACTCACCGGGTCTTCAGAGGACCGTGGACATGGTACCAGATGGATAAGCTGTTCTGGACCTTTGGACAGGTGTGAACGGGTTTCAGAGAAGATCTGGATCAGGTCTGTACCCCTCCTGGGATCAGTGAAACCCTCTGAGGAGTCTCTCTGAAGTCCACAGCTGAGAGTGTTGATGATCTGTGGACATCTTCATCTTCATCTTCATCTTCATCTTCATCTTCATCTCTGTCTCTTTTCAGTCTTAATGATGAAGATGTTTTTATGGATCTGACAGGAAGGACCCCCCCCCACACACACACACACACACAAACACACACAGACACACACAAACACACACACACTAACACACACAGACAGACACACACAGACACACTAACACACACACACAGACAGGACTGACTCACTGCTCAGTGTCAGGCTTCATGACGGCTCTTCAGCTGCTCTTTATGAGGACATGTTTGAAGGAGGAAGGAGCTCCTCTTCCTCCTCTTCCTCCTCCTCCTCCTTCCTCCTGTCTTCATGTTTCTCCAGATAAAGTTCTAACTCAGTCTTTAAGTCATTATTTAGGGAAATGATGACTTTTTTTTCCATAATTTATTTATTTTTTATTCCTTAATTTGATTTTATTTTCCATATTTTAACTATTTTTTTCCCATAATTTGACTTTTTTATTCCATAACTTATTGTTTTTTAATTGCATATTTAGATCATTTTTATTTCACATTAGTGTCCTTCTTCATATTTATTCCTTTATGTCTTTATTTTAATTGTATATTTTTAACTTTTTATCTGCTGATTTATCTGATAAAATAACAAAATTATGTCGAACATTTTTACTTGAATGTCAGTTTTGACTTTTTATCTCATAATTGACTTTTTATTTTATAATTATGACATTTGATTTCATGTTTTTGACCTTTTCACTGCTGAAAATAACTTTGACTTAATTGGATCTTTATCCCGACCTTGATGACTTTCTATCATGACCATCATTTTGACTTTTTACTTGAGAGTTTTTTAAAACTCTGATTATTTATCTAATAAAAGTGATAAACTGTCTCTTAATTGAAACCTTTGTGTCTCGACTCTTTACCTCAGAATTATTCAGACTTTGTGTCCAACAGTTTGACTTTTGATCCCCTCACTCTGGATCGAATGGAGTCTGTCGACTCTCTGACACTAAACTGACGGGGGATGAAAACGACAGACAGACACACACAGACACACACACACACACACACACACACACACACACACACACACAGACACACACACACACACACACAGAGACACACACACAGACACACACAGACACACACACACACACACACAGACACACACAGACACACAGACACAGCAGCAGGAAATGTTAAAGGTATTCATCAAAGTGAAGGTCGCTCTTCTTCATCCTCTTCATCCTCAGCTGCATGAATTCAAGACAGAGAGACAAACAGACGGAGAGCGAGAGGAGAGGAAGTGTGTGTCTGACAGTGACACACACACACACACACACACACACACACAGACAAAGTGATTTCATGGTTCACCTGAGGGCTAAAACTCTGAACAGTCTCTTTGTTTCTGTGTGTGTGTGTGTGTGTGTGTGTGTGTCTGTGTGTGTGTGTGTGTGTCTGTGTGTGTAGTCCAGTGTTTTCTCCTCTCCTGTTGACTGAGTTTGAGTTGACTTGTTGATGCCAAAATAAAACCACAGAAGAAGAAGAAAACTCACCTGAGTGAAATCTCCTTTCCTCTACTCTTCTCGTCCACTCTCCTTGTCTCCTTTCCTCCGCTCTTCTTGTATCCTGTCTTTGTCTCCTTTCCTTGACTTCTTTATGCCTCCTTCTTTCCTTGTTCCTTCCTGTCTTCTTCTTCATCTTCTTCTTCTTCCATTATTTGATTCCTTGTCTCCTTGTTTTCTCTCCTCCCTCCCCCATCCTCTCTTTTCCTCTCCTCTCCATCCCTCCTTGTCTCCTTCCCTCAGGTCCAAGGAGATGATAAAGGAGGCCATCCTGGACAATGACTTCATGAAGAACCTGGAGCTGTCTCAGATCCAGGAGATCGTGGACTGCATGTACCCGGTGGATTATGGGAAGGACGCCTGCATCATCGAGGAGGGCGACGTCGGCTCTCTGGTCTACGTGATGGAAGGTGAGGAGCAGCGAGGGGGGTCACATGACCTGTCACATGACCTGGACAGGTGCTCTGTTTGAAGTTAGCCTCTCTGAATGATTCTGGAGTTCAGATGTTTCTGTTTTTATTTCTAAGTGATTTTAAAGATTCAGTTAAAAGACGTTTTTTTCTTAATAAAAACTAAAATATTAAATCAGTATTTAGAGATGAACCTCCTTTAACAGGCAGAAACCTCCAGCAGAAGAATCAGTCTTTATTTATATCACACTTTTCATACACGACCGTGTCGCACAAAGAGTTTTACACAGAAAAAAGGAGAAAAGAATCAAAGAAAAAACAAAATTACCCAAACCAACCGTTCATTCCCTCCATGGAAACAGAAACAGGATTAAAATACATGAACTTTAAAAGAGTTTTAATGTGCGCACTGAGGAGACGCCGTTTTAAAACTCAAGATAAAGAAACACTGGAGGTCTTTGTATCACACCGTACTGGACCACATCTGAGTACATCGAAGCTCGTCGTATCGTAGAGAACAGCAGAGTACAGTAGAGTACAGTACAGTAGATTACAGTAGAGTAGAGTAGAGTACAGTAGATTACAGTGGATTACAGTAGAGTACAGTAGCTCAGATTACAGTAGAATACAATAGAGTAGAGCAGAGTAGAGTACAGTAGAGTTGATTACAGTAGAGTTCATTAGAATACAGTAGATTACAGTAGATTACAGTGGATTACAGTGGATTACAGTAGATTACAGTGGATTACAGTAGATTACAGTAGAGTACAGTAGATTACAGTAGATTACAGTGGATTACAGTAGATTACAGTAGATTACAGTGGATTACAGTAGATTACAGTAGATTACAGTAGATTACAGTAGATTACAGTGGATTACAGTAGAGTAGAGTAGAGTACAGTAGATTACAGTGGATTACAGTAGAGTTCATTAGAGTACAGTGGAGAATTGTTGTTTAATTAAACAGTATTTCAGTTTATTGTGTCATACATTAACAGTTTAGTAACAGACCTGACGGGGTCTGTTGTCTGTCAGGTTAAATTAAGCGAACAGGAACACGATAACCTGAGTCTTTACATCAGTTTGGTTCCCGTGTTTGGCTCACGGGCGCTCTGACAGCGGCGGCGGCGGCGGCCCTCTAACCTGCAGCTGCTCAGTCAGGTCTGTGTTGGTCTCTCAGGTGTATTTATAGTTTGGTTTGAGGGTTAGTTTGTTATATAAGCAGCCTGTTTGGACAGGAGCTCCTCACACTGGAAACTCCGGTGGATGTCGGCGTGTTTGAGCTGACGGTTTCTGTGTTTCTGCGGGAAACTCTGTAGAGGATTAAGGAGGTTTCTGTTGTGGGTGAACTTATCTCCACCCCTCACTGGGTTATCGTGGCCTCTCACAGGAAAACCTGCCAACAGTCACACAGCGCTGCTGAATTTTCAGGACACTTTTCATCTCTTTGTGTTTTTGGACTCACAGCGGCTTGATAACAATCCTCCAGATGGCCAATCCTCCGTGTCGGTGGGTGGCAGCGAGCGGTGTGAAAAAACAGACGACATTTATATCTAAGTAAAAGCTGCTGTGTAGCTCACACTCCAGCCGAATTCAGGAGTGAGCCCTCACCATGCGAAACATATCTGTGTGTCACATTTATTCAAATAGGTGTCAGATCATCAGCCAATTAATGTTAAAATGACTCATTTTTGAATGGAGTCTGGTGTGGGCAGACAGACGGATCATTTGTACCAACAATAAGTGTGTGTGTTCGTGTGTGTTAGTGTGGGTTTGTGTGTCCAGTGCAGACTAAGTGGGTCAGACTCTGAAGTGGGCGACCAAGCTAGAGACCTGAGGGGAGAGAGAGAGTAACAATATGAGTCTAAACACGAACAATAAACACTCGAATAAAAACAGAAAAACTGCTGAATGACGCCGCAGTCATGTGATCAGTCCAACCTGACATCATTTCAGTCTGAACACCAATTAAAATAATTATAAATATGAATAAAAACTAAAATCTGAAGGTGTTCAAACGATTTAAAGGACGACGTTCACAAAGAAAACCAACAAAATATTATTGTTTCATAAAGAAAGATGTAAAAGTTCTGATAGAGGAACAAACAATCAGGTCAAAGGTTGTCTGTGAACATCTGTGAAGGCTTCATTAACGCTGAACAACATCTCCAGGTTTAGGAGAATCATCTGGGACTGTTATATTGTTAAATGGAGTTACAGTCCAATATTGAATACGTCACAGTAAGAGAGTCTCTGCATTCAGCTATAATGTACTCATTTATAGATCCATGTGTTCATTTATTCACTTTGAGCAAAAAAACATTAAAAAAGGTGAAAAAAAAAGGAAAAATTTAAATTAAAGAAGAAAAAAACTTAAAATCTCCTTTTTCTTTAAATCAGATACCAAACAAACACACTGAAAACCCAAAACACAACCCAAAACACACATATACACGTGTGTGTGTGTGTGTGTGTGTGTGTGTGTGTGTGTGTGTGTGTGTGTGTGTGTGTGTGTGTGTGTGTTGATGTGGAGTGGAACTGTGACTGGATGAAGAAACAGATGCAGTCGTTTAGTCGCCATGAACAAGGCACACACACACACAGACACACAGACACACACACACACACACACACTCAGCTTTCTGGTGGATGCGGTTGGCATGACAACCTGTTGGATGACCATTTTTGGGATTCAAATGTTTTCACGGTTTAAGAATTTGGAGTACAAATAAATGAAGAAGAGATTAAAAAGAGAGAACTGAAAATGGAGACGAAAAGAGGAGAGGAGAGGAGGGAACGAAAGAGGGAGGAAGGATGGAAGAGAACTAAGAAGGAGTTTAGGTAGTGAAGGAAGCAAGGAAAGAAGGAGGATATCAGTTTTTGTGTCAGATTTTAGATGATTTCAGCTAATCAGCTAATGGGTGTTAAAACGAGTCATTTTTTTAATGGGGTTTGGTGTGTGAGAGTTTATTTACAGAGAAAACACTCAAACCTTTTCAGCCAGAGAGAAAATCACACAGGCTTTAATTTCCTGAAATACTTCAGCTTCAAACACACACTAAACACACACTAAACACACACTTAATCCACTATACATACAACGCACACTAAACACACACTTAATACACACTAAACATACAACGCACACTTAACACACACTAAACACACACCAAACACACACAGCCTATTTTATCAGTGTAGAGTTTATATATTTGTGTTTTTTTTACTGTTTTTTTGAACCTTTTGTCTCTTTGAACCTAAAAACCACGAGAGTGAAACTCCGACGAACACACGACGAATCTTCAGCAGAGAGGAAATCTAAAGACAGTCGGAGTGAAACCGTCTGGAACAGGATCCAACAGGAGAACCGGGCCGTGTTCTGGTGGGCCGGGTCAATAAAGTGACTTCTGGTTCAGCCATCAGAGACAGAGTCTAATGTCGGACCTTCAGCAGTAGTTAATAGAACATAGCAGCACACACACACACACACACACACACACAGACACACACACACACACCTGCGCCCAGCTTGAAGCCCCCCCCCACCTCTCTCTCTCTCTCTCTCTGTCTGCGGTAGTCGTTCGCCCACTCTGTTCTGTCTCTCCGTCCACCTTCCTTTTTAAACGATGAACACTTTTCTTGAGGTCGACCTGTCGCCGTCGTTCCGCCTCCAGAGTGTGTGTTTCAGTTTGTGATGTTGATCTGAGGAGTGTGTTGTTGGTGTGTTTGTTTGTTAGTGTGTTTGTTACCTGCAGCAGCAGCAGCAGCTCCTGTTTGAAGTACACACACTGAGCCGTGTCAGTCTGTGGACATGAGCAGGTACAGAATGTCCTCCACGTCCAAAATCACCATGAGTCCGCCTGAATCATCCCCTCCCTCCCTCCGTCCTGTTTCTGTACCGTCTTTTCACACGGGTCTGATTTAGTTTCTATAACTTCATGATGATCTCTCAGCTCTCTGAGGTGTTTATAAAGTCACTGAAGAGACACTGTCAGCATGTAAAGGTGGTTCAGACCTTCAGAGGGTCAGAGTTTGTGTTATTATGACGGGGATGTGATCACTCTGACATTTACAGTCTCCTGCTCATCTATCGGTTCATCTTGATCAATATTGGTCTGAAATGTCAGAGCTGTTCCAACGTCCAAACAGCTCAGACATCAATAATGAAGACACCTGTGCACACCTGAGATCACAGAGGGAAACCGTCCTATCAGAGCGAGGGCTTCTCAGCTCTTTTATCAGGTTGTAATTTTGGATAATTTTGAAAAATACAAAAAACTCAAAACAGACCACACAGATTAAAAATGAAATAACCTTCGTCTTCCTCATCTAAGAGAACTTTTATTAAAAAGTTCAGAACTTTTATGGATCATAAAAAAAACATAAAAACCTTTTAATTCTGTAAAATATCCCTGAAATGTAGAATGAGTGAATTATTCTGAATTATTCCTCTGTGTCGTCCTCACTGATGGAAACCGACAATCTTTGATATGCAAACTCTCCCACTTCCCTCCGCGCACACACACACACACACACACACACACACACACGCACACACACAGGCCACCTGTCATCTCACCTGCCCTTTGTTTGTGTGTGTTCAGTCTGATCCAACCCTCAGATAAAATGAAAGAAAACAGATCTGAGAGGTTTATTCTGTCCCAATGAGTCACGGCGCCGCATTAAACACATTTGTTCATATCACAAACACACACAACGACACACACACACACACACACACACACAAAGACACACAGTATTGATCATCAGAGATCAATCACAAGCAGCTGAAACTTGAGCTGAAGTGTCGGACTTGTTAAAACAGTTTTTCTGTCCTCATCTGTGAATGAACCTGAAAAAACCGAGTCTTTATCGTGACTTCATTATCGTGAAGTTTTACTGAAAAGACCCAGAGTGAGAGTGTGACCGTGAGACACACTCTAACAGACAAGAACTGGAGACAAACTCACAAAACACACAAACTACGAAATGTAAAAACTAAAGAGAGAGACGTAAAAACAGAACAAACAGAGCAGGTCTGTGCTCAAAGAGGAGAACGCTGAGACCTCTGTGGACCCAGCAGACCCGGTTCTAGAGACCTCTGTAATAATAATTTTTATAATAATAATAATAATAATAATAATAATTTTTATAATAATAATGATAATAATAATATTAATAATAACAACAACAACAACAATAATAATAATAATAATAATAATAATAATATTTTTTATAATAATAATAATAATAATGATAATAATAATAATATTAATAATAATAATAACAACAACAACAATAATAATAATAATTCTTAATAATAATAATTTTAATTATAATAATGATAATAATATTAATAATAATAACAACAACAACAATAATAATAATAATGATAATAATTCTTATAATAATAATAATAATAATAATTCTTATAATAATAATAATAATTATTATTATTATAAGAATTATTATTATTATTATTATTATTATTATTATTATTATAAGAATTATTATAATATTATTATTATTATTATTATAAGAATTATTATTATTATTATTATTATTATAAGAATTATTATTATTATAAGAAGTATAACATGAATAAATAGTCAGTATCATCATGTCTGCAGATAAAAACTACAGAGCAGCTGTTCAGGTCATTTTCAGCAGTTCTTCTCTTCTGATGGCATGTATTTACCTATTTTGCTGCTCTCTCTCTCTTTCTCTCTCTCTCTCTCTCTCTCTCTCTCTCTCTTTCTCTCCCCCCCCTCAGAGGGGAAGGTGGAGGTCACTAAAGAGGGGATGAAGTTGTGCACGATGGGACCTGGTAAAGTGTTCGGGGAGCTGGCCATCCTCTACAACTGCACCAGGACCGCTACTGTGAGGAGTGAGTGCAAACACACACACACACACACACACACACACACACACACACACACACACACACACACACACACACACACACCCTCCAGAGCTGCAGAGAAATCCTGAACATGGTCTCAGGTTTCAGCTCCTGCAGGACCTCCAGAGGATCTGATGTCTCCCTCAGAGCTGTGTGTGTGTGAATACATGAATACATGAATACATGAATATTAAACACATCAGGTGTGTTCACAGAGCTGCGTGCACGTACAAATATCTATGCATGTGTGTGTGTACGTGCGTATTTGCTCTAATCAGGGTACAGATACAGACATCAGATGGAAAAATAAATCGTGACTCTCTCAGCGTGTGTGTACAGCATGCAGGTGTCGCCATGGCAACAGCACACACACATCAATGTATGTGTATGTGCGGCGATGTCAGACCTCAGACCTCTGCAGAAGTTCACATGTTGAAGGTTTAATGAACGGATGAGGCCGCCGACACCACCACCACCACCTGTCACATCTAAACACATGAACTCCACCCTCAGCAGGAGGCCGGAGGTCCGAACAACTTCAGGGACAACCAGAACCGGACCCTCGGAGCAGAACTTTTCAGGGTTCACTTGGAGCTCTTCATGCAACATTAATCTCTGAAACCATCTGAAACCATCTCAACTGTGCAGAAAGAGGAGAATGACTTCCTCCGGCTCATCCGTCTCCTCCTTCCAACATGCAGCTGCACGACTCCAGAGGTCGAGTTCGGAGAAAAAGACGAAGTATCGTGATTTTTAGGGTCAGTAACGCCGAAGTCAGGACGAGAAAACAGAGCAGCAGGAGCAGCAGGAGCATAGATTTCAGCTCACGTCATCATCAGGATCTTTAATCGAGATCTCAGAGGTGGAAATGAAGCAGAAAAAAAAGGAGATGTGGAGACAGACAGATGACTTTAGAGGAAGTGGTCATGGATCAGCTGACAGCAGATTTAAGTCTGAGGACCGAACCGCCGACCCTCCTGCTCTCTGAAAACCTGATCTTTGAGAAGCTTTAAGAAAGTTTCTGCTCAAAGAATTAAAAAAACTTTTACAGAAAACTGTCAGAGGGGTTTTTATGATAGTGACCTCTAGTGGTCCGGAGAGTAATGACTGAATATTGAATCATCACAGAATCAAAAGACTCTCCGTGTTTTTCTCCGAAACTCTGAAGTTTTTCTTAATGAAGAGGAAGAAAGAAAGAAAGAGGAAGAAAGAAAGAAAATCCAAAAAAAGGACCTGAAGAGAGGAAAAGCTGAAGGAATAAAGAGAGTAAAGTGAAGTACTGAAGGAAAATAAAAAAGAAATAAAACGAAAAATACAAAATAAAGAAAGGAAAAAACAAATGAGAGAAAGAAAGAAAGAGAAGAAGCAAAATAGGAAAAGAAAGAGAGTGACCAAAAGAGGAAAGCAAAAAAGAAAATTAAAAAACAAAAAAAGAACTTAACTTTATTTTCTATAACACTTTACAAACAACAGAGTTGATCTAAAGAGTTTCACAACAACACAGAGGAAAAACAAACAGACGACGGAGAAGAAGAAGAGCAGACTGAGTGACACTAATAATAAAAACGATATAAAAATGTTGTTTTCAACACCATCACTGTCATCATCATTCATGATAATCATAATAAAAAACAATAATAACAACAATGATAATGACGACACAGATCTACAGACCGACAGAGCTCAAAAGAAAGGAGACAGATAAATCAAAACAAAAACAAGCAAAAGGAAGGAAAAAGATTGTTGTTTAGAATAAAGTAATAAAAATAAAAGTAAATAAAAATGAAAGGAATAAATAATAATTTAAAAAATTAATAAGAAGTGAAAAAATCAAAAAATCAAAACAAATTCAGAGTTTAAAAGTGAACAGAGAAAAGAAAAAGGAGAAAGAAAAAAAGAGCAGAAGAAAAGAAAGAGAAGAGAAAGAGAAAGATAAAAAAGAGGATAAGAAACAAAAAATGATAAAAAATAGATGAGATACAAAAGAAAGTCAAGAAAGAAAAAGAAAAAAATACAGAAAAACAGCGAAAAAGAAAAGAAGGCAGACAAAGAAAAAGAAGACAAAAGGCAAAGACAGAAAATCATGAAAGAGAGAAGAAGAAAGAAAAGAAAGAAAGAAAGAGGGAGAGAGAGAGAGAGAGAAAGAAGAGAGAGAGAAAGAATCTTCTGACACTGTTTCACAGACATTCCTCTAACCTGAGGACAGGTGCTCTGTAGACAGCTGGTTACCGTGGTTACACTCAGCTACCTGAGTGTCTACAGCGTGTGTGTGTGTGTGTGTTTCAGCTGTTTCCTTGGCGATGTTCCTTCAGTTTTAATGAGCAAAAGTCCAAAAAGTTCTGGAGTTCAACACAGAAACTCAGCGGGAGGTTAGAAATGTTGGAGCTGTTTTTATGTCGAGGTTAAAGAATTTAAAAAGAGTTTTAAAAATGTTTTAAAAATGTTTTAAAGGAAACAAAGAGGGACGAGGAACCAGGAGTTAAACAACGAGAGGATCAAACAGCTGCAGAGAGGAGACGTTAGTGAAAAATCCAAAATACTCCACAGTCCTGGAGAGTCTCAGTTCCTCTCAGATCTTCACTCTGGTTTCTTCAACATTATTAAACCTGAACCTGAAGCTGATGTTCCTGTGATGTTCCTGTGATGTTCCTGTGATGTTCCTGTGATGTTCCTGTGATGTTCCTGTGATGTTCCTGTGATGTTCCTGTGATGTTCCTGTGATGTTCTCCTCATTAACGGATCTTCAGTTTGCTGAAATTAAAACATCATGATTCAGATTAGTCTAAAGACCGAGGTCCGGCTCTGTCAGGTCTGAAAGGTCCCCTTAGTGGGTCTGACTCTTATCCCTCCAGACCTGTGAGTTCAGATCAGGTCTGGGCGATTTGGCAAAGAAAAAAAAAAGATCACGATATATTTCGGCGTATCGTCCGATCTCGATTATTGTCACGATTTTTTTTTAACTGCCTGTTTTAAAGTATCTGAACTAAAAACTAAAGAAACTTGAGATGAGTTCAAGATTTTATTAACATACACTCACCGGCCACTTTATTAGGTACACCATGCTAGTAACGGGTTGGACCCCCTTTTGCCTTCAGAACTGCCTCAATTCTTCGTGGCATAGATTCAACAAGGTGCTGGAAGCATTCCTCAGAGAGCTTGGTCCATATTGACATGATGGCATCACACAGTTGCCGCAGATTTGTCGGCTGCACATCCATGATGCGAATCTCCGGTTCCACCACATCCCAAAGATGCTCTATTGGATTGAAATCTGGTGACTGTGGAGGCCATTTGAGTACAGTGAACTCATTGTCATGTTCAAGAAACCAGTCTGAGATGATTCCAGCTTTATGACATGGCGCATTATCCTGCTGAAAGTAGCCATCAGAAGTTGGGTACATTGTGGTCATAAAGGGATGGACATGGTCAGCAACAATACTCAGGTAGGCTGTGGCGTTGCAACGATGCTCAATTGGTACCAAGGGGCCCAAAGAGTGCCAAGAAAATATTCCCCACACCATGACACCACCACCACCAGCCTGAACCGTTGATACAAGGCAGGATGGATCCATGCTTTCATTTTGTTGACGCCAAATTCTGACCCTACCATCTGAATGTCGCAGCAGAAATCGAGACTCATCAGACCAGGCAACGTTTTTCCAATCTTCTATTGTCCAATTTCGATGAGCTTGTGCAAATTGTAGCCTCAGTTTCCTGTTCTTAGCTGAAAGGAGTGGCACCTGGTGTGGTCTTCTGCTGCTGTAGCCCATCTGCCTCAAAGTTCGACGTACTGTGCATTCAGAGATGCTCTTCTGCCTACCTTGGTTGTAACGGGTGGTTATTTGAGTCACTGTTGCCTTTCTATCAGCTCGAACCAGTCTGGCCATTCTCCTCTGACCTCTGGCATCAACAAGGCATTTCCGCCCACAGAACTGCCGCTCACTGGATATTTTTTCTTTTTCGGACCATTCTCTGTAAACCCTAGAGATGGTTGTGCGTGAAAATCCCAGTAGATCAGCAGTTTCTGAAATACTCAGACCAGCCCTTCTGGCACCAACAACCATGCCACGTTCAAAGTCACTCAAATCACCTTTCTTCCCCATACTGATGCTCGGTTTGAACTGCAGGAGATTGTCTTGACCATGTCTACATGCCTAAATGCACTAAGTTGCCGCCATGTGATTGGCTGATTAGAAATTAAGTGTTAACGAGCAGTTGGACAGGTGTACCTAATAAAGTGGTCGGTGAGTGTATAAAGTAAATAAAGAAAATAAAATAAGATCAACTTAGAAAAATATTTAAAAAAACATTTTAACTCAAAAGTAAAACAAATATAGATAAAAACTAAATAAAACAGTGAACGAGTTTACAGTCCTGAGTGTTTCTGCAGGTATAAAAGACACAAATAAACAAAATAAAGACGCCTTAAAATGTAAACATTAGATAATATAAACGTAGAAGATATGATTGGTTGTCAGCAGAGACAGGCTGTACAGACTACGCCCACATTTTCATGCTTTTTTGGGGGAAAAACTTCTTTAAACTTCTTTAAATAATTTAACAGATCTGTTGTGTTGTCGATGTTTGAGGGCCGACATACTTCACACATCGGCTTCATTACTCAACTTTGGAGAAACCTGAACCGCCGCAACACAACCAACGATCAATAACCTTTCTCCTGATCAACTGTATCTTCAGAGGAAGACTCAAAGTCATGGCGGACAGCTATTTTTCTGCCCTCAGCTCCGTGTTTACCTCCGTGTTAGGTCATTCTGTTTATTTCTCCAGTAACTGATAGAAGTGAGCAGGAAACGCTCGACTCTGATTGGCTGTTTTCACGCACATTCCCACCATCTTTGTAACCACCAGTAAGTAAGCTCACAGCTGATCATGGTGATCGAACTGAAGTTTATCACGATCATCGATGGTTCAGATTCTGGGTGTTTTGGATCAGGCTGTAAACTCGGAGGTGTTTGTTTCGCTCACAAACTTCTCTTCACAGATAAACAGAAAGTAAATCGGAGAAGTCGAGCAGCTGGACTTTCTCCTCTCTCCTCCTCCTCGGCAGAAACTCCGAACATTAACCCTTTGTTGTCTGACAGCTGGAGGGAGCTGATGTGAGTTTGTGAGACGAGGAGGTTGTCGACAGGAGGAGTGGGAGTTCTGCCGTCTGAACCCATAAAACATCAGCCCAACTCTGACAGCTGTGTGTGTGTGTGTGTGTGTGTGTGTGTGTGTGTGTGTGGACCTCCAACTTTTTTGTCAGTGCTTCCTGGTGAGTGCTCACTAAGCAGCAGTTGCCAGGCAACACCATCCGGTTCAGCCAATGAGCTAAGTTTTGGCATCGGCGTCTCTTGGCAACAGCGCGGGGTTCGAGGGGATTCGTTTTCCGTTTGCTGAAGCTTTTCGCTCGTTATCTTCATATTAACACACGAGCTCCAGCTGGAGTTTATCGGCTCTCGCAGATTTAACTTTATGCTTCTTCTCCACATCAGCGCGGAGCGGTCAGCGTCAGAATTAAAACCCGTTTAGAGAAGAAACTGAAAACAGTCGGAGTCATCTTCAGTGAACAGACACAGACAGCAGCTCAGAGGAGGTTCGGAGTTTCTGAGATGATTCAAACCCCCAAAGAGTCTGCTCTGGGTTCATGAATCGACTTTTATTCCAGACGATAAAATGATCCGACCTGATAGAGACGGATTTAACAGCTGCGCTTTAAAAACCTCAGAGAAACACGGCAGCTATCAGACCCATGAATTATTGATAAACACAGGAGAGGTCTGAAGAAGAAGAAGAAGAAGAAAGTGGAGTTTAGCTCTTGGAGGTGAAGAAAGATCTCCCTCTGATGGATCCATGACTCACTCTCAGAGGAAGAGTTCAGTCAGAGGAGCTTCTCTCCGAGGTTCCTCCTCTCAGAAGGTCCACCTTTGTTCACCATGTTGTGTCATATAAAGGAAGTCCACCAGGGGGCGCTCCAGCTCTGCAGCTTTCAAGGGTTAGCAGAGCTGCGTCCATAAACACGCTCAGTCATGTAGGAGAGGACTTTAGATCAGACTAAACACAACTCACCTACTCTCTTCCAGCAGACGCTTGTTTGTAGAGAGACCTCAGGTCAGTCCATTACAGACTACAGCGGGGTGACGCAGCTCAAGGAAGAACATTTATGATAATTTCTTTATCATTTCCTTGAAGTAATAATCACCATATTGATCATTTTACAGACGCTGTAGTTCTTCTGTCTTAGCGTCTCGGTCTGATTGTATTTCCATGAAGAAATGATCATAAATGTTCTTCCTTGAGCTGCGGCACCCCGCTGTAGTCTGTAATGGACTGGTCTGAGGTCTCTCTACAAACAAGCGTCTGCTGGAAGAGAGTAGGTGAGTTGTGTTTAGTCTCTTTGCTAAAGAAATGAGTCAAAGTTAAAAAGATGTTTGGTGTCTAGTACTATGTCTGTGACCCTGTATGTCCTGTTGATGAAGTTAGGTGCTGTTCTGAGCATTAGAACGTTTGGTTGAGGTTACCAGAAGATGAGTTTCTACCATCCAAACAGATGGAGATGTGGTCCTCCTAAAGCTGTGTCTGACTGGAGAAGAAGTTTAATGTTTGTGGTTCTGGGTTCAAACTGTTGCTGCGTGGTAATAACCAATCAGAATCCAGTATTAATCACAGCCTCGGGGTTTGGTATGTTAGAGAAGAGCTGATGATGAAAGTCTGTGAGGACCTCCTGACCTTTGACCTTCACTAATCACTCATGAAGTCATTTACAAGCATGTATGATAATCTTCACACACACACACATCAGACTCTTCTCAGCCGTTAATGTTTGCTGCTGTGGAGTGTCTCCTGTTGTTACCGTGGTTACACAGACACTTGGCATCTCCGTAGCAACAGACAGCAGGTCATAAAGCGGCGAAAACAAGAAATCATAAAAATATGACCGAAGAGATGAAGCAGACTCAGAGGACTGACTGACTGACTGACTGACTGCAGAGGTGTGGCGGCGCTCTGACAGGTACACGGAGGTTAAACCACGAGTCCGCCGCAGACTGAGACCGCCGTCGTCTCCCTGATTCATGTGTTCATCAAAGAAAAACACGACTAACTGACAAACGTTTGTTTCATCCAGAGAAACATCTGAAGTGATCTCACTGTGACAAAGAAACTCTCATTGGTCGATACAGCTGTCAATCACGTCTCTAACTGGTTCAAACTAAAACCAGTTTTTACATTAATCTTTGTGTGTGTGTGTGTGTGTGTGTGTGTGTGTGTGTGTGTGTGTGTGTGTGTGTGTGTGTGTGTGTGTGTGTGTGTGTGTGTCTCAGCTCTGGTGCAGGTGAAGCTGTGGGCCATCGACCGTCAGTGTTACCAGACCATCATGATGAGAACCGGACTCATCAAACACGCCGAGTACATGGACTTCCTGAAGAGGTGAGAGGTCACTCACCTGTACATCCTCACCTGCAGGTTTACCCCCAAATCTCCACCTTCATCCTGATCGTCTCCTAAAAGGTCGTATCCTCCGATCGTAGCTGATCGTAACCATTCAAGTTAACGTGTCAATTTACACCGACTTCTTTCCGTTCCTCTGCCGATCAAAATCAAAATCGAACAACTGGACGGTAAAGTGAGGGAATAAATCAGCTGAACAGTCAGACCTTTGAGAACAAAAGCAGCTCGAGAACAAGCTGAACCTCAGGACTGACCTCTGTCCGTCTGTCTGTCTGTCCCTCTGTCTGTCTGTCTGTCCGTCTGTCTGCAGTGTCCCCACCTTCCAGGAGCTTCCTGAGGAGACTCTCAATAAACTGGCCGACGTCATGGAGGAGGTGAGTCTGGATCACAAACACCTGAGGTCGCCGTCAGGTGGTCCCTGTGGTCTGTTTTGGACCTCTCAGCTCTCCGTAGTTCAGCTGCTGACAGTAGAAAACGCCAACTCTGCACTTTTTCATGATTTTCTTTTCGTTCTTTCAGATTTACGGAAAAAAAAAAATTCACTTCTCAAACTTTTTCTACATTTTAATGAAAAATTGTTGTTTTTGTGAAAACAGTCGTTCAAATTAACAAAGAATGGAAATATAAAAAGGTTGGATTTTGAACACAGTCCAGCAAACATTAGAGCCCCCACTTTGTCCACAGGGGGCGCTAAAATGACCCCATAGAAAAGTCCTCACAGGAGCTTTAAAGTTGATTAAAACTCCTCCTCCTCCTCCTCTTCCTCCTCCTCCTCCTCTGTGTTCAGACTCATTATGGAGACGGCGAGTACATCATCAGGCAGGGAGCTCGAGGAGACACCTTCTTCATCATCAGTAAAGGAAAGGTGACTCGGACTCTCCTCTTTAACCCTTTACTCTCCTCTGATTTATTTATTGATCTCTAAATCGATCCGCTGACTCCTCCTGACAGGTGAACGTGACCCAGGGAGATTCAGCCAATGAGGAGCCGACACACCTCAGGGAGCTGACCAGGGGGGACTGGTTTGGAGAGCGAGCACTACAGGGGTAAGATCACGTGACCTTTGACCTCGAGACCTGTACTCTAATACACCTGAACCTTTAATACCTTCAGTGGTCACGGGTTTTTATTGAACTTTTGGAAAAACAAGATTAAATCTTGTTTTTATCACGTGCAAAAACATGATCAATATTTGTGTTTTGTGTAATTTTAGTATGATGTTTATTTTTTCCTGCAAAACAAAATGATTCAACCTTCTCACCGTCAGAAATCACCCCAGAGAAAAACCAGGGCTGCAGATACGTTTGTTTAAAGGACTTTCTTTTTTAAAAACATTTTTTATTTCACAGAAATACAAGAAACAAAAAATATGTTTTTTTTTTTTTTTTAAACCACATAATTTCCTCCCCTCCCCATTATTCCCCAGAGGTACGGAACAGGAAGAAAATAAAAGAATTATATATATATATGTAAACAGTACAGAACGAGACAAGCACATTAAAGAGGAACAAAAAAAGGAAAATAAGTTAATAAATAAATAAATAATTTAATTTAAAAAAAAGTCAGCAACAATGATGTCAATAAACTCTATCCAAATGTGTAAACATATGTATTCACACTAACGGACTTTCTAACATGGAGCTTTAAGGGGAGGGACTCAGTTTGAGACACAGCCTCTGGTGGTCACTTGAGGAACTGCAGTTTTTAGACTCTATTGTGGTATTTGATGTTGACACTCGGTTCTTGGCTGATCATTCGTACTGAGGATCTTGTTTCAGTCTGGATCCTGCAGACTGCGGTTCACTCTGTCTCATTAAAGTCTCTCCTTGAACTCGGAGGTTTTCAGACGACAGTGAGCGTGATCGTGTTGCTTCTTCAGATTCTGTTCGTGTTCGTATTCTTCATACATTATCACCCTTACAGCAGCTTTGTGCATGCTATAGTAATCCTGCCAATTAGCAGCTCTGTTCCGTATCCACACATCACTTCATGTCATGTCGTACCACCTCTAAGATATTCCACGTAGAGACCTCGGGAGAGAATGAGGATGAATTTTTCATGGAGTATCGGCTGGAGAGGAACGTGGCACACATGCACACGCCGAAAACATGTGATCCAACATGCTTTCAAAGAAGCATGACACCGATGAGTGTTGAGGGGTGAAACTGGAGGAGGGTTCGACTCTGCAGAGGCGGGAATCAATATGGAGTCCCCACATGAATACTTAGACAAACGTGTGTGTGTGAGAGCAGCGCTGTTTCTGTTCAATTATTTGATTTAAATTAATTTTGTTTGTACCCAGATGATGTTCGTGTGTGTTTCTTCCCTTTTTCTGTCAGTGTAATCATGAGATTACAGCCGCACACACACACACACACACACACACACACACACACTCTGTCAGTGTTTCTGGTTTGAGTCTCTGTTGGTTTTCTAACCTCCTGTCGGCATCATCACAGCTGCTGCTAATTGGTTAAAGTGTGTTTCACTGTTTCCTCGGGGGAGCGCTATTTACACATCCATGTGTGTGTGTGTGTGTGTGTGTGTGTGTGTGTGTGCTGTTCTTCTACCTCTGTGAGGACCAGAGTTAAACCCAGATAGACGGGGCACCTGGAAGACGGGGAGCTGTTTCTCAGTTTCGGGGTATTTTTTGAGTCCTCTTTGAAAACTTTTTTTAAAAATATGATAAAATTTTGACATTTGAAAACAACTTTTACTAAATTTAGAGAAACGGTTCAACGATCGGAGCGACCAAAAGTGATTACCGGATAAGAACGGTTTCATCTACAACGGACACATGAAATTCATCTGTTTTTAAGAGATGAGCGGGCGATGTTTTAGAGCTCTGAATAATCAGAGTTTTTAACTCCGTTCTGAAATTTTATGATTAAGGATGTAGAATTGGGTCAGGACGCTAGGAACACGTCTGTACCAATAATCAGCTGATACAATGTCGTCCCTATCAATTCAACCACACAAAGGGTTAACAGACAGTCTCTGCTAGAAGTCCCGCCTCTAACCTAAATACCAGTCTTCGATTGGCTGTCCCCACTGTCACTACATCTGCCTGTAAAAGTTACCTGCTGGTTTGACCGGACAGTAAATGTTATCTGCAACCGTGAAGTCGAAGTTGTCCACATGTTCGTCATATTGTGTCTGGGTCACGTCAGCTTTAACGGATTTTAATATCAACAGTGTCATTTACGTTTGTGTTTGTGTCGGTTTGTGTGTGTGTGTGTGTGTGTGTGTGTGTGTGTGTGCGTGAAAACGTGATATAAGAGATTTTCTTTAAGAGTCAAAGTGTTTGTAACTTAGAGGGTAAAGCCTACTGAAGAGAATCAACAATAGAGATATTGAATAAAAGACTTACTTTAATGCTGAAGAGATAAACTTTTTAAAGTTATTTTTGATTAATTATTAATTTCATGTACTTGTGTGGAAGAGAGAAACTGTATAAAAACACAAAGAAGAAGATTTGGGGAGAAAATACAATAAAATCTCAGATTCTAGATAAGATGATTGTGTGATTTTATACATCCATATTTTAGTGGGAATAAATTAAATGTAATAATTGTGTGAAAGTAAAAGCCTCAGAAAATGACTTTACCATCAAACTACATGATTATAAACATTATAAACAATTTTCTGACTATGATTGTTTGCTTGTGTCTCTACAAATGTTAAAATCAAACCTACTCCCTCGATTATCTTAATAGTGAGTTTTTCATTGTTTTGGTAACCCTCGTGGACATTTGTGAAATCATGCTAAACAAAGACTGTGTTTCTTCTTTACATGAAATGTCACACAGACATAAAAAAGTGTTTTTTTTTAGTTATTTACCTGCAGAAATAGTTGCTGTTAAACGTTCAGGTCCTATTAAAAGTGAGGAGATGTAGGAAAAGTGAAAGTGAAATAAAGTGAAATCATTATTTTTTACATTTATCAGATTTAGGACATTTTGAATACGACAACGTCATTATAATTCAAGGACATTTTTAATGATTATTCTTCATCAGAGTTGTGTCCCCGTGTCGAGGGTCATTGAAGAAAAACAACGTCCCCACATCACCCCATAAATTAGTCTGTGTGTGTGTGTGATGAGCCTGTGTGAGCTTTAATCGTGAATCTGTGTTTGTGCCTCATTTACAGAGAGGACGTGAGAACAGCCAACGTCGTCGCTGTCGATGCCGTCACCTGCCTGGTCATCGACCGAGAGTAAGACACACACACACACACACACACACACACACACACACACATTATATCAAAAACCTCAGAGAGTCCTCGAGTTGATGACTTTTATGGACCTGCAGAGAATAAAGCTGCTGCTGTCTGCTGCCCTCTGCTGGTTGTTATATGTAACTACATGTAAAAACTTGAAGACAGTCGACTTAATTTTATTTTATTTTCCTAAATTCTTTTTAACCACAAACAGAAACTTTAGATTTTTATGAATTTGGCTAATCTGGTTTTCTGAGACTGAAGCTCGATTTAAAACTTCAGTCATAATCTCCTCAGAGGTAGACAGACGTAGTTGGGTCACTTCATATTGATTTATTATACACTGATTTATCTACACTAAATATATATATATATATGCAAAATTCAATACTGTTACCTGATAGGCTGCTGTGCTCCCCCTCCCCAGCTCGTTCAAGCATCTGATTGGTGGACTGGACGATGTTTCTAATAAAGGATATGAAGACGCTGAGCTGAAGGCCAAGTAGGTTTATCACTCACACACACTCACACTAATGAAGTATGATTATTAGGTCAAGTTTCTGAAGTCGAATATTAAACAGAAATAAAATCAGAAAAAGTCTCAAATCTGAAACTTGGTCTGAATCATTTTAACCTTTTTTCAAGTTCAGGGTTTCAGTTTTCGTCTGACTTCAGCGGGTTGATATTTTTATGAGATCCAGAGTCTAAATCATGTGACTTCATGGTCCGTGTCTCAGCTGCAGGTTATAAATACAGTGAAAAATGTGTGTGTGTGTGTGTGTGTTATTACAAACGCTCATCCTCCTCCTGGCCTCAGTGTTGTTCCTCTGACAGGTGAGCAGCAGGTGTTTTCATCGGTTACAGGATCCTCCACTTATGTAAGAAAAGCATTCAGGGGCCGACACAGTGAAGGACGGCGGCGGGTCCGGTCAGGTGGTCTCTGTCCTTCACACAGGACAGAGTAGAAGGAGATAATAAATCAGCGGTGACACACAGAAAACATGAGATTAATCTGCGGTTATTTTCAGTCAGCACATGAGGCGTGTTTACAGGAGCAGGAATAGAGAGCAGCACCAGGTTTATTTTTAAAATAACAGCCACTGACGGTAAAGTTAGTCCCGCTGAGATCCAACAGTCTGCTCTTCTCGTTAGAGTCCACCGCGAGTAAATAAAGACACTCGATCCGCCCCCACAGACCGCCACCTGGGCCACAAGCGCCGATCATCAAAGACATTAAAGATGAGGAACCGTTGACCGGCGTCAGAGACTTTAAAACCTAAATCATCCTGTAGAAACATCAGATTAAACCGAAGAGAGCGGGTCTACAGAGGAACCAGAACAGGAAAAGTTCCTCCTAATGAACTCAGAATGTTCTTCTTCATGAATCCGTCTGAGGGGTTAAAGTCCAGGTTTGTCCTGGTCTACAGACAGGGGGTCTATCAGGAACTATCAGGGTCTATCAGGGTCTATCAGGAACTATCAGGAACTATCAGGAACTATCAGGAACTATCAGGGTCACTTATATTTTTAAAGGAACAATCTGAAGACAGTAAAAAAACGTCACGTTAGCTTTAAAGATGAAATGCTGGCAGGTTTAGGAGAAGCAGACAGAGGTGTCTGTTCTACTCTAATGTACTTAATCTAGACCCACTGTTTTTAGATGGGCCATAACACACACACACACACACACACACACACACACACACACACACTCCGTCTGGTGTATTCATAGATGTTGGGTCTCTGTCAGTTGTTACTGAGACTGAGTGAAGTCATCTCCTGTTATGGTACAGATTCCATACAACACACACACACACACACACACACACTCGGTGTTCTGCTGTTTCCATGGTAACAGTACACAGTAAACGCTGGGTTGTGTAGGACTTGAATTAATCATGTATCAGCGGTTGTAAGTGATCAAACAGACTCTTTATCTTTAATTGGTGATGGTCGACACTTTGACCACGAGAGTATCAGACTTATCAGCCGACACAGGAGCTTTTTGTCCTGTAAGGCCACCATCCCTTCACTGACAGCAGGGGTGAGTAAGGGAGAATCAGAATATTCCCCAAAACTCTCAGACTGTCCCTTTAAATGAGAGAGTGAGTTAAGTTCTCTCTCTCTCTCTCTCTGTCTCTCTCTCTTTGTCTTATATAATATTCAGACGTGAAACTGACCCTGAGGACTGTGACTCTGTTTCTTATTCAGTGTTGAGCTGAAGGACACTCAGCAGGATTCATGTTGGAGGATTTGAACCTCGCTCTGATCTCTCTTTACTCTTAATCTCTTCTTCACTTTAACAAACTATTTTTAGAGTGTTTATGAGTCGATTTGTCCCGACACCCATCCACAGCTTCTCCTGTTTCTGAAGCTGAGTCCAGCAGGCAAATACCAGGAAATAGACCCGTCCCTGTTTGGACCACACTCACACACACAGAAATATTGATCCTTGATGCAGACGCTTGTTATTGCTGATTTTTTATTATTATGAAGTAAATAATCGATCAGTTTTGACAGATTTCCTCCTGAAAGTCTCGGACCGATAAAAGCTCAGAACTGTCCTGGTCCTGATGGTCCAGACCTGCTGTTACAGACCAGTATTCAAAACTAGATTCAACTTTTAACATATAAAAGGGTAAAAGAAGTAAAAAACCTCTAAGGTGGGAGTTAAGAGAAAGACTAAGAACAGAGAAAATTAATAAGATTACATTAAAGAAACATTAAGAACTTTGATTAAAATGAACATTTGCGATAAAAGAAATATGAAAAGTCTGTTAGAGAAAAGGTCCGTTGGAATAAAAGGACCCAGTCAGACGTGACCTTGGCCTTTCTAAGCGGTTTGTATTACAGTGAATGTGGATCTGGATATAATCCAGCTGCTGGGCTGTCAAACTAGATTTAGTTTTATCTCTGAGATCCTCCAGCAGACCCCAGACCGTCCTGATGACTCTGCAGATTTTTAATAAAGTCTTTTAAACATGAACCTTAAAAAAGACGCTCAGGCTCCGCCCCCAAACTCCTACAGGTGTGGTACAGATATCCTGACAGGTATCCTGAACTTCTTTTTTTCACAATTTATTCATGAATTTTTTTTCATAAACAGTTTAAAACTTCAATAACAACAATAGAGCATTCATACCCACCCCCTCCCTGAACAAACTCCATCAGCCAACTCTTACCTACATCCCTAATAATAATAATATAATAATAATAATAATAATAATAATAATAATAATAATAATAATAATAATAATATATAAAAAACATAAACGTAAATAAATAAAATGATAAAATAATCATTTATAATAATAATAACAATAATAATAATAATATAATAATAATAATAATAATAATAATAATAATAATAATAATAACAATAATAATCATAATCATAATAATTTATAAAAGAAAATATAAATGTAAATAAATAAAAATGATAAAATAAATCATTAATAATAATAAAAACAATAATAAAATTATTACAGCAAAATAAATGCAGCAAAGGTGGAGACATTGACAATAGAAAAGCACAGCTACTCCTGCAGATGTTCTCCAACCAACGACCTCCACCGCACCACTGACAGTACTCTGATCTAGTTATCTGTGAGAAGTTATTCAGATATACTTTAAAGTCATTCCAGCATTTGTCAAAAACATGGAGTTTCTTTTTCATATTGAGCATCAGTTTTTCAGAGGACATGTATGATGAAACTTCCTTAAACCACATTGAGGCAGTAGGTGGGTTTTAGCCTAATAAAACGTGTTTTCCTCATCTTATCAGTTTGTAGGACAGACAGATCACCGAGTAAAATCAATCTTGGTGAGTGAGGAATCTCAGTCTCTGTGATGTCCTTTAATACATCCAGGATCTGATCCAAAACTGTTTCAAATCTGTCCCAAAACATTTGGATAAGACTTCTTGTTGAAACCTTACACCTCAGACAAAGTTCAGAGATAGTCCTGGTGTGAGATAGACTCTATGAATAAGATGAACCTGCAGACGCCGATGACCACTATTATAGGAGAAGTTACTACACAGCACTGTCAAACCACAGTCTTTAAAGGTGGAACAGAGATCTTGTTCCCATCCAGCCCTAGATTTCAGAGTCTGATTTTCCAGAAGGTCCAGTATTCTGCTGTATGTCAGGGACACCGAACCCTTTGGATTATCAGTTAAAACAGATTCTAGAGGGGTTGGGTGAACACACTGTGAACTTCTAATAAATCTGGAGACCCCGGTTTGTGTCTTCTGGTTTTGAGGTCGGGACAGTTTGTCCTGCAGGCCGTCCGTCTCTTTAATGACTGGGTTGGGTTTACTGGGTGAACCTCCCAGTTATGTTTCCACCTGCTAAAAATAAAACCAGCAGCAGCGGAGGAGGCGGCGTCCTGCCATGCGGGTCGTCCTCTCAGGATTGGTGTTACCCCTGCAGCAGGACTCAGATCCCGACCCTGTTTTGACAGAAAGATCGGACCTCTCAGACGCTCTCCTCACTCATAACTTCGGTCTGAGCGTGCTCAGTTGGAAGCTCTCCAAAGAGGACGCCTGCAGACCCGACTTTAGGTTCGAGTATTTCCTAAAACCTTCAAAGACGACGAGGAGATCCAGTTTTTTTCTACTTGGCATAATGCTGTCCGGTTCTGGATTCTGACAGGACCCTGCTCCCATCAGAACTGGTCCCGATCTTGACTTTGCCACATACTGAGCTGGAGGATCTGGCAGCTCACCCGTACCACTGGTCCCCTCAGACCAGAACCTTGGACCGGTACTCCTACCATCAACAGTACCCTCACCATGTGAACTGGGACTGGAGCTCCTCCTTTGAGACGGTTCTCTTACGGACTTTGTGCCGAACGTTCTCCTGAGACCCAGAACCGGTCTGGGTTTTATGTCGATAAGTTTGTTTGTTTTGGGTTCTGGACTCAAAGGGAGGAGGACCATGTAAGAACTGTCCCCCCACAGTCATCTCTGTTTCCATCGGTCTTCACTGAATCCCAGAGGAGGTTTTCGGTCTCTGAACCGACGTCTCGGTGAAGCTGAGATCAGGCACAGGAGTTTTTTCTGCGATTTGAGTCCGAGGACACCGACCCGGTTTGGACATGAGAGAGCTGCTTTCTGTCCCAGCGATCCGGCAGCAGAGGGAGCGGATCACCAGCCTCCCTGCTCCTCTCTCCTCCTCCTCCTCCTCCTCCTCCCCCTTCCCCATCACCTCCTTCTCCATCCAAACCTCCAAGAAGTTCCCGTTCTTCCACGTGGTCAAATGCTGCAAGTACGGGTCCGGTTCAACCTTCAGAAAGTTAGTCTGGATCAGAGCGTTCTGCTGGTCCGTCTCCAGGTCATCCTTCTTTATCTCCAGTGTTCAGTGAATCCATCTCTGTTTGGTTCCTCAGGTACGAGGCCGAGAACGCCTTCTTCTCCAGTCTGAAGCTGACGGACTTCAACATCATCGACACACTGGGAGTCGGAGGATTCGGACGTGTGGAGCTGGTAGGACGAGTTTTTACTTTAACACTGAGGAGGAGGAGGAGATCAGGGTTCAGGATTTACAGCTGGGTTAAAAAAAAGAGGATTGGTTCCCTCTGTAGACCAGGACCAGTTTCAGAGAAGGTTCTGAGGAGTTTGAGATGCTGAAGGTTAACATCAGGTTTTTAAGGGTCAAACCCACCGTAACACCGAGTTAGACCCCCCCCTCCAGAGATGAATGTTGCCGACCGCTTTCTTCTCTAGTTATACCAACAAGCAGAGAGACTAAACACAACTCACCTACTCTCTTCCAGCAGACGCTTGTTTGTAGAGAGACCTCAGGCCAGTCCATTACAGACTACAGCGGGGTGCCGCAGCTCAAGGAAGAACATTTATGATCATTTCTTCATGGAAATACAATCAGACCGAGACGCTAAGACAGAAGAACTACCGCGTCTGTAAAATGATTAATATGGTGATTATTACTTGAAATGATCATAAATGTTCTTCCTTGAGCTGCAGCACCCCGCAACATTCATCTCTTGACGGGGGGGGGTCTAACTCGGTGTAACGGTGTGTTTGACCCTAACTTAATTTTACGCCGGAGTATCCCTTTAAGACTGTGCCGAGGTCAGACTGTTACGGCGGTCGCTGGATCCTAAATCTGTGCTCTGACCTCACCGACAGATCTGGACCAGACCCACATTCAGGTCTAACGGCACTCACTAAAGTACAGTTCTCTGGTTCCTGTCCATGACTCTGAGACTCAACATGAGAAAACTGGACTGAGCCGGTCTCATGGTTCGGTCCAGTTCTCTGATGTTTGCTGGGCGTCCAGAATCTGACTGAAGGTGAACTCCAGATCTTACTGGAGGAACCGGATCTTTGAAAAATTCAGTTTTGTGTTTAAGAAACTTGATTTGGTCCCAGGTGTGTGTGTGTGTGTGTGTGTGTGTGTGTGTGTGCGTGTGTGTGTGTGTGTGTGTGTGTGTGTGTGCGCTCAGCTATTTGCAGTAACTTTCCAGTAAAGTATCGGTGCTGGTAACTGGAGACCAGTCCTCATGTGATTCTGGGCTCTCTCTGATATCTGCAGAGAAACAGTTCGAGGTCAAACTCTAATCTGTCTCTCTGATCGTCCTTTTTCACGTCCTCGTCTTCGTCGTCTTATTAAACGGCGGCGCCTTGATGAGTTTCTTGGTTTTAATAATCGTCTCAGGTCATCTGAGCTCCTCCACAAACAGATGATTGTGGTTTTATTGCGTTTCTTTGATTAAATTTATCCCAGCTGAGAGGAGAGAGGACTGAGGTGGGGGAAAGCAGAGGGGGGTACTAACGGGTGGTGCACTGCAGCCTCAGGTGTCGAGTTTCTTTGCCGCAGGGGGCGGAGCTTGAGGGTGCTGGAGGTTAGAGGGGAAGCCCTCCATGGGTTTGCCCAAAAACAGGAAGGAATCCCCGCTCAGGGTCTCCCATCATGCCTTGGGAGATATTTTTAGTGGATACGTCAGAGTGTAACTGTGCTCTGAGGAAAACAGTGACCTCTGACCTCCAGACTGCCGGTCTGACCCTGAGCAGAACCCCGGTTTTCCACTCGACACAGGACTGCTCTTATTTTTGTCCCACAGCGTGTGCAGTGAGTGTGGTAACCAGTCTGGAGTGTGTTGGATGTCTGCAGTCAGATCAGTGTGGGGGGGTCGGGGTCCGCTCTGCAAAAACAACATGAGGGACTCTGAGTCCACTCCAGAGTCCTGTCTGTTTTTAACGCCCTGAAGACCAGGACCATCCAGTCTTGGTTTTGGTTCTGGTCCCCCTTAATTACTGAGATTTATCCAGATCCTCATATATAAGAAATTTCCACAATTATTATTATTATTATTATTATTATTATTATTATTATTATTATCATTATTATTATTATTACTATTATTGTTATTATTATTATTATTATTATTATTATTATTATTATTATTATTATTATTATTATTATTATTATTACCATTATTCATATTATTATTGTTTTTATCATTATTTTTTATCAATTTTTATCTTAATTATTATTATTATTATTATTAGTATTATTATTATTAGTATTATTATTATTATTACCATTATTCATATTATTATTGTTTTTATCATTATTTTTTATCCATTTTTATCTAAATTATTATTATTATTATTATTATTATTATTATTATTATTGTTTTTATCATTATTTTTTATCAATTTTTATCTAAATTATTATTATTATTATTATTATCTTCATCATTATAAAATTTTTTAATATTATTAGTATTATCACTAGTAGTAGCAGTAGTATTTTTATCATTATTATTATTATTAATATTATCATTATTTAAGGTTTTTTGAAAAGTGTCCGATCATTCACTATGAGTTGGACTCTGAGCCTCTGATCGGATCGGTCTTGTCTGTTAGAAACATGAAGAATATTCTGGATCTGCGTTTAGGTGCAGCTAAAGAGCGAGGAGGCGAAGACGTTCGCCATGAAGATCCTGAAGAAGCGTCACATCGTCGATACGAGACAACAGGAACACATCCGCTCAGAGAAACACATCATGACTGAGGCTCACTCCGACTTCATCGTCAGGTCAGTGAGACGATCACAGATCACGGCTCTGTTGTTGTAGATGATGTGGATCATGTTGGTAATGAGTTGGCTGATGTGTTCAGGTTGTATCGGACGTTTAAAGACAGTAAGTACCTGTACATGCTGATGGAGTCCTGTCTGGGAGGAGAGCTGTGGACCATACTGAGAGACAGGTACACATCCACACCTCTTTAAATCATTTTTAAAGGTTTTAGTCATCGTTCTTCTTTTAGATCAGACTTTACCCTGCTGAGATAAGAGATCAGGGTTTCTGTGACGTTATTTTAATAAAGATACTCAGACTCTAAGATCCCGTCAGTATCTGACTGTTTCTGAAACGTTTCAGGGGTTCATTTGAAGATTCCACCACCAGGTTTTACACAGCCTGTGTGGTCGAGGCCTTCGCCTACCTGCACGCCAAAGGCATCATTTACAGAGACCTGAAACCTGAGAACCTCATCCTGGACAGCCGGGGATACGCCAAGCTGGTAACTGAATATTTCCACATACTTTTATATTCAAATTCACGATGCTGCTGAACTGACGATGGATCATAATTCCATTCAGAGTGAACGTTCAGACATTTGTACGATTGTCTTTCTCAGGTGGACTTTGGTTTCGCCAAGAAGATCGGCGTCTGCAAGAAGACGTGGACTTTCTGTGGTACGCCAGAGTACGTCGCTCCAGAGATCATCCTAAACAAAGGTCATGACGTCTCTGCTGATTACTGGTCTCTAGGGATCCTGATGTACGAGCTGCTGACGGGCAGGTGAGGACTCGAGTTGAGGACGGACTGCAGGATCATGTCGGGTCATCCTGACGTTTGTTACTGAACTGTCTTTGTGTCCACAGTCCGCCATTTTCAGGTCCAGATCCAATGAAAACCTACAACGTCATCCTGAGAGGCATCGACATGATCGAGTTTCCAAAGAAGATCACCAAGAACGCTGCTAATCTTATCAAGAAGCTCTGCAGGTAGGGGGCGCTCTGGTCCTTAGCTACTGAGTTCAACTCCTGAACCACAACCTAATTAACAAAAACCTGTTCCCATGTTCAGAGATAACCCGTCAGAGAGACTCGGAAACCTGAAGAACGGCGTCAAAGACATCCAGAAACACAAGTGAGTGACGTGAGAGGCAGGAGCTGGCTCCTGATTGGTTGATTCAGACGAGTATCAGTTCTCAGAGTTTGTTAAACGTAACAAAACTGATCTGTCTCTTTTCAGATGGTTTGAAGGATTTAACTGGGAGGGTTTGAGAAAAGGAACTCTGACTCCGCCCATCACACCTGACGTAAGTATTAGACCAGTCCTGTGGCCAGAAATACTTCGTAAAAACCGCGGTGCTCGTCATCCATAACGTGTTCTTGTGTCGGAATGCCAAGAAAACATTTGGAATAAACTGTGTGGTTGAATGAGTTATTATTCCAGGTTCTTTTTTTTCGACCATGTGGAATATTTTCCAGCGTTGACTCGGCGTTGAGCTCGTCCTAAAAGAGTTCGGCTCAGTCAGCTGTTGAAGGTGTTTGACTCGGTTTCCCTCTGTCCAGGTTTCCTCTCCGACCGACACGAGTAACTTTGACAGTTTCCCTGAAGACACAGACGAGCCGCCGCCAGACGACAACTCTGGATGGGACTTTGACTTCTAGACCAGTTCTCATCCAAACCTAGAAGGTCCCACCCCACAGTGGACCGACTCACCGGGCTGAACAAAGAGGATCTTCATGTGATCCTTGGAGGACGTTTACTGAAACTTTACCTGAGGTGTTTCCGAGCATGGTGGATGATGTGGGGATCAGACCCCTGTTGCTCTGTAGCCGGTTTTGGCCCAGAGAGATTTGAGTCCTGACCCAGTAGAGGGAGCCCTGCTCTTGATCAAACCGATCTCGTCTGTGGTTCCCCATGACTGGAGCCAGCTTGATCTGCTTGAGAGCTTAGAAATGAAGTGGTTACCAGGACAAGACAGCTTACCTGTCCGCATCAACAGTTCAGCCGCAGGTGTAAAACCAGGGCTGCCCGCCTGTTCCGGGGGGTACCGCCGTTTTCTTGACTCGTACCACCTGGAATGGCCTCTGACGTCAGACATCCTGTGCATGGCTGAATCTGAACTTGTTTTATTCCCTTTCTGCTGCTGCTGTGATCCACCATTAGAGCCACAACAGCCTGAGGCGAGCGGATCTGAAAGGGTCAAGGGTCACGGTATCACAAAGCTGTATCTGCACCAAAAGTTCAGCAGATGTTTGATCCTCTTCGTAGGTTTTCAAGGTCTCTCTTCAAGATTCAGTGCTGCGAGCAGTCCCCTTTCCTTCAGAATGTACTTTACCACGGAGCAGGAACCTTTGGGGGTTCAATCCCAGAACAACCAAGTATTTTCTGAAGTTCCTGGACAAAGTGCCTGGGGGGGAAACTTGGCCAAAGTTCTTCCCTCTGAAAGTGGATTTATAAATCGTACAAGTGGGGCTCAGAACTTTGAAGTGTTCCCATCGCTGTGATGCTAACGCGGTTCATACTTTTCAGCATGTTTGTTTACAAAGTCGAGGCAGGTACTTTTCCAGTTGAAATAAGACTGACAGAGTTCATGTTTCTAAATGCTGAAAAAGGCCTTACATGGTCCCTGAAACCATTGCCTAAAGCCGAAAACATCCAGGATCCGTATTGAGCTTGTTGATGTCAAACAGGATCAGCGTATTTGGAGCGTGCGAATGATCGTCTCTGTGTGGACTGACGTGCATTGGAAACGTAGAGCAGCAAAAATAGACTCGCCGCGTATCTTTAGCAGAGCTGCTCTCGATACGATGCTGCGACGCTGCTGATACACGCTCAATATACATCCTGTATGTTTTAGCCTTAACAGAATCAGACACCAGAGCCCTGTTTTTTTCTGCAGCCAATCAGAAGCCTCTCTTTCTGTCAAGTGCCCTTGGTCACTGTTTGGTTTTTTGACCTTCTCCCCTCAGAGGGACGTCTTACATCTTAACACCCACGGCTTGTCCGGTGGCATTTGCTGTTTATGTCCAATGGTCTTAAGGTGGCGAGAAAAACCTGGAGCTTTTCCAGCTTCTGAGTCCAGGTTCGGTTGTTGGAGTCTGGGCTGGAGGAGATGAGGTATCCAGAAGTAGAATCCCTGATATGAGTAGCAAACTAAAATCATCGTAGAAATCTCGAGGTCACCATGATGCCTTCACTTGTCACTGCCCCTCTGGGAAACTTCATATCCAAGGACTGAAGGACAGAAAGGTTTAGTTTGTAGCAGCTGTGGTCCTCCTCTCTGGATGACGAAGGGTTAAACCAACATTTCTACTTTCAAACTTTCTTCTCTATCTTTCCTTTTGTTGTGAATCTTTGGATCAAAGCATGAGAAAAACTATTTTGTACATATTTCCAAGACTTCCCACACTCTTCAGCACACACCCACGAGCGCTCCATTTTCAGACACATGCTCGACCCTGTTAGATTTTCTGAACACAGTTATTTTCTTGTCTTGTTTTTTTTTCACTGATTGAGTTTAAAGGATTGTTCTTATTTTTTTTACGGCTCCTGATTAACGTTGTGTTTTAAAACCCAAACTTCTGACAAACAGTCCACATCTCTGAGACCTTGTCTGCACAAAACGGAGCGACATGTTTGGGACTTGGTACAAAGTTTTGGTGAGATTTTCAGAGTAGCAGCCACTGAGAGCTGGCAGACTTTTAGCCAAACTTGGGCCAGATTTGAAACTCTCTGTTTCATCCACAATTTCTAAATTAACACTTTGGTCTTTGTCAAATGTCTGTCCGCCATTTTTTCTGTACTACATCTGAGGCAGAGTGCAAAGAATGATGGGAACGCTTGGAAAGATGGTTTCTGTAGTTTTCCTTTTTTCCTCTGCTCTGAAACAACGCGGCTGAAACAAAGCCTTTTGTTTCATACCTCCACAGGTAAACCATGATATCAAGACACTTTTGCAGTCACTACTGGACTATGAGGTGTTATTTTCAAAAGTTTCTGTTTCCATGAAAATGAACGGCCAAAATGTGACGATGTTTCACAGTTTTTTACTGAAGTAGACCTGGTCTGGGTTTGTCTTTGTTTGGAGTTCAGCTCCTTTAAAGGTGGTGTAGTCAGGATCTGAGTTAGTTCCAGTTTTTAGGAGAAATCTACACAGATTTCTACAGAACGCGCTACAACACGCTACAGCAGGTCCGTTTGACAAGAAACACTTCTGTTACAGACACTTGTCTTACTTTGTTAAAGCGGTTTACCTGTCCAGCAGAAAGGTTACAGGGTCACCAAGATCCCCAAGCGTCCCCCATGGTTTATGTTGACCCGGCTTTTAAGCTCTTGTCCGGTCTACCTCCGTTTTAAGCGCCCGTTATTCCTCCAGAGTCTCCGGTATTTACTTTGTTTTCTTGCTTGTGTCAGCAGTCGTGGCCAAAGGAGGATTCAGACAATTTTCCGAACTTTCTGGTTGGTTTCTACTGTCCGATATTGTAGCACGCTAACTTTGTTTGGGCTCCTGAACGACACGGGGGAGCAGCGTCTGCCTCAACTATTGACTGATATTAAAAGATTTTTTGTAAATACACAAAAAAAGATGCTTCTTTAGCAGATTCCTGACTACTCCACCTTTAAGACTGTTCACTGTAAACATGGAGGAGGTTACTACGCTGTTTACGACAACCGGTGCAAAAAAGTAACAGATCAAGTACATTTGCATTTTCAACCACACTGAAGAGAAAAATACTCCTCCAGACTCCAAAAATATCCCTGCTCTCACATTCATACAGGAACACAGAGTGGACACTCAGAGATGTGGACCTGAAAAAGCACATGCAGTCGAATCTTCCGGATAAAAAGGTTTTTCGTTGAAACGTGATGAATGTTTGTTTTGTATTTCTATTTCGTGGCCTTTTGTAAAAGCAGCTGATGGTCGTCGTATGGTACGAAGACTTTGTTAAAGTGCTCTGAATATATTGTGATATTTTTGTAAACTGACCGGCGATGTGACTTCTGTGAGCTCTGCATGAAAATACTGAAAATGACGTGTTCAGTTTTCATTTAGTGAAGTTAAAAAAATCACAAACAGGCTAAAGATGAAAAATCTGGTTTCATTTCAGAGAAAAGTAAAAATATGCCTGAGTGATTTTAGTGTTCACCTGTAGACAGTAAAAACTACAAGAATAAGGGAGTTTTTAAAAAAGAGTTTGGACCAGACGGAGGATTATTTATGTTCATACTGATGATATTTTGTGGTTATGAGTTTGTGTGATGAAGCTTGAGTGTCGCTGGTTTATCTGTATATACGAGGAATATTAAAATGTTTCTGCTCTTTGTGGATTTTAATATTATTATTATGATTATTTTCATCATTCTAAATATTATCACCGTGGTTTTCATGGTAGCTAATGAATCGTTCTGTTTTTTTCTCTGTCAGTTCAAAAAAGCTTTATGGGCATGACTGTTACAAAAAACAAAATCATTTTGCCAAAGCTGGTTGATCTGCTCGAAAATTAAAAGTTGTGAAAAAACTCAGTTTGGTTTCTTTTTGCATATTGACGAGTTTGTTTGAAGGTGGCGATTTCCCTGTAACTTTCTCCATAACACAAAGACACTCCGTTAAAATAACTAGATAATAAGTTAAAGAAATGTTCGATAAAAGCTTCATTATAGCACAGGAAGTAATGAATGCATCATATTTTTAATGAACTTGTCTCTTTCAGAGCAACTTCGACATCAAACTGTCCGGTCGAACTGCAACAGTCATTTCAGGAAAATGTGCAGCAGGATTTTCATGAATTTTTATCACTTTTCAGCAGCCTAGCTCTTTTATTTACTCTTTTAAAAACGTTTATATATGTTCATGAAATCAAACAAGTTTTTAATTACTGATTTTACTGAGCTAGTGGCTTTTATTTTGGAAAGATATCCGGATTCCCTCATCAATTATAAACACTTTCCCATTGACTTGATCACAAAAACATGTTTACCTGGTTCATCGGTGTCAATCCCTAAACGGCAGATGTTTCTAGAGGTTATTATGTTGTTAAATAAACATTAAATAAACCGACTAACTCACTCACTCGAAAGGCAATTGGACATGAAACGATCGACTTTTACTCTGAAGGGTCTTTACCGGAAACTACGTTATTGTTCCCGCTTCTTTGACTGAGGAGCTCGCGGGCAGCGGAGTCGTATTCTGAGTTACTGCAGATCCTCCTTAGTAAAACAGCTAAATTTAAAAAATGGTCTTTATCCATGTCCAAATCTAAGGCGAAGATAAAATCTATCGGCGTCATCACTTGTTTTACGACCTTCCCAAAAATTCGGTAATCATTATATTTCACAGATACCAGTTTATTGAGAATTATTTGTCTTTTTCTTTGCGGCCACTGCTGGGATTTTCACACATGGAATTCTCACAGAAATAAAGAGCACAGCCTTCACAATCACCACTATCACATGAAAGTACTTTCTTTGGGTTTTAGTGCTCGTTTCAGGGTCTTTCTCTGCATGTTTTTTGTCATTAACTGTACTTTTTAACCTCATATTTCTTATTCAGTTCGGTTACATCTAAAAAGACTCAAAATCCCCCTGCTGCAGTACCGCTCTCCGCCTGAGCCACATTCACGTGTAGCGGGGGCGCTGTTTTACCATCACGAATAAGTGACCGAAATAGATGAGATTTAATATCAATACAGTTATTAAGAGAGAGAACCCTTTACGTTTGTTCGTATCCACTTTTCACCAGGGGCGATGCCAGACTTCTCTGTGTTGTTCCCTCTTTAATAAGAGTTACAGTTTTAAATACAACTGCACTCTTGCTTTTTTGTTCAATATTCATATTAAAAAAGTTTATCATATCCTGGGGGGGGGAACAATTAACATTAACTACCATTTAAACATATTATTGCAGTAGCTTTTACATGTATATTTCGACATTTTAATTTTGCTCCTGGTTAATTGAAACAAATGTGTGTGGTATTCATTGTGAACGTGAATATCGTTATCTATTGTAGGAAGTGAATCCCTCCTGTAGTTCCTCAGACTGACCGCCAGGTGTCAGCATGTGACCGCTTTGTACAGGTGAGTGCAGTTTATCCTGTTTTCTTTGACTTAATGTCAGGTCGTGTCATTGAAACCAGTTTAGAACAAAAACAAACATTTTTAACATGCACCTTCACTTTAGTTCTCAGTCTTTTTAAATATTTCAAATCCTTTTAAATTAGAATAAACTCTTTTTTCCGATCGGCTCTGGATGGAGTCACTTTAATCTCTTACCTCTCTTATCACTGTACTCTCTTTATATGTGCTGTTTCTTTGTCATACCTGAGGGTACAAATTAAGTGAACTTTGACCTTTGGGAGTTGATCCAAAACATACGAGCGTTTGTCCCAAACATGAAGTTCATGGATCTGGAGATTTTCTAAACGTCTTCTCTCCTCCTCCTCTCTCCTCCTTCTCCTCTCTCCTCTCCTCTCCTCTCCTCTCTCCTCCTCCTGCTCCTCTCCTCCTTCTCCTCCTCCTCTCCCTCTCTCCTCTCCTCTCTCCTCCTCTCCCTCTCTCCTCTACTCCCCTCTCCTCCTCTCCTCTCTCCTCTCCTCCTTCCCCTCTCTCCTCCTCCTCTCTTCTCCTCTCCTCTCTCCTCCTCCTGCGCCTCTCCTCCTTCTCCTCCTCCTCTCCCTCTCTCCTCTCCTCCTCTCCTCCTCTCCTCCTCCTCCTCCTCTCTTCTCTCTCCTCTCCTCTCCTCTCATCTCCTCTCTCCTCTCCTCTCCTCTCCTCTGTGGTTGGTGTGTGTTGGGGTCTCGTCAAAGGGAAGTGTTGACCATATTTGGCTTCATGGGGGCGTGTCTGTCTGTAAATGAGCTGTAAGTTTATTTTTCGTGTTTTTCATGTTTGTTTTCATTTTTTTGCTCGTTAACACGCTGACCTAAAAACGCCGTCACATGACATCCCAGCGGCTGTTTTACTGACCTGAAGGTGAATTAAAGGAGGACACCGGGAGTCAAAGGGTTAAAACTCCTCCTCCTCCTCCTCCTCCTTCTCCTCACTTTTTTATGAATGAGATCTAAACACACACACACACACACAACACACACACACACACACACGGGGTGATGTCAGCGGCGCGCCCATCCCCCACTGATGCGGGAAAAACCTCACGATGAAAAAGAGAGCGAGGCGTCCTCATGTTCTCCATAAATATCTCTCTCCTCCTCCTCCCCAGTCACTCCCTCCTCCCCCCTCCCTCCTCTCCCTCACGAGCCTGAGGATGAGTAATCCAGGGTGGGGGGGCAGGAGAAGAATGGGAGAGAGAGAGAGAGAAAGGGGGAGTGGGAGAGGGAGGATACCGACGCAGCATCAGCATCATCATCAGCATCATCATCGTCAGCGAACGTGCCGCCGAGTGAGACGATGAAAATTCAAAACCCTGCAGCTCGTCCATCTCTGCTGCTGCTGCTGGGGCCGGCTAATTCCTGGACTCTAACATGATGGAACAGAAAGAGAGGGATGATATCACTGGACCTGACTAATCACTGGATTAAGGAGTGAAAAGGCTAAAAGCAGAGGAAGCGAGCGGAGCGGTACATTCCTGTTACCTTCACCTGCATGTGTGGCGTCACTGACTAATCTCTGGGACAGCCGGACAGACAGACAGACAGAGGCACCCATGCTTATGGCACTGAGAGGTACCTGACTAATTCACGGTTAGGAGGTGAAGTGACTCATCGCAGGACTTGTGGGGTCTGACCGCCTCCTCTTCGGCGTCCATCCTTGTGAGGAAACCTGTGCCACTCCTCCTCCACATGTGCTGCTCGGATCTGGGTACTAACTGGAACCGCTGATCCATCAGCTCACAGATACTGGACTGACTCCTGAACAACAAGTCCACATCCAGCCCTCTCTCCTGGGACCAGGCTAATCTCTGGATCAGCAGGTCTGGCATGTTCTGCTTCTGCCTGCAGAGTTCCTTGCTGAAGCTCCAGGCGCTGGAGGTGGAGGGGGGTCCCTCTCTGGGTCCGTCCCCTGAGGATAGTCCCCCTGCCCTGGGCAGCAAGGAGCAGAAGAGTCCCTGTGGACCGGTGGAGCTGGGGGGGAAGGAGGGGAAGACGCTGGCGCTGTGCCACGGCGTTCCTGCTGACGAGAACAGTCCACCAGGTACGAACGACACCTGTGTGTGTGTGTGTGTGTGTGTGTGTGTGTGTGTGTGTGTGTGTGTGTGTGTGTGTGTGTGTGTGTTCCACCATCACGATACTTAAGATGACGCCTCAAACTGACAGATTCCTGACGGATCAGACGCAGAGGGTCGAGTCCTCCTCCTGCAGGACCAGGACTTTGTTGGTAAAAACTTGGACGTCGTGTTCCCTCTGAAGACCGACTGAACGACTCGTCGTTTTTTTTATCAGCAGGAATTTAAACAGAAATATTTCATCTTTACACTTCAGAGTTACAGTTAGAAACTCAAACATGATTTTATTCACAACTAAAAAAAACAAAAACAATTTTATGTTCGAGTCAAAAGGGGGTTAATCAGGAATCTGTTAAAGAAGCATCTTTGTTTGTGTATTTACAGAAAATCTTCTAATATCAGTCAATAGTTATTAGTTATTGATGACATTTAGTAATATATCGATATCTCTGTGTTCTCTTATGTCTGTGTCGTCAACATTTGAACATTTTTGAGCGGTCCGCTCTTTCTGACTGTAAACAAAGCCGTTCTCCACCTCCTCTAACCTGATTGGTTGTGAGGCAGACGCTGCTCCCCCGTGTCGTTCAGGAGCCCAAACAAAGTTAGCGTGCTACAATATCGGACAGTAGAAACCAACCAGAAAGTTCGGAAAATTGTCTGAATCCTCCTTTGGCCACGACTGCCGACACAAGCAAGAAAACAAAGTAAATACCGGAGACTCTGGAGGAATAACGGGCGCTTAAAACGGAGGTAGACCGGACAAGAGCTAAAAAGCCGGGTCAACATAAACGATGGGGGACGCTTGGGGATCTTGGTGACCCTGTAACCTTTCTGCTGGACAGGTAAACCGCTTTAACAAAGTAAGACAAGTGTCTGTAACAGAAGAGTTTCTTGTCAAACGGACCTGCTGTAGCGTGTTGTAGCGCCATCGCTAAACTGTCCTCCCTCGGGTCCTGGACTATGTCACTTTATCCTCGTTGTAGAAGTCCTGCAAACATTGTGTTTGCTGGTAGTCTGTTGGCATCTACAGTAGCACCAATGCTTTTGACTTTCACCTTGACTGGGCCCCATTTGTAATGATCTGAAGTATTTATCTGCATTATATCTGAATTTAATTGGAACGATACGAGCGAGCAGGAGCGTCTGTTTGTGGGCGGGGCTTAAGAGAGGGAGGGGAGGAGCTGAGGGGAAAACTGGTTTGGAGGGGTTGAGTTTACATTCAAGATTTCTCCTAAAAACTGGAACTAACTCAGATCCTCACACGTCTCCTCAGACCGTCTTCTCTAACGAACTTTATTCTGGATCAGTTTTTGTCGTGGATCAAATAAACCGTCTCTGTAGAAAAAGGACCGGGTCTTGGACTCTGATCTCCTCCGGCCCCCTTTGGTTTTTATTCTGGACCCTCAAACAGTCAGTAGAATCCTCCCCACGGGTCTCAGACTGCTGTGGGGGGTCTGTGTGGGTCCTGGTTTAAGCCGAGATGATGAGTCCCCAGACCTCGGCCTTAAAGGGGTCTAACACTAAACTGGAGGTCGAGGAGGATCCTGTCTGCTGGTTTTCATGTGTCAGAGAGCAGAACCACAGACCCGGTCCGTCTGTCCCTCTAACGAGTCCTTCAGTCTCTCTGTGACTCTGCTGGTTCCGCTCAGATCCACCAGCCGCGCTCTGACTCTGTGCTGCTATTTATAGACCAGAATCAAACACTGCAGCACGTGAGGCACGCTTACCGACCGCCGCCGCCGTCGCCATCGCTGCTCCTGCCACACATGTCTGACGTGTCTGTTGTTGTTTCTCTCCGTGAATCAGTTCCTGATGAGACCGAGGACCACATCAGACTGATCAGAACCTCCTCTCTGCTCGTTGTCAGTATTTAGAGATAGTGACAACAGTCTGATCAATAATCCCGTTTTCACCTGTCTTTGTGTCTGGACTGTAAACCTCGTTGCAGGTGTAGAAACGTCTGGAAACCCTCGATAGATCGACTAAAGGCTAAACTATTGATCACTTTTGATCCCGTAAAGATAGACGGTGAAGTTCCTGAGAAACTCTGAACTGTAGTCACGGTTTAGAGGTTCTGGAGGATTGAGAGGATCTGAATGGACCCTCTGGTGGTCCTGGTGAAGGACTCTGAGGTGGTTCTGGGGTAACAGGAGGTCCAGTTCTAATGTCTGTTTATGGTGCTGAACTCTCGGACCCGTGTCTCCCTGCAGAACTCCTGACCGTCATCACCAGACCTCCACAGTCCCCCCGACACCAGCCGCTGACCACCATCCACCCGGGCCAGAACCCCCTGACCCCTGATGGAGCGCTGCCGCCCAGCCCACACCAGTCCCCACACTCCCCTCAGAGGAGCAGCCCCGGGGTCGAGGGAGGAGGAGGAGGAGGAGGAGAAGGAGGCGGAGCTCTGCTTCAGCTGCTGGCGGGCGGTCCCAGCCCTCTGCCCTCCCCCCGCTGCTCCAGTCTGACCCACAGCCTGAGGTTCAACTCTGACCCCGACACGGCGCCATCGCCGCCCTGCAGCCAGCAGTACATGCTGTGAGTCTCACACACACACACACAGACACACACACACACACAGACACACACACACAGACACACACACACACACACACACAGACACACACACACACACACACACACACACACACACACAGACACACACACACACACACAGACACACACACAGACACACACACACAGACACACACACACACAGACACACACACACACACACAGACACACACACAGACACACACACAGACACACACACACAGACACACACACACACAGACACACACACACACACACACACACACACAGACACACACACACACACACACACACAGACACACACACACAGACAGACAGACACACACACACACACACACACAGACACACACAGACACACACACAGACACACACACAGACACACACACAGACACACAGACAGACACACAGACACAGACACACACACACACACAGACACACACACACACACACACACAGACAGACACACACACACACACACACACACACATAGACACACACACACAGACACACACACACAGACACACACACACACACACACACACACACACAGACACACACACAGACACACAGACACAGACACAGACACACACACACACACAGACACACACACAGACACACAAACACACACACAGACACACACACAGACACACACACACACACACACACACACAGACATACACACACACACACACACACACACACAGACAGACACACACACACACACACACACAGACACACACACACAGACACACAGACACACACACACACACACACACACAGACACACACACACACAGACACACACACACAGACACACACACAGACACACACACACACACACACACAGACACACACTGACAGTATCTTCTGACCTGCTGACCTCTCCGTCTGTCTCTGTCCTCACCTGTCCAGGTGTCGGGGTCGGGATCGGTCAGAGGCCTCAGAGGACGAGGGTCCGTCCTCCGTCCCCTTCCTCAGCCGACACATCCAGACCCTGAAGAAGAGGGTCCGCAGGTTCGAGGACCAGTTTGAGCAGGAGATGAACTACAAGGTAAACCCGGACCTGTCTGTGCAGGTCCTCCTTCACCCGGGTCAGGAAACTGGACTTGGACCCTCAGCCCCCCCCAATCTGATCTAATCTGACCTTTAGTAACCCCTGTCTGAACCCGGGTCACAGATTACACTGACCATGTCTGCTCGTGTTTTTCAGCCGTCCTACAACGATAAATACTCGAACCCGGAGATGGTCCGCATCATGAACGAACTGGCGAAGGCTCGTAAACAGCTGAAAGGTAAACGCCCTCTGAGGTCATGTGACCACTGACAAACACTGACAACAGTGACTGAAGCGCTGTCCTCACGTCTGTCCGCAGAGCTGAGGCTGAGACAGTCTGTGTTCGAGTCCAAGGAGCAGGACGGGCCAGACCACAGCGGCAGGTAACAGAACCACGTCACAGACACACACACAGACACAGACACACACTAACCAACACACACTGACCAACACACACACAGTAATTATGTCCGACTAAACTGTGACTGTAAACAAACTGAGTGTGAGTCTAACCTGCAGGTCCAGCTCCGGCCAGCAGGGGGCGTCGGAGCGCAAACCCACCCTGGAGGAGACGGTGGAGTCTCTGTTCAGACGTCTGAAAGAGAAGAGACAAGCTCTGGGTCTGCCCGACAACATGAAGGTGAGGACCAGGACCAGAACCAGAACCAGAACCAGTTCAGCTAATCCAGAGGACTGACTGAGAGCGCGTGTGTGTGTGTGTGTGTGTGTGTGTGTGTGTGTGTGTGTGTGTGTGTGTGTGTGTGTGTGTGTGTGTGTGTGTGTGTGTGAACAGGAGATGACTCAGGCTCAGATGGTGTTGGAGAAGATCACTCTGCAGAAGTGTCTGCTCTACTTTGAGAGTCTTCACGGCAGACCAGTGAGTCACAGCGCCCCCTAGTCTGCTCCGCTGTGTAAAAAGTAACACCCCTGCTCTCCCATTGGTCAGATCCATGTCCACAATAATCACGTCTCACCGTGTCTGTCTGTTGGTTTTTCAGGGAACCAAACAGGAGAGGAACCTGGTGAAACCTTTATACGACCGATACCAGCTGATCAAACGGTTACTGTGTGCCAGTCCGACCATCACAACCATAGTGAGAGACACACAAACAGACACACACTGACAAACACACTGACAAACACACACAAACAAACACACACTGACACACACACACACACACACAAACAGACAAACACACACAAACAGACACACACTGACACACACTGACAAACACACACTGACATACACACACTAACATACACACTGATAAACACACACAAACAAACACACACAAACAAACACACACTGACACACACACACAAACAGACACACTGACAAACACATTAACAAACACACACTGACAAACACACAAACAAACACACACTGACAAACACACAAACAAACACACACTGACAAACACACAAACAAACACACACTGACAAACACACAAACAAACACACACTGACAAACACACACTGACAAACACACAAACAAACACACACTGACAAACACACACTGACTAACACACACTGACATACACACACTGACAAACACACAAACAAACACACACTGACAAACACACACTGACAAACACACAAACAAACACACACTGACAAACACACACTGACTAACACACACTGACATACACACACTGACAAACACACACTGACAAACACACAAACAAACACACACTGACAAACACACACTGACAAACACACAAACAAACACACACTGACAAACACACACTGACAAACACACACTGACAAACACACACTGACAAACACACACTGACAAAGACCAGGACACACTTCCATGAACAGCCTTGATAGAGTATAAAAGTATAGATGTATCTAAGTATAGATGTATCTAAGTATAGATGTATCTATGTATAGATGTATCTAAGTATAGATGTATCTAAGTATAGATGTATGAATGTAAATTTGTATTTATATATATATATATATATTAATATAACATTAAATTCAGACCCAGGTTCGGCGCCGATGGTTGATGTTCCTGTTGTTCTTCTCTCAGGAGGAAGAGGACGATGGTTCTGACGAAGACTCAACCAGCTCCATGACAGTTTTAGAACCTCCTGTCCCGCCTCCTCGGAGAACCAGACCCGCTGCCGTAGAGGAGGAAAGCGACCGGGACAGTGACCCCGCCTTCGTGTCTCCAATAGTGGAGGTTAAAAGTGTCCATCAACAGCCGGCGCTGACCATGGCCAACCTCCATGAGGCCTCCAGGTGAGGGTCTTACCTGGGCCTCATGCTGAACCACTACGAGGACCCAGACCCGGTCTGATAACCCGCCTTCCTCTGTTCTGTCTGAACCAGGTCTCAGCTGCTGGTGTGTCTGCGTGAGACCAGAGCAGAGAAGAAGACGAGGAGGAAAGTTCTGAGAGAGTTTGAGGACGAGTTTTACCGGCAGACTGGAAGGTGAGAGCTTCAGGAGAGGTTCTAGAATGTTGATGAATGAAGATAAATAACACTGTTACATGTCAGGTTCTAAGATATCGAGTTCCAGAGTGTTGAGTTCTAGAATGTTGATGAATGACAATAGGTAACACTGTAACATGTCAGGTTCTAAGATGTTTAGTTCTTGAATTGTCGAGTTTTAGAATGTTGGGTTCTAGAATTTTAATTAATCAAGATAAATAACACTCTAGAATGTCGAGTTCTACAATGTTGATGAGTGACATTAGATAACACTGTAAAATGCCGGGTTCTAAGATGTCGAGTTCCAGAGCGTTGAGTTCTAGAATGTTGGGTTCTAGAATGTCAAGTTTTAGAATGTTGATGAATGACAATAAATAACATTCTAGAATGTAAGGATCTAGAATGACGATTCTAGAATGTTGGGTTCTAGAATGTTGAGTTCTAGATTGTCTGGTTCTAGAATGTAGAGTTCTAGAATGTCTAGTTCTACATTGTTGATGAATGACAATAAATGACACTCTGGAATCTAAGGTTCTAGAGTATCGAGTTCTAGAATGTCAGGTCCTAGATCTCTGGTTTCTAGAGTGTCTGATGTGTCTTAAAGGGACAGTAGCTGAAATGAAAGTTTTTTTCAAATCTCCAAAGTGATTAAAACAAACTGACTCGACCTCACAGAGTCATCTAGCCTTTCCTGTAGATATCTATGCGTTACACAGGATTTAATACAAACATGTCAAAGGAGTCCCCCGAGGATCCGCTCCAGATCGATTGTTTCTGTCTGACTTCAGTGATTTCGATCACATCAGTTCTTTCTTGTCGTTTTTTCTCAGGAAATAAAAAGTTTTTCTTGTTTTCTGACAGAATCTGCCAAAAAGAGGACCGGACCCCGATGAAGGACGAATACCAGGAATACAAACAGCTCAAAGCTAAGCTCCGCCTACTGGAGGTTCTCCTCAGCAAACAAGACGTCACCAAAACCATGTGAGAGGAAACATCAGCTCGTACTAACTCTGCGGTCGAGGCGGTTTGTCTGTTCAGGAGATATTCCGAAGGGAAAAGAGTCGATTTGTTTCTCATCAACATGAATCCATCTTTTCCGACCTCTGAAACCATCGTTTTCTGTTCGGTTTAGAGAACGCTGCGGCTCGCTGCTTTTAGCCGAGCATAAAGAGCGGAAACGGGGAACCAGCGAGTTTAGCTCCTGCTGTCGGGAGTTACTGAGCCAACTGAAGAAAAATGCTGAGTCAGCGCTGCCTTAATGTACTCGGATTTAAAATGTCAAAGTTCAAATGCTACCTTCACATGCTAAGTGTTATGCTAACATGCTAACGTAAGGTTAATGTTAAAGATATTAAAGGTTTCTGCAGTTAGTCTTTCTAATTAGCATAAATGAAAAAAGAACCATATTCAAGCTAATGTTAGCCTGTTAGCACTCCATATTTAGCATGTTAAGTTAGCATGTGTACAGTGAAACACGGCGTGTTGTGTCACAGGTTACCGAGGCGGTCGATGACGGAGGAGACGGTTTCGTTTATTTTTTAAATCTTTTCACTTTTTTATTTTTTAAACTTCCATCTGCAAAAAAAAACCTGTAAATACTAAAGATCTAAACCTCTCCAAGATGGCCGACCTGTGTGTGTGTGTGTGTGTGTGTGTGTGTGTGCTGTCAGTGGAACCCTGTAAACCAGCATCCTACAGCGTGTGAATATCCACCGTCATCCTCATGAAGCTGAAGCATTTCATGAATCTGAAAGAGACCAGGATCGTTTTTTTCTTCCATCTGGTTTGATTTGAAGGACCAAAGCATCTTTTTATACCAGGCTAAATGTGTGTTTGTCAAACTGGAAGCACTTTACTCCGTCGGCGAGCTGAGAGGAGGTTCTTCTGAGGGATCAGGTCTCAGGACTGAAGGTTTGGGACTAAAGTGCAATCTGTAAAGTGTCTGTAGTCTCGAGTCTGTGAAATAGATTTTATCGATAGATATCATCGACTGTAGAAACAGGAGTTTATTTTCATCCAGAGTCGAACGTTTTCACCTTCAGTTTAAGGAGATCTGAGCGGGGGGGGTGACCTTCGATGGCTCCGCAGAGGAGCAGAGAGACCACCACAGACAGAGGGACGCTCTAAAACCCAGAGACCTGAGAGGACCACGTCTCAGACTCTGGTGTGACATGTTCTGTCTCAGCGACTGAATCCTTCAGAGTTTTTAACCCGGGATTTCCACCGCATCCGGGATGACGGCAATTTCTACCGCCTGCCAATTCCTACCGGATCCATTCATGAGGCGAATTTCGTGGCAGATTACAAACAGCGGTAATCACGTGAACTCACAAGAACCCGCAGATTCACGTGCAATCGCGCGATAACGAGTTGTCTCTCTAAAGACTCACACATAGACATATAAGCAGTAGATTGTGTCCTTCCAGAGGAGGAAATCTACTTCTAGACTTCTAGAATCAGCATCTCCTCATCCATGGTGTCATCGGGGTGAAATGACGTCTAAAAACCTTTCACTTGTTCGTCTCCGCCCGTTTGCATGGTGTGAAATACGATCCTCCTGAAACACGGAGTGTTTTATTTTGAAAAGAAGCCGGATGTTTTATTTTGTGTCTGTGCCCGACTTCCTTTCCAGCACGGGTTAATCTGTGCTGAATTTATCCGCCATGCTCCGGCGTCCAGAAAAAATCGAACTCTTGTGATCAGCTGAGGAGTCCGGCGATCCGCAGAGGAACGGAAAGAAGTCGGTGTAAATTGACACGTTAACTTGAATGGTTACGATCAGCTACGATCGGAGATTTTCGTAGCTGTACAGGATGCGGTGGAAATTGGCGTTAAGACTCTCGGTTCTGGACTTGGACTCTCTGACGGTGCATGTCAGTGTGACCTCTTTCATGCTCTTCTTCTACGTGGATCCAGATGTGATGATGAACCATGTTCCTGTCGTTGTGCCGTCCTGACAGATTTCTACACAGACGAGTTCAGAATAAATATTTTTGTTACTCAGTTTTTGTGTTTTTGTGTTTTTGTGTTTGTTTTGTGTTTTTGTTCAAATCTCCAAACAGAAATACGACACAGAGGCTGATCTGATACGGTCAGATATTTAATAAGTTAATTCATAATAAAAGGATCAGCTGGAACATGAACTTAGAGGGTTATTTTCATTCATAATTACTGAGTTTTCCCAGGAAACTCCATATTTGGAACTTTTCACTGTTTTTATTATAGGGGGTCCGTTTTCCAGGATCAGGGTCTTTGAACTCCAGGACCCCCGGATCTCACTGGTAATAAAAACTCGGAGTGACTCTGAAAACGTCGGACGCTCCCTCGTACGGCTTGATGACGGATGTCAGACCTTTTAACTCTTTGTAATGTCCGAAGTGTCGGATCCTGTAGAAGCCGCTGGTGGCGGACGGCGGGATGGTCCACTCGATGGTGGAGTTACTCTGACGGTTCGATCCCTTCAGCCAGTGGAACCTGCAGACAGACACTCCGTGGTTATTTCCCATGAATCCTCTCTGATTAAACTCTAAATACGGCGCTGTCCTTCAGTCCCATACCTGGTTTCCCATGATGCATCATTGTGGACCACCTCCCAGGAGTCTGTTCTGTTGTCATACATCTCCACGGTAACAAACGTTTTATCTCTCTGCAAACAAACACAGCAGAGGTGTTCCAGGCGACAGAGGAGGCAGACAGACCAAAGTACGGACGGACAGATGGGACAAAAAGGTTATTTAGCGTTAAATCTTACCATGTCTCCAGAGTGTCGAGGGTTTCCTGCGACGAACGTGACCGAGACGACGTCTCCCTGAAAGAAGAGAACATCAAACTTTAAACCAGACGTTGTTGGTTCATCAGGCAGAAACAAAGCAGGCCGAGTGTCGAACCCTGAGGAACGCCACTGACGGACTCAGAGACCATGTCCTACCTGTCTGTAGACCGGGTAAACCTGCACCAGGACGTCTCCAAAACTGGTGTTTGCTGGTTTTCTGTCGACAGGAGCAGCTCCGAGCAGATTGAAGAGACCTTTGTCAAAGAAGGGCGGCTGAGGGCCGACCGGCAGATCCGAGACCCGGTCCTGAAAACACAGAAACTCTGATCGTCATCCTGTTAGACTGACTTTGTCTGGATTATGGAGTTGTTTATAGATGTAGACCAGTGACCCTCGTGTTTTTAAGGACCCTGTAGTTCCTCCAGTCTCACCTGTGCAATAGCTTTGGCCAGACCTCTGTACTTCTGCAGGTACGCACTGAGCGTGTGCGGGCCGTAGATGGTGGAGGCGCCTTCATATCGCTGCACCTACCAGAACAAGAGCGGGTAACGTTTGATAACGACGAACAACGAGTTTGGAGGACTACAGTTCCCATGAGCCTCAGCGGCGTGTACCTGATACTCTTCAAAGGTGGTGATGTAGTGGGTGTAGATGTTACTCAGGCCGGCGATCACCACCTCCACGTCACTGAAGCCTCCCTCTGATTGGAGCTCCTGACACACACACACACACACACACACACACACACACACACACAGGTGAACGGGTCTGATCACATGACATGCTGCAGGTGTGTTTGAGTGGGGTTGGTTGTTGATGGTCCGCTCTCACCTGTCGGACCGCCTCCCTCAGCCTCCGCCCTGACATGGTTCTGTGAACAGACCAACAAGCTCCAGGTGAAGCAGTGACTCAGTAGTTCCCAGTATCTGTACCAGTGAGCAGCTCCAGTTAAACCAGTAAGAACAGAATTATCAGGTAAAAAAGTCAAATGTCGTTACGTCATTTCTCCTGGGACAGCGACGACGGCCACAGAGCCGATGGTGATGATCTGGACGTCAACGATCTGAGGGTGCCATGGCAACGGCCAGTTCATCTACACACACAGATAGAGAGGTGGTTAGTTCCTGGAGACTCTGGTTCTGTCTGTTCCTGGTTCTCAGTCTGCTGGGGGGGTTCACATGGAGGCCCCCCAAGATGTGTTTGTGTTGTTCATGAACGAGTCGTTCAAAAGAACTGAACTGCTGAGCGAACGATGTGAACTGAATCACTCTGAGACCTGATTCGTTCCTTTCTCAGTTCCTGGCATCCCGGTCGGGATTGGAACTGCCGCCTTTGAGTCTTTGGTGAACAACACACAGCCAGCGAGTGAGTGAGTGGGCGGGCGGAGTCTCGTGATTCACTCACAGGGAATGAACGACATGAATCAGTCAGACTGTGAACGAAACGAACGACTTCTGAACGACTCGAGTTAGGCAGAGGAGGGAGGGGTGTAGCATCGTTCCTGAACTGCCGAGCAGCGATTGGTTCACTGAGGCTAAGTCTACGTTCACGCTGCAGGTTATGACGCACAATTCAGATTTTTTGTTAAATCCGATCTTTTTGTGCGGTCGTTCA